CAAAGTAGGAACCGATTCGATTTACCACGCGGTCCAACGCTTGTTCCAGAGCAGCTTTGAAGAACGATTGCTAATCTTTGGTTAAAATTATTAGAAAAATCCTGACAACCTCAAGAGCCGCATTTAGCTTGCTAGATCCATTTTTTGCTTTGCCTTTGTCTCCCTTTTCTTTCACTTCTCCGGGTTCAGCTTCTGTTTCCACTTCTTCTTCTAATTTTTCCGTCATTTTTAGTGCCTCCATTGATGCGTGGAAAATCTTGTAGACCTGAAAGAAAAATACAACATTACTCGAAGAGCATGGTAGCACCAATCTTTTGAATTTGAAAGCTTACTTCAGTCATAAATACAGGCCGATACAGTGACATGGCCATATCCACAGAAAGTTTATATTTTCCGAGTAGTTCGTCGATTGGTGGGACCAAATTGCAATAATCGCTGTTCTTCAAATTTGTCACCACAAACTCGCTGTATTGAAGGAGAGTGTCTCGGCACTAGAAGAAAAAAAAAACACTTGTACATTGTAATTAGGCAAAATGGAACCTGATCAACGAGCTCTCCGGTCAATTTTAGTGGATAATTCAGCGAAGCCTTGTAGACGAGGCATTGATGATGTTGAGCCATCAAAATATATAAGCTGATTGCAAGATCACCCTTGAAAATCTTTTGATAAGATAGATTAATAATAAAAAACCTGTAGAAGCGTTTCTCTCAACCTCGTGCATGCGTGCTTATTCTTCGCACCAGCAAATGAAGCACCCTAGAATCAAGAATTATTTAGAAAAAAATTGTTTTGCACTCATTTTTCGAAAATTCTAGTGGGTTCTAAAGTGAATATGATTAAATTCCTAACGAATCTCACTTATTCCCAAGTTCTTACTTCTTGTCTCAGCGTCATTCCTCCAGATAAAGCTTCAAGGTGTTCTTGCGTGAGTCCACTATACGCCTCGATCCCTCCCATCATATGGACAATCTCGCGTAGGATTAATAGGTCGAAACTAAATTTCTACTTCATAATCTCAATCAAGGCTAGAAACTATACCTTTTTTCCACTCTCAATTGATTGATAATATAGTGAAGCATTCCAAGAAGTTCGGCACTATATCTTTTGAAGACATTTCCAGTTAGTGAAGCAAGAGATTGGAGCCAAGCGGACAGAGAGCCATCGGATTCCTACACAGCCTTTGATATGTCATAAGCTTTAACTTACGTTTAGTTGTTGCTTGTGCGAGCTCGCAAGTTGACCAATAATGCTATCTAGAATGACTTTGAGCTGGTTTAGTAACCAAAAACTCACAAATCAAAATGTCGAACGAAAGATTCGAAAGATATCGAATACTCTCAACGATCGGCTCAATAAAGTTGTCAAACGTTTGAACCTAAAGTATCAATTCAAAAGTAGAGAACGAATAAAATATACCTGCGATAACAAGTAATCAAAAACGGCGAATGGATAGACAAAGCACAATTTCGATAGTTGGCGGCCCATTTGTCGAGATGATTCTTTGGAAAGACGTCTAAATAACATTTATTTAAACATTTTATCATATCTAACAGCCAAGCCAAAAACCGTATTTTCCTTACTTTAGTAGATATTTCGTGCGTCCAAGAAGCTTTCCTTTCTGAATCAGCAATTCAGGATAGCGAGTCGTATGCGAGCTCTTCCATCTAAAATCAAAACTATCAAAACCTTTAGATTTGTTACGAGAACTCATTTTTTGTGATAAAACTTGCCTCCCGTAAAAATGAAAACGTTCTTGATACGGATACATTTGCAACAACGTCCACACTTCCTCAGCTATTCCACAATTTCCGTCAAGTAGTGTCATTCCTGGGATGATCACACTGTCCAACATTTGTGTGATTTCCGGGTAATCTTAGAATTTAGTTTGATGTGTTTAAATCCAACCGCAAACCTTCATTCTTTTGTCCAGCATAGATCTTATTGTCAATAATGAACACGTGAATAAGCCGCAGAAGCTTCGCGTAACAAGATGGTCGATACCCTATCCGTGGTCCGAGATATCCAATTGTCTTTGAGAGTTCACAGAGATCGGTCCAATCAGAGACCTTAATTGAGTAATTAGGTATGTGCACCAAATGCAAATTGTTACTTTTGGGATAGACGGTTGTAACTTCAGAGAGTAGTTCCTTTTTACCGATTTCCTTCGAAGACTTGAGTCACATTTCCTGAAAGCGAAACACTCCTTCAAACACAGAAACAACAAACTGATGATAGAATTCGTCAAGAGCGGCTTCAATCATTGTGGCAATCGCTCGAGAAATCCGGGGCCTGAAAAGAAATAATAATATTTCAGCGAGCTAACGTTATTGCAAGAGAACAACAAATGTAATTAAGCTTAACACAAAAATAAGCTTGGCTTCAATTATGAATAAGCAAAGTGTTGGGTTGGCAAAAAACTCACACTCCAGACACAGCAAATCCGTCAGGCATGCAATCCAAGAGCTCTTTTGCAGATTCCCACGCGCCAATCTCGCACAAAGCACAGATGAGTCCTACTTTTTGATTTGTTTCCAGCACTCGATTCTGAAGAGGAACAAATGAATAAAATTATTTGAAAAAGAACCTCTTCAAAATTTTCCGATATTTTCAAGTCCTCGGCTTCTTGTTGAGCAACCACTGTAGCAAACGGAATTCCTTGGACACCAGTTGCTTCCTAAATATAGTAACAGATAACAAGAAATCAATGCTTGTATTTTAAATCCCGATAGAACGTTGTAGAAAATTAATTGTTAGTAGTTTATTTTAAAATCATTATGAAAAATTAAAAACAAACCCCCGAATCCAATAGTGGTTGAGCCTTTGCTTCAACAAAGATGTTTGCTGTATGAATAACCTCCGCATGTTTTGCTCTTTTCGTTGCATTTGCAATCTGCTCCTGTCGTAACTCTTTGATTTTATCCGATGATGGAAACATCTAAAGGCACAAGGTTTGATATGCAATTATTTCAACTCACATATGGACAAATGTCGGAAAGTTCCACAAATTTATTCGCTATCAGGTGAGCCGCAACAAGATAAATCGAGTATGGAGTTGGAGCTGACTGGTCCTAAACATTGTTTTGTGCAAAGTAGTTAATTTTTAAACCCACATGGTAAAATGTGAATTTGAATCCGAGTAGCGTAGTGATGTATTCTCGATTGACATGTAGTTCGTGCAGAATGTCGATGAATTCGCCGCTTTGGTCAAGAGATGCTTCGAAACATTCCAGAATCACATCACAAACTCGATTCGGGTCCAAATTGAATTGACCTAGAACAGAAAAATCTGATTTCTATTTCCAAATCTGGAACACGATTATTCTCTTTTTATGTTTTATGCGAACGTACCTATTAAAGAAAAGATCCGATTACAGATCTCATTTGCTGAAAGATCCGCATCATTGTCGACAAGCTCGGTAACAAGCTTTGAGAATCCTTCGCTTTCTTCTCTCAACATGTTGAATTTCACTTGTTTATAACTAAAATTCGAATAAATGTACTTTAAATCAATTCCAAACTTACTAAAGTTTTGTTCGACAACGAATAGATGCTTGCGTGAGACTTGGATCCTGTTTTCCAGCATTGATTTCCAAGGCGAGTACATCTTCAGGAATATACTAAAGTTAGAATGAAATCGCATGTAATGAGATTGGAAGCTAACCACGTCTTCGAGAATCCTATAAAACTCCTTGATTGGATTCGCATCTTTCGGATCTTCTTTAGAAGTGGCAGGGATTCCTTGGTCGAAGATCGAAATTGTATCCAATAACTTGCAGAGAGTTTCATTCTAAAATATAGTTTTAAAAAATTAGTCATTTAATAGCGGTTCGCATTTTTTACATTTCTAGCATTTCCATTTCCTACAAGCTTTCCATTTCCTACAAGCTAATTCTTTTTAAAAGCTGGCAGATCAAAAGTACTTAAATTAAAAATAAACAAACCGAAAAAGTCTTCAATTTATCAACGGCCACATCCAAGCCGATTTTTTTCTCGGTGATTGAGTGGCAAAATTCGAAGAGCTCATCAATTGTCAAATCCGTTGTTGTTTCTCCATTTTGTGCGTCTTTCGGCACATCCATCGAGAACTTCTAAACATAAAATATTTGTTGAAATATAAATAAGTAAAATAAAATAAAATAAGAACATATAAAGGAAATACAATATTGTTGCTTGTTCAAAGTGGTGTTTATGTACCCTTTTCAATATTTTCTGCAGCTAACAGAAATGAAAGCTACGGTAATTGTAGTGCGCCGTAAGATTCGCTTGATCAAAACGCTGGGTAACGTTGAAAAATTATTTGTAGGGTCAATAACACACAGAGATACTTTCACAAATAGAAATTTTGCGAAAATTACCCTTAAATACTTATTTGGATTACTTTTGAAATATTCAGCAAACGTGCTGTGTTTTATTCAACGCGATTACTGCGATATAAATGGAAAAGGTTTTAGAATTTGGGGGGTGGGACAAATGCGACCTTTTTCTTTGCTGAAAAAGGCCTTAGGAAAGGTCGTAGAGCTTCAAAATGTTTTCGTAGAAGGGAATCGTATGCGTAGATTCCGAATTTCGACAAATCAGACCTCGCTGACACGTCAAATTTGGGCTAAAAGGCAAAAACTACGCAACTTAACGCTTTTCCGCAGTTTTTGCCTTTTAGCCCAAATTTGACGTGTCAGCGAGGTCTGATTTGTCGAAATTCGGAATCTACGCATACGATTCCCTTATATGGAAACATTTTCGAAGCTCTACGACCTTTCCTAAGGCCTTTTCCAGCAAACAAAAGGTGCGCAAATGTCCAGGTGCGCAAAAAAAGGTCGCATTTGTCCCACCCCCCATTACATTCAACATGCCAGCTTTTAAAACTTTAAACAAAAACGATAAAGTTTACTTTTTTTAAACAAAATGATCGGTTGACCTTGACCACGCATGACGTCAAACGAAAAAAATACAAAAATCTTTGAAAAGAACGGAGATAATTTCAAAGTTTTGATCCTAGAAAATGTTTCTCATCAAAATTTTACAAGTAAATATCTATTTTACTTTGCTAACGGCACAGTTTTTCGGCATTCCCTACAGCTTGGTATGAAAAAGACTTTTGTTTTAGACTTTGATTTTAGACTTTGATTTTAGATCCAGCAATTCATCGGACCTGTCCCACCTCAAGCCCTTCAACAAACACAGGCCATTATTTTCAATGAGGTAAGAAATGGTCAATTGGTGAGAAAGAACTGTGCGAAAGTTTGATAGACAAATTGGAAATGAAAATGAAACATACACTGTCACTTGACAATTTCCATTTATCCTCATAGTTAGATACTGTCATTTAACGCCTTTGATAATTGAAGCCAAATTCTACTCTTGCATAAAGAGAACAATGTTCAAGGTCTTAGAATCTGAACTGGAGACAACGGGGTGATCAATTGAGAGGATTGTACCATTCACTCCCCGCATACCAACGACCACAAATACCCCGAGTACCACAATATGTACAGGTGAGCGCGAATGGATGATTTCGATCACTTTCTAACCTACTAAAATCCAATAATCAAAGCTTTAACAAGTTTTTGAATCATTTTAGGACCAAGCTCGTTCAATCTATCGAGATCCGTCGACAAATCTTTTGCAAAAAGGGATAAACTTCATGGTGAGTAAAACAAATGAAGTAAAGCTTTCGATTTTTGGCTCTGGGATTCAGAATGCAGTCAGAATGCAGTCAGAATTCAATCAGAATTCATCAATTGTCATTCAATTCAGAGCTTCATTTCCCGTCCTGAAGTCTCCGCTCAACCACCAGGGAGGATTGGTTTAGACAGAATTTCCGGGAAATAGAAAAATGGTGATCAAATGAAATTCTCTAAAACATGTATTGACTTGCGGTAATTTTTCTTTCACGAAAATCTGTTTATTGCTATATTTCCTCACCACAAAGACATAAAAGACATGAGATAAAAAAACCCGTATCAACAAATGAGCATCAATTAAAAGTTATAGATAAACTAAAATGAGTATCACTGTTCATGTACACTCAATTCTTCTCCTTTTCCGGCGTCGAGGCAAAGATCGTGACTCCAGCAACGAGGGCGGTCACTGTGAAGAATTGAGCCATGATACGGTATCTAAATTTTGGAATTAGATACATTGTAAGATACATTGTATTGAAGAATTCTTCAATTGAATTCCTTATTGTTCGATAAATATATTGACTTGTTTTAAAACTCACTGCATGTATTTTTGTGCTCCCAGTCTATCACCTTTGATCGATTTTTTGAACATTCCAATCAATGCCATTGTGGTTAAACCTGAAACATTCTGATTAGAGTTGATTGTAGTTTTTTTTAAAGATTAAATATTTTTGTAGCACTCACCCATTCCAATGATAACAGCTGGATTGCTGATCGCGTGCGCGGTGACACCCGATTCTTTCTGAAATATTTTTGATAATTGAAAGCAATCTTTTATTTCGTAGATAGAAGTAGTGCTTAAATTATTCTATAAGATACTTTAAAATGTTTACACTTAAATGTTGTACTTCAATTATTCTATAAAACACTTTAAAATGTTTTGATGTAAAGGTTTAACTCAGAAGTTACTGTAAAAAGCTAACCTTTCCGGCAGTGTCCTTGCTTGAGCGGTATCCGATATCAACAGGGATTTGAGGGACCTGAAAGTAACATCTTATATTAATATATTAACATTTTACCAGTAAAATATTATATCTTTATAGGTTTATGTTATGCTTAGACTTAGGCTGAGGCTCAGGCTTGGACTTAGTGCGTAGGCTAGCGGCTAGCGCCTAGCACTAAGTCTATTTGGGTTTGAGCTGAACCCCATTTTCTCAGGCCCAGGCTCAGGTTAGGCTCAGCCTCAGCCTCAGGCTCAGGCTCAGGCTTAGGCTTAGGCTTCCACTCACCCCACTGTATTTGGCGGAATTGTCGGGTGTTCGAGCGAGTTGTTCCGGGGTAAGATGAGCCTTTTTCCACTCGTATGAACCCTTTTTTGGTTCGGAATGAGTCTGAAAGTTAAAAATAAGACATAAGCTTGACTTTTTATTAAGAATTTTAGTCAAAAGATATACTTTAATTGTGTAAATATGCTTAAAGGATATTGTCAGTTGATTTTGTTTCCAAATCTCACCTCAACTGACTCCTGAGGCTCCTGAGCGGCTTGAATCAAAATTTTGTGGAAAACAAGACGAAGCATTCTTTTGATTTCTTTGAATATCTGAAATTTGTTTTATTGTTTTAAAAAACTATAGTAAATATAAAAGAAAAGAAAGAAAGTAAAAACCCGTAAAGTTTATGAGAGAGAACCAGTTGAAAAGTTGAGAGTTGTATTCAAATTTGTACATGAAAAGGTGAAGCTCAAAGAATTCTTTGAGCAGAAGATTGAATACAAAACTACTTGCAAAATGAAGAAATTGTATATAATCGAAAGCTAAAGCTAAAGCTAAAGATAAAAAAAATTCAAGGATTGAAGAAATCAATTGAAATTCAGTGCTCCTTTTCGCGTTTTGGCTCCTCTTGAACGCCGTATTTCTGCAAAGCTGGGATCTTCTCCTTCAGCCATCGAACCTCAAATCGTTTGTTGATCAAAGAATGCACTTTATTCTTTATTCAATTCATTTTCTTATTTTAAAACTCACATAAAACAATTCCTGTCTAGCGTGTGGGGCAACCATTGAGGGATTTGATTGAATTGTATAATATGCAAAGTGCATTGCAATCAATAAACCACCAAACATTCCCAATTCTTTTGCTGTTTTAGCATTTAGACGGAAAACCATTTTGAGAGGAAAGTTAACTAAATAAATAAGAAATAAATAAAAAATAAAACGGTTTTAAAGCTTTCGAAGAATTAGGTAAAAACTGAAGATGAAGAATTTGTTGGAAGAGACTTTGAAAAGCAAAAACTTTGATTCTTATAGTTAGCTTTTAAGTTCATTTTCTTCTCAGCAAAGAATTTCCAGACTTTTGCAGAGAAGTTTTTAAAAAGGAACCGTATTGGAACAGTCTTGGAACCATATTGGAACCGTATTGGGACCGTAGTGGAACAGTCTTGGAACCGTATTGGAACCCTATTAGAACCGTATTGGAACCGTAGTGGAACAGTCTTGGAACCGTATTAGAACCGTATTGGGACCGTATTGGAACCGTATTGGGACCGTATTAGAACCGTATTAGAACCGTATTGGAACCGTATTGGAACCGTATTGGAACCGTATTGGAACAGTCTTGGAACCGTATTGGAACCGTATTAGAACCGTATTGGGACCGTATTGGAACCGTATTGGAACAGTCTTGGAACCATATTGGAACCGTATTAGAACCGTATTAGAACCGTATTGGATCTGAAAAGAACCGTATTCGAACCGTATTCCCTTTTGACTTTGATTCTTATAGTTAGCTTTTAAGTTCATTTTCTTCTCAGCAAAGAATTTCCAGACTTTTGCAGAGAAAAGTTTTTAAAAGGAACCCAGGATGTACCCGAAAAGAGAGAGAAAAAGATTGAAGAGAAACGAGAGATTTCATCGTTCTTTGAGTGCAATGATGCAAGGCTTTAAATAAAAGGGATTGAATTGAAGAGTTTTAAGGCAATTGATGGCAATTGTTTTAAGGCAATTCTATTAAATTGCAAGGTTTTTTTTGAGAGAAATGAGATCATAAGTATTCGCGAAATCTCTAGAATTTCATTCGAACACTTGCATGAAGAAAAAAATCGAAAAATAATCGTAAACAAGAGTTTTTTTTGGGAAAAGAAAGGAAAATCGATGCGAGATTGAAAAATTGAAGAAATGAGACTTCAAATGAATTGAAGAAACACAAATTTGCGAATTTTATCTAGGGAATAACGAAAGTTGAAGATTTTGAATTCAAAAGATTTAAGCAAAAGATTGAAATTGAGTTGGTTGATGAAAGTTGGATAAAAGTTCACTGAAGATTTCTGAAAATAGAAGATTACCAGAAATATAGGATTATACTGAAGATTTTATTTGGATTTTCCATTTGGAACTCTTTCCAAAATCTCAACTTATATAGGAAATTCACGGGTAGACAGACAACTGCATTCTAGAAAGAGAAAGAGAAAGAGAAAGAGAAAAGAGAACAGAAAGCACAATTCCTCCTGAAAGAGAGCAGCTCTTTTCCCTTCTTTGTCGTCTCTCCATTCCCCCCAATATTTCCCCTTTTCACTCCATTCACCCATCACGTAGCTCGTGTGCTTTTTGTGGTGGAGTCTGTGGAGAAGAGAGACCCCTCCACCGCCTCCACCCCATTCCCTCTCTAACACAGATCCCCCTAGAACACCAACTATGATGTAAATCTGGGAACAACAAAAATAGTTCCGTGGTTAAAGAACGAGCAAAGATTGCTCTTGTATAGACTGTCCAAAGAGTTCTCTAGTAAATGCTTCTTGGCTCTTAACTACACTCTTAACTCTTTAAACACTTAACTAGTACACTCTTAACTTCTCATCATTACTGTAAGTTAAGGCCATTTGAATGAAAATATGAAAATTTATTAATTGAAACCATTGTAGAAAACGAATATTTAAAAATATAAAAATAGATTTAAGCCACTGGGGCAACAGTTTCGACAATGGCTGGAACAGTTGTGGCTGCAGCAGTGGATCCGTGATGCTAAAATTAGAGTAGAATATAGAAGTAGAAGTAGAATGCAATAAAAAGCATTGGACTTCTCAACCAACTCACATAAGTTTGAGAACCTTTTTAGAGCAACTTGCCTTGGAGAATTTCTTATTGTGGTATTTATGGGAGTCCTTGTGATCTCCATGTCCATGTTCTCCCTTTTGACTTTGATTCTTATAGATAGTTTTTAAGTTCATTTTCTTTGGAACAGTATTGGAACCGTATTGGAACAGTCTTGGAACCGTATGGGGACCGTATTGGAACCGTATTGGAACCCTATTAGAACCGTATTGGAACCGTATTGGAACCGTATTGGAACCGTATTGGGACCGTATTGGGACCGTAGTGGAACAGTCTTGGAACCGTATTGGAACCCTATTAGAACCGTATTGGAACCGTATTGGAACCGTATTGGAACCGTATTGGGACCGTATTGGGACCGTAGTGGAACAGTCTTGGAACCGTATTGGAACCATATTAGGAACCGTATTGGGACCGTATTGGGACCGTATTGGGACCGTAGTGGAACAGTCTTGGAACCGTATTGGAACCCTATTAGAACCGTATTGGAACCGTATTGGAACCCTATTAGAACCGTATTGGAACCGTATTGGAACCGTATTGGAACCCTATTAGAACCGTATTGGGACCGTATTGGAACCGTATTGGAACCCTATTAGAACCGTATTGGGACCGTATTGGGACCGTAGTGGAACAGTCTTGGAACCGTATTGGAACCCTATTAGAACCGTATTGGAACCGTAGTGGAACAGTCTTGGAACCGTATTAGAACCGTATTGGGACCGTATTGGAACAGTATTGGAACCGTAATGGAACCTTATTGGATCTAAAAAGAACCGTATTGGATCTGAAAAGAACCGTATTCGAACCGTATTCCCTTTTGACTTTGATTCTTATAGTTAGTTTTTAAGTTCATTTTCTTCTCAGCAAAGAATTTCCAGACTTTTGCAGAGAAAAGTTTTTAAAAGGAACCCAGGATGTACCCGAGAAGATAGAGAAAAAGATTGAAGAGAAACGAGAGATTTCATCGTTCTTTGAGTGCAATGATGCAAGGCTTTAAATAAAAGGGATTGAATTTACGAGTTTTACATAAGCTTGAGAATCTTTTTAGAGCAACTTGCCTTCGTGAATTTCTTATTGTGGTGTTTATGGGAGTGCTTGTGATCTCCATGTCCATGTTCTCCCTTTTGCTCTCCCTTGTGCCAGTTAGGCTTTCCAGTTCCATGAAAATCTTTTGGATGCTTCGAATGATCCTTGTGATTCCCGACACCCTACAATTTTGTTTTGCTAATGAATAGAATCTACAAAACCTTATGATCTTCATGACGATCACTGCCAATCAAACCCAAAATCAAAATTGAAATTTCAGGGTTTGATTGGCAGTTGCTAATCGTTTTGTTTGCTTTAGTAAAGAGATTTTTAAAAAATATTGTGGAAATAGGTTTAGCAAGAAACCTCAGGGCGAGTATGATCTCGGTGATGGTGACGAGTGACACCGGTGGTAGCGTCCTAAAAATTGCTAATCGTTTTTGTAATTGTAAGAACTGTTGGCTATCTAACCCTACAAATCCTCAAATCTTCTCACCTCAGCATACACGACAACAACGGCCATCACCACAACAATGAGCGCCAAAACCTTGAACATTTCCTTGTGAGTTACTTCTTTAAAATCCCAAACCGGTATTTATTTAGTCGCTTTTTATATTGACTACTTTATCGCTCATAAATGCAGATTTATTTTTCTTTTCTTTAGTCGAGACAGGCGATTCTCAGAAGAAATGGCTGTGTTTTGTGGGAAAGTCGAATGAAATGGAATTAAGACGAAAATTTCCAAACATCTGCATCAAATTCCCTTCTTTTATGAGAGAAAGGAATGATTCGGATAGACGATGTTTGGCTTCAATCGTATTGCATCGAAAATTCGGCAATCAAGGTGCAATCATAGGGCAATCAAGGTGCAATCATATCATGCAATCATATCGTGCAATCAATTACTCATAGTCAATCTCTGACTGTGAGTGCTCGTGATTAAATCATTATTTGAATCATTTAATAAACAGATTTTGTCATCGATTAAAGGTCAATTATTATCAAGATTTGTCTCAATCGCGCAATTTGATAAAACAACTTATTCAGTTTGAATTTGTTTTTTTCTAGTTTTTATCCAAATCTTGATAGATGCTTTTGCAAATGAATTTGGTCAAGTATTGGGTTGATGGAAAAGTCCTTTCGTGTCTAGGGCTTATTTTTAACGCTGATCACGAAACACATGTTTTTAGCCTAGGTTTCTGCACGGAAAACTAACGAAACGTGAAAACAGCCATTTTTTGGCTCTGCCGACCTTTACTAAAATAACTGTAAAAACTTTTAGAAAAGAGATATCTCAAAACGGTTTTTACCAATCGATCCATCTTGAATTCAGCTTTAGAATGAGCTATAAAGCGTCAAAATTAGGCAAATTTAAGGTACTCTCCCAAAAAATCGGAAAGGACTCTTCCATCAACCCAATATTTGATAGTTTGATAGTTGATAGTCAAGTATTTGATAGTTGGCCCGGGAATGGCTCACTATCAAAGAGAAAAACACAATTAAAGCTAGATAAATCTATCAGCTCTTCCTTTCAAAGTTCAATATTTTGTCATAAATCAAAAAAAGTTTACAATTATGAGCTTCTGATCTCTGATTTGATCATTAAAATAAACAAAAAGAGGATTAATTGCAGTTTGAATAGAGGATAATCCACAAATCTCGTCAAAAATCTTGAACCCTGTCTTTTTAACATTTTTTTAACACTCAGAAACAAAAAATTAACTTAAATTTGATAAGAATATACCGGATTTTCTCTAATAGTAGTGCACTCCGGTGAGCCGAGTTGATGAGTATTTTACGGCTTCCAAAGTTTTCACAGAAGCTCAACACTCAAATCCCCCACAAGATCTCATCGTCAGCTACATTTTCCGACCCCACATCGATAAGTTCTGATAAGCGGTTCTCGAGATTTCGAGGGTGCACTACTATTAGAGAGAATACGGTATTTTATCAGTAGAAAATGAGGAAGAAAGGCTTAGGCCAAGATTTCTCCTTATGCATCACTCTAGAAATCATTCGGTGTGCTTGAAGGGTTCGGTGCGCCATTTAAAAGGTGTGTTTTTCCTGTACCGGCTTTTCCCTAATAGTAGTGCACCCCGGCGAGCCGAGTTGATGACTATTTTACGGCTTCCAAAGTTTTGCAGAAGCTCAACACTCAAATCCCCCACAAGATCTCATCGTCAGCTACATTTTCCGACCCCACATCGATAGGTTCTGATAAGCGGTTCTCGAGATTTCGAGGAATTTAGGCAACGCTCAGGGTGCACTACTATAAGAGAAAATACGGTAGATGAATTAACAGTTGGTTGTAATTGAGTTCAAATGATCGGGATCTTGTTTGAACAATCATCAAGTAAGTATAATACCGGATTTTCCCTAATAGTAGTGCACTCCGGCGAGCCGAGTTGATGACTATTTTACGGTTTCCAAGCTTTTTGCAGAAGCTCAACACTCAAATCCCCCACTAGATCTGATCGTCAGCTACATTTTCCGACCCCACATCGATAGGTTCTGATAAGCGGTTCTCGAGATTTCGAGGAATTTAGGCAACGCTCAGGGTGCACTACTATTAGAGAAAATACGGTATATTCAGCTATAAAAGCTTGTAGAAATAACTTGTCTGAAAGTGTAAAAGGGCTAAAAAGCTTCCTTTTTGTATTAGCTGTTATGATTAGATTATCATTCAAAATGTTTTTTTTTTGAGAAACGAACAAAACAAACGTGTACAGTGCAAATTACAGGAATTCTCAACAATAACCAGAAGAGAAGAAAAATGTATCTGATAATTAGCCAAGCAATGTGAAAGGAAAACAGGTGATCTTTTATCACTGAAACCGATTCTTTTAATATAAAAATTTTCATAAAATTCATAAAATTCATAAAATTCATAAAACTATAAAATCATTTCTAACGGATGTTTGAGGTTCCATATATATATATTAATTATGAAAATATTCTACAATTTATCTCAATTCCATTAAACCTATTCACATTGTATTGTATCTTGAGAAAAACGCCGACAGAAATGAGAGAATATCGAGTGCATTTAGCCACGTATCAGGTAGAAAAAAAATAAATCCGTCTTTTACGATTTGAAACTTTTTAGTTCACTTCTTTAAGCTTTAAATTAGCTTTAAAAGGATTTCACCCATGCCATAAATAGAGATAAAAACTAGCAAATCTAGATGATGACGTTGGCCTTCGAGTTCATTCTTCTTTCGATTAAAGCCGAGCTTTATGTGCCGGCACTTGCTGGCAGAATTTTCGGCATTTGGGATTCCGTTTTCGGGATCGGAGCCCAGCATGCTATGGTAAAGTTATCCATTTTGTATCTAATTTTAATGTTTAAAGCAATTTTTCTGTTGTGTTGGATGTCATTTTGGGGTTAGCATACCGTAAATACTGTAATAGTACCGCACCCCCATAATGACGGTCCGGAGTGTTGCGTAGTCTAGCTTTGAACGAGTTTTTCTCGACATTGGTTTATGCTACAATGCGCGCTTAGGTATCAAAAAATAACCCTGAATTTCAGCTATTTTTTGATATCTTAGCGCACATTGTAGCATAAACCAGTGTCGAGAAAAACGCGTCCAAAGCTAGACTACACAACACTCCGCACCGTCATTATCTTTGGCATCAAAAAATAGCTGAAATTCAGGGCTATTATTTGATACCTCAGCGCGCATTGTAGCATAAACCAATGTCGAGAAAAACTCGTTCAAAGCTAGACTACGCAACACTTCGCACCGTCATTATGGGGGTGGGGTACAGTATTCACGGTAGGTATTTCAATTGAAGTTGATTACTATATGAATCGATTAAAATATCGAAATTCAGGGTATCAGTTGTCTTTCTCTTTGCTGGGTCGCTGCCTCGGTCATTCAACTTTTCTTTTACAAATTGCAGAGTTTACTCGACATGAATAGCCGATACAAGTAAGCTTTATCAATGCGTGAAAACGAACAAATCTATTTACAGCTTTTAAAGCTTCTATTTACAGCTCTATCACATTGATTGTAGGTTTAAATGCAAGTATTTCAGATTGCACACAGTCGGCTATGTCTGTTATTTTGGCATCTCCTATGTGATCTTTCCGATTTTCCCAGTTGCCGGCTTTGAGCTGCTCGACTTACAGCAGGGAACAGGGACAAAGAATTTTCAAAATCTTATTGAAGTTAGTGCTTCAGTAGATCAATATCTAAACACATCAATTCCAGCTTTACCCAGCTTTTTCATTTCACTTAAACCTCAGCGACATCTATGTAGTGATGGCTAAACCTTTATCACCATACATGAATCTCTCCAGTATCACCTTTGTGGCTTGTTCAATCTTTGGATACATCGTTGTCACATCGTTTTCTGTAAATTATTGAGTAAACGAAAAGACAAAAGACGAAAATCAATTCCAGGCTATTTTGAGTATTTATTTGTGTATGTATTTGATCTCAAACACGAGTTTACAAGTGAGTTCGCGGACGAGAAGAATGCAAAAGAAATTCTTTGTCTCACTTTGTGTTCAGGTTTGTGATCATGGCTATACATTTAGATTTAGTACATGTAGAGATTTCGAATTTTCATTTAATACTTAGATTTCATTATTATTTCATTCATTTTATTTCAAAAACCCAAGAATAACGTTCATAATTGTCAGATGATGATCCCTGTATTAGCCATCGCTACTCCATGGGGATATTTTGCCTTTGCTATGGTTTCCGAATCAAAGTTTATCAATCCAGGTTTATCATCTATTGTTTTTTTTTGTAATCTATTGTATTATTCCATCAAAATTACCATTCAGAACTGAACAATTTCCTCTTTGCCATCATCTCATCCCACGGAACAATCTCTTCAATTTCTCTTCTTTTATTAACTCAACCATATCGAAAATATATTCTCGAACTAGCTGGCATCTCAAAGATTTCAAGAAATTTGACTCATTCGATTGTTTCAAAAAGGATTGTTTCGGTTTCTGTTACAGCGATAAGACAACAGTAAATGTTTTTTTGAATAAACAGCGATTTGAACAGAAATTTCCCAACATTTCATCATTAACATGAGAAAATGACATGCCGTAAATACTGTAATAGTACCCCACCCCCATAATGACGGTGCAGAGTGTTGTGTAGTCTAGCTTTGAACGAGTTTTTCTCGACACTGGTTTATGCTACAATGCGCGCTGAGGTATCAAATAATAGCCCTGAATTTCAGCTATTTTTTGATGCCAAAGATAATGACGGTGCGGAGTGTTGCGTGGTCTAGCTTTGAACGAGTTTTTCTCGACATTGGTTTATGCTACAATGCGCGCTTAGGTATCAAAAAATAGCCCTGAATTTCAGCTATTTTTTGATATCAAAGACACATTTTTTTGAAAGTACGGGCGCTTTGAAAAAAATGAAATACTAAAAAACTTTTGCGACTACGCGACTGTACGAGGGAGGTGCGGTACTATTACAGTATTTACGGTATGCTAATCCCAAAATGATATCCAACACAACAGAAAAATAGTTTTAAACATTAAAATCAGATACAAAATGGATAACTTTACCATAGCATGCTGGGCTCCGATCCCGAAAACGGAATCCCAAATGCCGAAGATTCTGCCAGCAAGTGCCGGCACATAAAGCTCGGCTTTAATCGAAAGAAGAAAGAACTCGAAGGTCAACGTCATCATCTAGATTTGCTAGTTTTTATCTCTATTTATGGCATGGGTTAAAGCCTTTTTACTAGCCAGTATTTACGGTAAGAAAATCGAAAATCACTTTATTAAAGCTTCTGTATTTAAAGCTCTAATCATTTAGAATAAAAGCAAATGCACAAAAATAAAACAAAATTTAAAAGCTATACAGAAGAAACAAGATGCTTGTATAAATGGTTAATCTTTTTCCATCGAAACAATCGTTGACTGAGGTTTCTCGTGATCATTTGGAGTCTATAAAGTTTCTGATTCATGAATTTTGTCTCAAACAACCTCAATCTTTTTTCCGTTTTGATTAATCTCGACATTTTTTGCCTCAGGCTTACGTCGACCTCCGATCAAAATGCTTTCAACCTATAAAAATCATGAATACATAAACGTTTCTTATCAAAAGTGAACTTTGATAGAGAGCTGAATAAATGTATTTTTAAAATTCCTAATTGTCCTTTCACCTTTCCCATTGCCACCTCAAAGCATGAACTCCAAAACAGCGACAAAAAGTAGGTGAGTAAAATGGCTGGAATCGCGAAAGAAGTGAACTAAAATTTTTCGAATAATATAGAATATAGAAAACTTCAAAGTCACAGCTTACAATATCGAAATAATCTCCCCAAATGATCTCGGATGGATGAATGGTGATCAAGTAGTAAATGACCATATAGTGAATGAGATAAGCTGAATAAGTTAGACGACCCAATGGAGCCCATCCAGGCCACGACATGAATGAGTTGATTAGGCCTGTGGGTTAACTTTTTATTCGTACATTTGTTTTGATTACCTCCATATCCATAGTAACATGAAATGACAATCAATGACAGACACAATCCCCATAAAGGCTTCGAGAAAGCTGAATAGATGGCTCGCCAGAAGATTGGCATCACTTTACTGCAAATACAACTTTCGTTTCGTTTCCTTTTATAAGATTTTTGATTCAAGAAGAAATTGAATACTATAGACGTATGATTTGAATTGAATTATTCAACTTTCTTGATTTGATAGCTTATTTGCAATGCAAGAGAAGCAATTCCTAGGATTTTTGACTTCCTAATCAAAAATAGACTTACAATTGTAATGCTTTCACGTTAAATTTACTTAAAATATTTAAAAGATGGTCTTCAAGATGACGTTTAGAGCTTTGCCTTCAAGAGCTTTGATGTTTAAGAGCTTTGCCTTCAAGAGCTTTGCCTTCAAGAGCTTTGCCTTCAAGAGCTTTGCCTTCAAGAGCTTTGCCTTCAAGAGCTTTGCCTTCAAGAGCTTTGCCTTCAAGAGCTTTGCCTTCAAGAGCTTTGCCTTCAAGAGCTTTGCCTTCAAGAGCTTTGCCTTCAAGAGCTTTGCCTTCAAGAGCTTTGCCTTCAAGAGCTTTGCCTTCAAGAGCTTTGCCTTCAAGAGCTTTGCCTTCAAGAGCTTTGCCTTCAAGAGCTTTGCCTTCAAGAGCTTTGACGTTAAATTCACTCACTCATGTGGTGTTAAGTGCAAAACCATCACATCAAACAACATAAAAGCCATTGAAGCAAGTAGAAGACACAAGTTTAGCCACTAAAAGGGTTTTATTGTTTTTTTTTGTTTTTGTTCTTTTGCATCGCTTTTTGTTACCTTATTAATCTTTAGATGTTTTTTGTATTGCAAAAGGTATCCAATGAGAAGTCCAATTACATAAATCTGACAACGAATCCAAGGTGAGGTATACATTAACCACATGTAGTTACTGAAACAGTTTTGTTAAAGCATTGAAAAAAATGCAAAGCAAAAAACTCACACTCCATTGCTTTCTTTTGGATCGGGTAAATCAAAAACATGGGGTCCTTGTGGATAATGGAAATGGTAGACTGTGGCTATGTTTCCGCTTGTTGATAGGAAAAGAATTGATCCTGCAATGATGAGGCCGAGTCGCTAAATTGATCGATTGATCGATTGTGATCGATTGCTTTAAGTGTTTGTAGTTTGTAGTTGGTTTAAGTCAGCTTTTAGATTAGAATCTCTAATTGTAGACTTTGTTTTTAATTTAGAATCTGGAAAACTAGGAGAAAAGTACAAGAAAAGTAAGAAAAACTAACTTTTAAAGGATTAGATGTTCTTTAAGCTAGGGTTAGCTTGTTTAATTCAAATTTTACATTAGAACCACTAAAAGAACACCTAAAAGAACAACTAACAATTAGAACAAAAACTAACAATTCGTGGACGCAATTGCAAGTCCATTGCAAGTCCAAGACTCGATCAAGACAAACCCTCACCAAATTCATTGCCAGAGTGACGAGAAGAATCGGAGAAAAGACAAACATTTGCATGTCAGCTGCCAGATACCAAGTGACACCATAACACTAAATATTGAAATGAACTCGTTTTGTTTAAAGTCCACAACCTGATGTTGTGGATGAACCAAATTCTGAACGTAAAGCATCGCTGGCCACCAAAAACTCCGGCAAGGATCATTACCTCCACCACTAAAAATATGATTTTTCACAAAACAATAACACAAAACATTTCGTATACCCAGAAAATAAACGATTCGCAGATTCGGGCATATTTGGGATAAAGATATAGCCCCAAAAGAAGAAAGCTAGATAGTAGGGAGGAGATAATCTAAATTTTAATTGATTCTATTGATAAATCTTGCCAAATGACGAACCGTAAAATTCGATGAATGTAAAACATGAGCCAACCGTTTAAAGAAAGAGCCAATCGACGATTTTTCTTGAATTCTTTAAACCTTAAAAGATGCTTTTTATATAAATCGATTATAGGTAAACTCACCAAATATAAGCCAACAGCAAGCCACCAATGAAAAAGAATGTGTCAACGGCGAAAAATGTGTTCGAGAGAAGATAGAATTGAGCTTTTTTCGAAATTTCAAGAATGTCAAGTGGATTTGCTGAAAAATTGCTGAAAAAATGTCGATAATAGCTGATTTTAAGCATATTGCATCCTGGTTTTCCTTTACAAAACCTAGATTTTATGTGTTTTTTAATGAATTTGAGTAATTTGAGTGCCGTTTTGGGTGCCGCTTTGGAGTTTTTGCTTTCCTGAATCTAGATTTTAGGAGAAAAGTAAGAGAAAAGTAAGAGAAAAGTCAGAGAAACTAACTTTTAAAGGATTAGATGCAAAGTTCTTTAAGCTAGGGTTAGCTTGTTTAAGTCAAATTTTACATTAGAACAATTAAAAGAACAACTAAAACAACAACCAACAATTAGAACCATAACTAACAATTCGTAGACGCAATTGCAAGTTCATAAAGCAAATCAAGTATCGTCGTGACATCATCGATAGTTTTTCTTTCTAACTCACATGTTAATGAAATCAAATTCTCGTTTGTGTGACCCATGATGACCCAGACCATCGACAAGAAGCGCATACAATGAAGGGGACCGATTTGACCGGGCTGAAATTGTACAATCAAAAAAAATACGTCTTTTAACTTCAAATCTATTGTAAACTTTGAATTCTTATGATATTTTTCAAACAACAACCTTATTTGTGCCTTTTGTATTTAAAATGCCTTTCACGTTGCTCGATAGAGAGAAAGCGATGAAGAGACGATACCAGAGCACTGAAATCGTATTTTTCTTATAAGCTGCTCTGGCTACCGTAGTCCGCCGGGGAATCTATTTCGTGGATAAGGGTCTTTAAAAAGGAAAAATTTTGGTGTAATTTTCATTCTGGACAATTTTGCGTAATGTACTGTAATAAGAGTTTTATTGAAACCGTACTAAGTATTTAATTCTGTTTAATTATAGACGCATTCATCCGCCAGAAATGGTCTTCGGTAATCGATCTCGTCAACCAAGCAAAAATGCCACAAATACTGGGGAAACGTCTGAAGGAACTCATCGGAGGAAAACTACCGCGTCATTACTGAACGTCTACACTTGAGCTGAAATCGAAAGGACGTTTCGCAAAAAAATGAGATCTGGATCGGAAGGACACCTCGTCACTGGTACTCTTCTTGCTGGAGAAGTTGGGAAGTACTAAACATAGCGCTCTAAACAAGTCAAGATGGTAGCGTTCAACTTCTTCAATGGCAATCGGCTCGACATGACAGCAACATATCCAAGCGATTTTGCAGGCAGCACAGACACTCCGGTCAAACATCATCAAGCCATTTCACTAGAAGAGCTGAAAATTGTGATCGATAGATGACTAAAGAGGATAGCAAGAAAAGAAAGAAGTGTGGCAACAATCGCAATGCTGATGTTTGGAGGACTACTTCGAATCTCCGAAGCACTTTGCTGAAACGACATCAAAGAGCTCGGAAATGAGACTTTGGAACTTTCAAAACTCGCAGAGTTTGTCGAGTAAACATAACTTTTTTTTGAGGCAAATCTATTCGTTTTCTTTTACTTACAATCTTTAATTTGTGTTCCCTCGATGTGATCAGCGAGAAAATAGTCGATGATTCCGGAAATAACACTCACCACGAAGATGGCTATCATGAGAATTCTAAATCACCGATTTTCAGTTGATCATGAGTCACTTTAACATTATATTTTGAAAATGTTTACTATGAAAATTGTTTTCTAATAAAATCGATAACTAGTAACGAACCCGAGAAACCAGGAGAGCCAATTGTTTTTGTTGTACGTTTTGGCGAAATCGTTGTTCACGACAAGGCAAATGTCTTCTAGAAGAGAATAGAGAATGAATTCTTTGACGACCAACTGTGTTCCTTGATCTCGAGAAGTTTTCGTATCTCATTTACTTTGCATGACTTGGGAAGACATTGATCAAAGGCGAAAAGGATCGATCCCGATGCACAGATTGAATCTTTTTGTTTGCCGAAGTAGAATCTGGAAATAAAGAAATTGCAATATTCCAATGTCTAGTTGGATAGCCTAGTTGAATAGCCTAGTTGAATAGCCTAGTTGAATAATCTAGTTGCATAACCATCACTAACCTGAACATATCCCCTTCCCAAACATTCGATCGATCAGCTCCATTGTATTTTATCCCACGACATTCATCGAAACGACCAGCAAACACTTTTCGACCCTTCAAAAACCCTCCATTATAGCCACCATTTGAGTCGATTACTATAAAAAAATGACCTAAAAAATGATCAACTTTATTCCAACCTTGAATAGTGACAGTTTTGTCGAAATCGTTTAACGTTGAAAGGTTTTTCTTTAGCATCGCATTCAATATCCTCGAAAGTGAAGCACGAAGATCGGCCATATCTTCCATACATCTCTCATTACCCCAAATCTCTGTTTTCGCCTCGTTATCGATCAGCCAATCTTTCATTTCAAAGGACACAACTCCCTCTAAAGTCACCTGAAAATTCTGATTTCTAAAGTATAAACGCTATCAATTTACATTCTCTCCATTGGCCCATAAATTTCTGCCGAATTTTGGAAAGCCATCGAAGTTCTGAGCGAATACACAAAAAGTAAATAAAAATATGAATGAAATCAGTCGGCTGACGTTCATTAATCTAAAAAAGATTCAAAGTAGACAACCGATTGAGAAAAAAGATAATAAATAAAGCTTCAAAAGCTTTGTAAGCTACAAAGCGTAGCTTACATTCTTACATTTGTTAGTTAATTTGTTTTTAAAAGATGGGGTAGGCTAGTTTCCGCGACTGGGTCCTTTGCGCAGCTTGCCATAGCTTTTTTCTAAGTGCGCCAATCTTTATGATTTTGGTTTCATTTTGTAGATCTCAATAAGTGCAACAAAATAACACCAAAAGCATAAAGAGTGGCCCACTTAGAAGAAAGTTATAGCGAGTTGCGCAAATGACACCTGTTGTGCAAAAAAAATTGCGGAAACTAGTCTACCCCTAAAAGACTAAAGACTTTGGAAATAGCACTATCTATATAATACATTTATTCAGCATATTAACACAAACACAATACAAAACCCCTGACAATAAATGTTGATATGATCAACTCATTTGCTTGGAAAAAAACACTGGCAATCTAGTCAGCGGGATTGAACCCTTGACCCTCAAACTAGGGACAAGGCTTCTAACCACTCGACCATCTGGGAAAAAGGTTAAGTATACAAAAATCTGAGTATTTCAAAAAACCACCCACAGAAAAATACCGAAAATTTATGATACTTGTCAACAGTCTTCAACAGCTTTGGGAGTGGGACAAATGCGACCTTTTTTTTGCTGGAAAAGGCCTTAGGCAAGGCCGTAGAGCTTCGAAAATATTTCCATATAAGGGAATTGTATGCGTAGATTCCGAATTTCGACAAATCAGACCTCGCTGACACGTCAAATTTGGGCTAAAAGGCAAAAACTGCGGAAAAGCGTTAAGTTGCGTAGTTTTTGCCTTTTAGCCCAAATTTGACGTGACAGCGAGGTCTGATTTGTCGAAATTCGGAATCTACGCATACAATTCCCTTATATGGAAATATTTTCGAAGCTCTACGACCTTTCCTAAGGCCTTTTCCAGCAAAAAAAAGGTGCGCAAATGTCCAGGTGCGCAAAAAAAAGGTCGCATTTGTCCCACCCCCACAGCTTTCAACACAATTATTTTACGCAAACCGTCAAAACGTAAATATTTCACGGATTTTGCAAAACCAACACCAAAAGTGTGATCAAGTATCAAGTGGATTTTAATTTATAGGCCATTTCTTTCATTCTCTTATCTCTTTTATCTGTGGTATCGTCATTTTGACACCTAGCTTCCCCCTTTTTCCCCCCTCACTTGTTCACTGATCACTTTGTTTGCCCTCTTTTCGTTTTTCTTTTTGACTCATTAGGTACACCCCTTTCCCATCTTGGAATTGAAACTGTGATGAAAGACAATCACTGTAAAGCCATCTGTCTTTGCCAAAAAGTTCAAACAGATCAAACCTCTCTTCTATATGTACTCTCAACGAAATAAAGTCATCAAGCTTTGAAACGATTCAACTGGGATCACTTCAAAATGATGATAAATGTTTCCACATAGGCTTTCTTCAGAATTAGAATCAAGCTAGATATGTGAGGCAGTTTATGAAATTATCGAAGACTTTTTTTGAAGCGCTTGCCGTAGACCACACCCTAGACATTTCGAATGCCCCTCCCCCTATGTCCCCTTTTGCTCCCCTGTTTGTCCCCTAGTCATTTTTTCGATATTTCTTGATATTTTTAAAATTTCAACAGTAACTTAGATTTTTTGTGTGCTTTACCGATAGAAAAAAAACATAATAAACGCAACTAAACCAGTCCCACGCCGAAATTGCCTTGTTTTTCCCTACTTAATCATGATTTAGCACAGTTGCCCCTACCTGTTTTTTGCTTTTTGCAGTTTTTTTTAACATTTTGTACTTTAATAAATGTTTTTCTTTACAGGTAAACGAAATGGTGGGTGATCAGATGTGCAACTGCGTCGCCGGGATACATAAAACCGCGAGAATGCGGAGATGGATGAGAGCAAAGCGATGTCCTTGGATGCCATCTTGTAAGTTACACTTGATTTTTTCTAATGACACATGATCTAACTGTTTATCCGCTAATATTTTGCTTTAGAACATGAATGTGGTGACTCATTCGATGGATCAAGCGGAGAAACTGTGCAAGAGCCACAACGCCGGTCCTCTCAAGCTCGATAATGACAAAGGGGTCCATGCTTTTCTGAGTTTCTTTGTCAATTTAGCCATCTATACTAAAATTTCATTTAGTGATGTCGTTCTTTCAACAGACCAAATTAACGACCGGGAAAAAATGTGTCGGAGACGGTGCGAAAAATACGAGCTGACCAAATCTGATCAAAGTGTGTAAAGATCAGTCAAGGACAAGTGTGTAAAGGTATGTTTATTTAAAAATTATGAAAACAAATGCATCAAAAAATAGAGTATGTTCTTGCCGCATGTAGATAAATTTCGAGATCATCCGCGCGTTTATTCCTCTTACATAGCTGATTGAAGACAGAATGAAGACATTCGAGATCTTCTTCTGACACAGACCCTAGCGCTTTATGTGTTGATAGAAAAAGGGGAACGTGTTCAATTGCTACGTGGGCTTTGACAGTTTTTAGTCCAATATTCTTTAGTTCCATAGCTTTAAGTAAGTTGTCTGTAGCCGAAAGTATTACTTGGATTTCCTTGTCCGATAGAACGCTCTTTGTAGATCCGATCGTTCGCGAGAATTCATTAAAAAGCTCCAGACAATCACATAACTTTTTGTAGGCAAGTGAACTGACAATCGGTCGAAATGCGTTTATATTTGCACATAATTTTTTCTACTTTGGTCTTCAATCATCGGATTTGTAAGATTTACTCTTTTCTCTGTTCAGACCCAATTTTTCAGTCAATTGTACAAATGCCTCTCCTTCTTTTGAATGGCTTGCACGAGCCTCTGTTTCCATAGCTTTAAAAATGCAATTAACAAAACCAAGTTTAAGGTGTAGCACAGGAGGAATACAACACGATGGATGTATCGACGAAAGACGCCCAACTTCTCTTCAGGTTTGGCAGATTTTCTTTGCAGAATGTCATCAAAGTGTTTGATTGTTCGAACAGAATATTGATGTCTATCGAAATTCGTGATAACTTTTGTTGGATTTAGGGATTTGTCCACTTTATATATACACCAAATGCAGGGGTAAGTTGATGCAATCAAATGACGCTGCAAGAAAGTTGAGATCACCTCCCAAAAATATCTGTCTTTTGAGTGGTGCGAGCTTGTCGACAATATTACTGTATTTTAGCAGGTTTTGATGGTCGTCTCCTCCTTTTCAAACAGCAAGTGGTTATAACATGATTGAGGATTGTGTTTCTTGTCTGGAAGCATAAGTGTTAACTTTGTACTATTAAGTCCCTTATCGCCCATTATAATCAACCGTTCCGTTTCAGAATCGTTCAGCTGACTCAATTGATGTTTTCTGCTGCAAATAGATCTTTCAATACAATAGCGTTCCCTGATATCTCATAATCGACGTATTGTGCTGAAGCTTTCCGGGTCCTGTCCATTTGATACTCGCTGGCAAAAAAGAGATGTCGGACGGCTATACATTCTGTGAGCATCACGAGTAATTTTAGATTTTGACATCAAAGCCAATGTTTCAAGAGGGGAAAGAAGAGATCCACAACCAATTGGACGCCTACGTCGTTTTTTTCAGGTAACGACGATAAATGTTTCGGGCTAAACGAAGCTTCTGCAACATTTCAACGCGTTTGCGTTTTTTGATTCTACTAATCTCCTTTTTGCTTGTTCTAATCCTTTCCATCTTAAGTTGGCTTGAAACCTTCATCCACTGCTTCTCTCTCTTGGTTTCGATCGTTTGCTTTTCTATTTTGCTGCGTTTCTTTGGTCGACTCATTTTTGGGTATCTAAAAAAAGAAACAATTATTATGACATGAAAATGATAAAGAAAGCTCGTAAAAAGAAGAAAAATAAACTGAAAAAAAATTCTTTGCAAGCGCTCTTTAAGTAGTTTTTTTTCGCCATGGGAAGGGTTACGGTATTATCCACGTTTTAGGGCGGAGAAAGTCGTCAAACGTCATTTTTGTCTTCAAAATGTTATAACTTTTTTGTGAGTTGACCAATTAATACGATTTTGGTCTCAAAATGACCGCAGACAACATTTTGACAAAGTCTACTCCCTGGGCTTTCCTAATTTTTTGTCATCATCGAGTAGTGGAGGGCCAAATGCAGGTGAGTTTGACCGTTTCTGTGTAAAATGACCGATTTTTTTGATAAAATGCGATTTTAAAAAATCTACAAGACGGATTTTGATAATTTTTATTGAATTTATTGAATCACCATTGAATTCAGCACATTTTTATTCTAAATATTGGCATAATTTTGTTTTTAAGCCGCTTGGGAGTCATATATAGCAATAAGAGAAGAGAACGACTACTGCCCTCACTTGTGGAATCGATGATCACCGTACAAGATGCTGACCAAGACGAAGTCACTAAAAGGTATGTTACTTTTCTTGGTTTTATTTTTATCATTCTGTTACAGACTACTTCGAGGGGGCAAAAGGGGGACACTCAAAATGTAGACTACATCCCCAATTAGATGCTAATTTCACAAATAAAACGATCATCATGACACCTAGACAGTTTCTGAAGTACAGGTCAAATTTCCTTACAACAAAATTCGATATTATACTTTCGCTTAGAAAAGTCTTTTCTGAAATAACAATTTTATTAAATCAGCGAAAAAACGGCCTGCATTTCGAGTATTGACTAAAATGCTTTACTGTACTGTACTTTGTTTCTGTTTTATTCTGTTTTCATAATTTGTCGCGACACACAACAAATAAACTTTTAACACGTAATTTCTCAAAGCAGAAATACAACAAGAAGAAAAACAAAAGAGTAAAGTTGAGAAGCATTCGCATTGGTAGTCGTCAATTCAGTTGTAGTTGGACTTGATGTTAACTCTTCCGTTGTCGTTGGTGGAGGGGTTGTTTCGTCAGAATCTGGATCTGGGTGCGTCAGAATCTGGATTGTTGTTGTAGTGCGATCGATACTTTCTATAATATTTTTCTAAATATCACGTTCATAACTGTTTCGTGTAATTTTTTGGCATACTTTTTTAAAATGACTCCTTTTCATTTAGCAAACGACTAGCGACCAACAAATACCATCGAGAACTATAAGTTAAACTGTACTTGTAGTGGTCGTCGTTTCAGTTCCAATCGTCCAAATAGTCGTTGTTGTTGTTGTAGTAGTTGTTGTAGTAGTTGTTGTAGTAGTTGTTGTAGTAGTTGTTGTAGTAGTTGTTGTTGTAGTCGTTGTTGTAGTCGTTGTTGTAGTAGTTGTTGTAGTAGTTGTTGTAGTCGGGGGTGTATGAGCACCTGTCACATGGACTCTTGCGGCTACCCCAGAATCACTAGTGGCTTCATGAGGAGACCAGTAGAGCTGAAAATATTTTTTGTAAAATAAGATCTTTATTTAATTAGCAATTACTTCAAACATTGGAGTAAATTACTCAAAATTGTCACTAATTTAGAAATCAATTTATAAATCAAGGCCCACTTGAATGGCACTGATGTCCGAAAGCTCGTAGGTCGTATTCAAAGTCCCAGCATCGATCGTAAAACTAAAAATGAGTTTGCATTTGGGTATATTGAGTTTCGAATGCCAATTCGAACTTTATGTGTCTCAAAAAAACGTTGCTGTTCATTTATTTTTCATGCAAGATCACTAACTTCCCAATTAACTGAAGCTGAGCATCGAAGAGGTTAACCGTAACCTCATGATTGACAACCCTCATCACCTCAAGTGTCACGTTCGAGAGAAAACTTACTGTAACATAGAATTCTTTTGCTTAATTTTCAAAGCAAAAACGTACCGCAGTAAATCATTCGGCTCAAATAATAATCATCAGGGAATTCGTTGTATGGGTCGAGATAGCCGAGTGTCGTGACAAGGGCTGTCCCTTCACAGAGTGACTGTGCCTCATCATACCAGCATAAAAGTTTAGTTGATTAGCATCTAACTAACAAAAATTGTGTTTTTACAGTTGAATCTATCGAAATGCATTCAATGCATTCAATAAATCGAATAAAGTTGTCACTGTTCTATCTATTTTTATAGAGAAAAACACAATCTACCCCCAGCGTCTTTGTCAGTCTGTCTGAGTTGAATTGTTGGCGAGCAGCCAGCCGGGATTTGGAGACTGTAGCGACTGTTTTCGAGATATTGCTCCACTAGTGGTTCGGTTTCTCTAAAAAATTTTATTTAAATTTAGCTTTAGATTTTTTCAATTCTTTAAACTATCAACTACATTAATGTGGCGAATAGCCACTAAAAAGTTAACTAACTCTGGCAGCCTAAAAATTGGACAAATATTGAGGAAATCGGTGCGCCTTCATTCTATTTATTGTCATTTATTGTTTTTGAACCAAAATTGAACAGGTGTTCATACGGGCAATTTTGTGATTGAGGGTCAGTTCAAATGGAACCCATTTTCCGCATCTTTTTTGCTTTCCAATCAAATGTAAATGCTCTTCAATGGTGCTATGATGAACATTGAACATTTCCGACGACTCCCGAGTGGTGCAAGTGGGATCTTCTTCGATAATTTGCAAAAGTTGAGACTCATCCAGCTATCGAGGACGTCCTTCGTGATGCTCATCTTCTAGGCTCTCGTTTCCACTTCGAAATCGCTCAAACCATCGATAACATTGGCTTTCGCTAATACTACTTTCGCCATAGGCCCGCCAGGGGCACCATAAATAGAATTATGCGATTCTTGGGCAGATTTTCCAAGCTTAGAGTCATAGAGTAAAGCCCCAAATCATTTATTGTTTTGTAGCTTGTTAGCTGAGTATCTTGTGTTAAAGCCTATATAAGGCAACTGTTGTTCATTTTGTTTTTTTGTTATCTTTTTTTCTTTGTTATCTTTTTTGTTATCTTTGTTATCTTTTTTCTTTCTTTCTGCTTTCCTCTCATTTTGTGTGAAAGTTAGGACGAATTAGGACCTAATTAGGACGAAATTGTTTCTGTTTTTTATCGTCGCTTTTAATTCAATTGTCGATCTTGTGTGAAAATTGCTCAAGTGAGAGCCCAAAAATTCCGAGTCAGTCGGCTATTGAATAAAGTGTTTTTAGTTCAAGTGAGATCAGACATCTCGAAACAAGAAATAACGTGTCTTGAGTGAAGAGTACCAAGCACGCGAACAATATTTCTTTACAATTAAATCACGAACTTGATCGTGAGCAACTGCTTGTCTGGATATCCACCATTATCTCCTGGAGGATTGTCTAACCAAAGCTCATAGTTGCATGTTTCGTTGTTGTTTTTCTGAAATAGAATTGTTAAGTTTTACCCAAGAGCTCAGATTTCAACCGATTCCAGATCAATGTAGTTTAGTATTCCTTGGTCGAAAGCTAAAGCAATCCAGGTGTTTTGATAGGACTCAGCAAGAGAGAATTCGAAGTTGTCGACCTTTGTGGTAAACGGTATTGGGAGGAAACTGGTGTTAACTAAAGTATCAAAGGGGTTATGTGCTGGTCAACAACAGTAGTTATCAACAGTAGCTGGTCAATGAAGTAAATTTACCGTAAATGCTGTATTAGAATGTAGAAATTATTATTTCTATTTTTCAACCCCTCAAAATCGACGGATCCAAAAATAAGTAAAGGGGGATCATATGAGGCAAAAATTTAGAATTCGTTAAAAACTATTTTAAACAATGATCCTTTGTCGAAAACGTACAAAAACACGTTTAAAAGTGAAATTACCGTATTCTCTCTAATAGTAGTGCGCACTACTATTTTGTATGTCAAAAGGACCGCAATACTATTAGAGAGTGCACTCCTGGACCGCAATACTATTAAAGAGTGCACTATTATTAGAGAGAATACGGTATTGACTTACCCGCGACCCCCTTTGAATCTCCAAAAAAATCAATCTGGGGGACCCTTCTGTTTTTTTTCAAAAAATTATTTTTATATTTTTTCAAAAATAACGTTTTAAATTTTACTGCTGATTTTACTGCCGATTTTACTGCCGATTTAGTAGGTTTTAGGTCTAGATCTATCCATAGAACCCCCACAAGAGGGTCTAAAGTCAAGATTTCGAGGAGTCAAAGGGGCGTCATTTTAATACAGCATTTACGGTAGATTTAAAAGAGCAACCACACTAGCTCACCTTTCATATATTGATTGACACGAAACAGGAAAGCGATCGTTGATGCATCGATTGTCGAGTGAATATCCCAAGTGATCCCAAGTTGCTTATCCTTGGAATCCCATGTGCAACTTTTTAGACTCAAATTTCCGATGGTTGCCCTTAAACTTATTTATCATTTATTTCTTTATCAATAAAAGACAATGCTATACCTTTTCAAGCAATTACTCAGATCAACCAGGTTTTTATTTGTTAACGTGAATGGGAGATCTTTCGACTCGATGTTGCATGACAAAAAGTCGATTGTCTGAAATCGATTTTGAAGATAGAAAATGTTGATAAAGAATTACTGTATTTTCTATAATAGTAGTGCACCCATGCAAATGATTATATATAAAGCTATCCGTTCTTTCTGTGTGCTCAAAATGTTTTTCATTTAAAAGCTTTACTTATCAGCTATAATTTTCAGCAAGAAGTTCTAATCAACGGTTCTTGAGAGATCGAGCATTAAAAGTGTTAAGCATTGCATCAAAGGGTGCATTATAGAAAACTATAGAAATACGGTAGCTAACGTGTTTAAAGTTTATTATAGCTTTTGGCTATGCTTTTAAAATTACTTTTTCATCTGAACAAAGATAAGAGAAATCGAGTGTGATCGAGCACTCATCGCAAGCAACAACACTGCAAATGGCTGAAAAACGATGATTTTGTTATGTTCAAATATAATCGTAAAGTAAACCGTTGTTAGTTATTAGTTATTAGTATCGAGAATAAAGAGAAAAAGATCTGCTGAAGCTTAGAAACAATCAGTGATCAACCAAAATGTTGCATAGTCACATAAAATAATAAAATAGTGAGACTTGTGAGTGACTATTTCGATTTACGATAACATTTTAGATGATATGTTGTCAAGTAAACCATAAAACCCCGTACTTTGTTGTTTAGCAGCACTCAGTTGAGTTCCCGAGTATTGTAAAGCTGGATCATTCTCGTTAAAGCTAACACCTTCACCGTTGCACTTTGCCCTGATTAACTCAAATCGAAAAGCTAACAATAAAATCCAAAAAATGTTAGCTGAATGCATTCGAGAATAGTAAATGAGTGAAAAAGGCAAGTTTACGGTGAATTTCCGCTTAGTTTTACTTCTCTTGATTATTTTCTTGATCGGCTTCCTGGAATGCGATTAGTGGCCAAATGCTCACAAAGTTGGTGATAAAAATGGTATCAAAGTTTGAATTCACTTCGAAAAATCAGTCTGAAAAATCAGCCTGATTTCGGAAAACGCGATGTCTGCGAAAAACGATTAATTCCTAAAAAAAGATCAAAAATTGTTCGTCATTAAAAATGTGATGGATTTTTGGTCACTATTAATTTAGATTACTAAAATGAAGATAGACTACGCGGCTGTACGGTGCTTGTATTAGAGTTTACTATTTTGTAGAGGAGATTTAGGGCTTTCTAATAGTATATAACACTTATTGGCTGAGGCTTACAATGTTTTTATTTTTGGAAAGATAAGTGAGCGCTGTTTTCATTCCCATCACTTTCATTTCGATATAAGGTGTAAGATTTACTCGATTCACGAAAAGAGCTCTTGAAATAGCTGCTGTTTAAAGGTTTTCAAGATGTTTAAATTGAAAAACATAAGCTACAAAGAAGAGATGAGATATCACTTGAGAGATTAGAATCGTTCTTCAATGGGAAATGTATTGCAATCACTGATTTTAGATTGATTTTGTATAAGAAAAGCATAAAAACTAAGACTGTCAATCGATTCCCCAACCCCGAAAACCCCGGGTGCAATTTTTCTGTTCAAAAATTTGAAGTTTTTGAAATTTAAAAGGCAAAAAAGAAGATAGCTTTGTGTTCGCTGTGCGCGAGCACAATCGCGCTCGATCTGGCATACTTCGCTTCCAGATATCGTTCCCTTTTCACTTTGCTAACCGGAAGCGTCCATTTTGGGTCATCCGGTAACCAATCCGTTGTCTGCCCCATGTGGTCACCGCTTCCCAAAACTAACCTCGGCTGTAGAATTGGCAAACCCAGTTCCGGCCCATCTTGACCATTATGGCAGGTTCTCTGTCGGTCGAGATGGGATCCCAAGTGCCCGTAAAAGGGTGCTGAAGGGAGCCGCTGTGAATTTTTGGATTCATCCCAAGGATTTCGGTCCGTAGGGGCAGCAAAAACTCATGCAACGAATGGCGAGGCTATTACCAGAAACATATTTTCCAGGAAATGGTCATTTTAAACCTTTGAACTTAAAAGTCACCCAAATCCCCAATAATCAATCGAATTCAAAATCTTTTTGAACTATTTTGTAGAGGAGATTCAGAGCTTTCTAATAGTATCAACACTTATTGGCTGAGACTTGTAATCCTTTTATTTTTGGAAAGATATGTGGGCACTTGTTTTATTCGTATTACCTTAATAATGAAATTCACAAAATGAATGTCGGAGTCAGAGAAACCTAAAAATAACGGCATTATGATTTATAAAGTAGAAAATGAAAAGTTTCAAAGTGAAAAGCGTTGTCTCACGAAATAAATGAAAAAAACTCTTACACGCTTCTTTTTTCTCACCACCGGATCCTTAAGGACTCTTCTCGGTCTTTGTAATCATATGTTTTTCGGATTTTTTTTAGGAACAAACGGAGTTTCAGATCATTTCAGATCACTCGAAACTCCTGCTTCCTTCATTCCAGTTTTGAAATCCCTTTTTACTCTACCCCATTTATTCGGGTTAATCTATTTCAAAATGTGATCAAAAATCTACGTAGTAGCCATTAGTAGCATTTTGTTCAAAAAATAGATCTCAAAAGGAAATGTTTTCAGATTTGATTTCAGAAATGCCACAGCAACGCCACTTCTTGTCCAAATGTCACACGAAATCTCTCGTTTTTGGCTAACATTTTATTTTTACCTAAACTTTTTGTTATCAAAACCGAAGAATTCTCCGAGTTTTTGATGACCCCAGACGTTTGGAAATAAACTAAATAAGCGTTTTATTCTGATCCCAGAATAAAACGCTTATTTAGTTTATTTTCAAACAAGGAAAAGCGTTTGAAATGTTTTTGAGATTTGAGGGTTTAAAATTTACCGATGAAATAATATCCATAAGTTTCAGGGAACATCTTTGGCAAATTGTAAAGCGGTTAACGGTGAGATTTAGAGAATCTTTCAATTCATCAATTTTCTTCTGCAATTAACGCCTAGAAGAAAAGAAAGTTTTGCTAAAATACTTTCACATTTTATTAAAAACGCATTTTATTCTAACGATTATCGATTTCAAATTTTAGAACCTAATGTCGAAAAGTTTGAGATTATGAGAGAGTGCACGAAATGGCGCTGCAAGCTTTGCAAGCTTTGTAAGCCTTCAGTACACCGCCATTTCGTGCACTCTCTCTTCTCTCACGCGCAAAATAACATTAAAACGGGTTTAATTTAATTAAAAGCTTATGTCTGGATGTTTTTTTTTGAAAGCGTGAAGTCGGGTAGTCAAAAAGGGTGGTTCGATGATGCGATTTAGACAATTTAGCTGAGGAAATCTATCTTCGTTTCAATAGATTTCCTTAGCTTAGCTCTCCTTAGCTTAGCTCTCCTTAGCTTAGCTCTCCTTAGCTTAGCTCTCCTTAGCTTAGCTCTCCTTAGCTTAGCTCTCCTTAGCTTAGCTCTCCTTAGCTTAGCTCTCCTTAGCTTAGCTCTCCTTAGCTTAGATTTCCGTAATCTCCTTTACAAATTTATTTTTCCATCAATTTATTTATTTTCTGATGATCGGCACATAAGAAACATTGAAATTTGTGCTTATCCTGAGACTGAAACAATCGAAACTTGAATCGTTTTGCTGTTTTTGAATTTCTCGCGTCGAATGATTCGTCTCGTTTCAGCAGAAAGAAAAACGAGAAACCTGAAATTTTATTAGCATTTATTTATTAACAATTGCTCATCTAATCTCACCAAATCGGCACAAAGTTTCCGAGATCCGTGAAAACGGGAGCGAATTCGTAAAAGAACCACGCCTCATCTGGGGTATAAGTATGACAGATCACCTAGATCGATACTCAACACATGAAAACAATTTGTTAGATATCTTCTGCACAAAGCACTCTCTTTCTACTCTCTTCAACTTACAATTTCCACCGATCTCATCGTCATCACCAAGAATTGTACAATTGTTGTCAAATGAAATCGATACTCTCTCGGCGCAATCGATTTCACTTTTTCTCTCGCGAACCTTATCAACATCCAACAAACATACAGATTAAAAAAGAAGCTCAATAATAAAGAGAAATTTGCAAACCAATAGTATAGATCGGCCAACCATTTCTGGAATAATAAAACTAATTTTTATTCGGAACATAGCTATACTTCCCACAAAATTGTCGTTTTCTAAAGTGCACCTTGCAGGTTGTCTGTCTGTCTGTCTGTCTGTCTGTCTGTCTGTCTGTCTAGGTTGTCACTAAGAACTTCCCGTAGTCTGTAGCATTTTATTCATTTGATTTTATTTCTTTCGCTCCCTCCCATTTGCTTCTACATTTTTGTATACGAATTGTGATTGTTTTTTCGTTTTTATTATTCTAGATAAACGCTAACTGTTATTTCGCAAGCAACTCCATTACAACAATGTTTGATAGACCAAAATCGCTTACGAATTCCGGACGAAAGTCATCAATTGGTAGATAATAACCCCAAATGACGCGGTAAAAGTAAAAATCGACTACAAAGAATATAAGACATGAAGAGATTCCGGCGAATAAAATGATCGAGAAAAGGAGAGGCCAAGTGATACGCAACCAGATCTAAAGTGCTTCTTGTATTGATTTGCTTGTTTGAATCATACAGCATATCATATAGTATGATAAGATGAGTGTGTCAGTTTGCATTTCAGGGTAAAGTACTTAGTCATGGCAACTAGTAAAATTCATGCTTCATACCGTTTTCTAAAAGTTGCGCTCCACTTTTTTCGTTTACCTGTTTAAGCATTAGATAGGTTATAAAAATAAACCGAAAGAGAAAGGTTAAAAAATGTTCTACAAGCTGTTAAAAGCTATCAAGCTCATAAATCTATCAAACACTTAAACATGGCACACAACAAGTAAACGAGAAGAACTGGAGCACAACTTCTAGAAAATAATTACACATATGTATACTTTAATTTTTTCGAAAAGGTGAAAGATAGCATGAAATTTTTTGGCATAAAAGCATGAATTTGACTAGTTTCCCTTACCTTTTCATAGGCTGTTGGTTGATAAAGTGCTGAGGCTCGATTCACAGCCACTAGAAGAGTACCCAGATATTGAGTCAGAAAGGTGAAAACTGCCAAATAGTAGATCAAATAAGGAACAAAACCAGTCTAAAGTGATATCTTGGTATGATAAGATGAAAGTTTCAGATTTCCCATACTTGAATCCCGCTATAAAGCCATTCATTAACACCCCAAGTGGGTAAACGAAGCTCCAAATATTGAACAGCCCAAACGACAAGGTCCTAGAAGAATTTTTGCTTTTTTAGAGCTTTCAGGTAACTTTTTTTCTCTACGATAAACCCACATTAGCCGAGAAAATCAGAAAAATCTTTTGATAGTGCGATTTGAAGCCTTTCCTTAGATGATGGAGAAGGATTTTGACGTAAATATAGCATGTGATTGATCCAAGAATGAGAAAAATAAAAGAAGAAGTGATCTCGAATGGATCGATGAGAAGCGGAGATTGTTGGAGTGAAGTGAACAGAGAAGAGTCATTTTGGGGATCACTATCATTCATCGAACACTAAATAAATCAGAAATCTATTTATATATAAAAGAGCAGTTTCTGTCCGTCTATACGGGCTTTTTCTCAGCCGCTTTTTTTCGTTTTTCGGCTGATCTATCGAAAATTTTGAAAAGCAAATAGCAAAAACAATGCAATAAACGTAAAAATCTATTTCTTGAAGTGATTTCAAAGTAAAAAAACTAATTATCCATCTAAAACGAGTCTCCAAACATTACCAGGAACTTTAGCTAACCAATCAACAAATAAAAATAGCCAAATCTCTTTTCCAATCAACTGAAATTATGATTTCCAAGAAAATTCTAGGTTTTTTGACTGAAGTTTGTGTATTTTTCATTTTTTTTATCGCCAACATGTAATTATTGACTCGTCCGTCTTTTCATAATTAGATTCAAAATGGACAAACTTAGAATTATGGAATTACTCAGCGTGAAAGGTTCAAGATGAAAGATGATGAATTAAATAAAAGAAAGTGATAATAAACTTGGTTAACAGATCGTTAATGAGAGTTGGTGTTTGGTTAAATCGGATCTGGTGCCCCGAAAACATTGAAATCTCTAAAGATTTATCTTTCTAAAGAATTTAAAGTTTTTTCTTTCTTTTCTGCATCAATGACTATAGTCATTGATGAAGAAAATTTAAAGAAACAGAAAAAAAATAACTAACAGCCGTCGTAGCCGACCGGATAGGAGTCTTGTCTCCTAGTTGGTAGGTTAAGGGCTCGATCCCGGCGGCTAGAAAGATTGCTTCTTTTTCCCATTATTATGGGTCTTTTCTTAACAACATTTGGGTAATAGGAGTAATTAGGGGTAAAAATTTCCTCCTTTATGTTATAATTCATTATTCGTGTTGAATAAATATACTTTTAACAAGAGTGAAGGCTAAAATTGGGTGATTAAACCAAAGAAATATCCCTTTTTCCTGAATAGCGAGCTTTAAAATGACCCCTCACCATCCCTCCAGATATGCTTCTGTGGCGCAATGGTTAGCGCGTTCGGCTGTTAACCGAAAGGTTGGTGGTTCGAGTCCACCCAGGAGCGTCGAGCTTTTGCTTTTTTCAATCTGGTGCATCGAAAAGTTCGTTCTTAGCTTTTCAGAACCATTTGCTCACTCACTACTGTAAAATATAGTTAAGATTGAGTATCTTTAGCTTAAAATGGCAGATATTACTTCATCTTTAGGTTGTTTAATTAACAGTAGACAGATTCAGTCAACCAGGTTTTCAGCTTACTATCAATTAGCCTAAGAATAAGAGAAACTCAGCCAGTCAGCCAAATCGAATCTCCTATTTTTTAACTTAAACTCAACCGGATTGAACTCTTTTACATCGACAGTTCTGAAATTGATTCTGAGATTCAAAAAGATACAATTAACCAGGAAAAAACTTCTTGAATAACAAAATTTGACTGTTTATCCAATGACAGAAATATCTGGGTAATTATTGTCATTTTGTTTTGTCGCTATTCAACTGAATAAAGCATATTATATATCCTGAGCAAAATAAGAATGTTAGAAAGAGAAAAAAAATAAGGATGTTTGATGCAATCTTCATTTTTTCAATCATTTCACTTTTAGCTTTAGCCCAGTCACCAATTACACAGAAAACAAAAATAATTGCAACAACCTTTTTCAATTTCCAAAAAAGTTACAAAAGTTGTAATTTTTTCAATTAGTTTCCTGCCCATTATTTCCCTATAGATCTCTGATTACATCAAGAAAACATCATTAAAAATGGAAATTTTCTGTAGACGGTAGACAGTTGATTAACTTTACATTAAACTCTTTTATATTCATCAGTCATTAATTTAAAAATTCAAAATAATTTAAAAGAAGCAGAAAAAAATGACTAACAAAAGTTAAGGGTTAAACTTGGGTAATTAAACAAAAGACCTATCCCTTATAATTTCCTGAATAGCGAGCTTTAAAATGACCCCTCACCATCCCTCCAGTCATGCTTCTGTGGCGCAATGGTTAGCGCGTTCGGCTGTTAACCGAAAGGTTGGTGGTTCGAGTCCACCCAGGAGCGTCGAGTTTTTGCTGTTTTGAAAACAGCTAGTTAAAGCTGAAACTCTCAAGATATCAAATATACAGTGCGCTTCACATTAATAAGTTCACCCAAAAATCCGAATATCTTAAATATCTTAAATATCGCGCAATATCTTAAATTAGCATGTTTGAAATCCTTTTTATTGAAAAAAGCGCATCAAAAATCCTAGATTCCCCTAGAAACAAGCTTTCTAACTACGAAAAAGGTCAAATCGATCGCCGAGCAAATCAAGAGAACAATTGTTTGAAGAATCCCGGATATGGCACAAAGAAGGTTTGGATGGATTGGCCAAGTCGATCTCAACCCCATTGAGAACCTCTGGGGCATCTTGGCTCTGGAAGTTTACAAAAAAATGGCACTTTTCATCTGTTGCTGATCTGAAACTTATTATTCGGCTCGCTTGGAACAATTTGGATCCAAAGTTCTTGCAAAACCTCGTTTTTGATACTACGTTATGTTTTCGGCTCGCTACGTTATGTTTTTTTGGTCTAAATGTGCAAAAATGTTAAGCAATTTGTTGAATCTAGGGTTTTTTGATGCGATCTTTTCAATAAAAGAAAGAATTTCAATAAAAATTCGAACAGTAACATGCTGTTAACTTAAGACATTGCGATTTTCTTTGGTGAACGTCTTGATGTGAAACGCACTGTACCAAATGAATATCCTTGACGCCCTTCCACACATCAAAGCATCTTTATTTTGTGGAAAAGTTGCTGCCATTATTTCAGAGATCGAAAATCTATCAAATCTCTTATTTTTCACTTTTCCAAGATATTTTTTCTTGTGTTCCACTTGATATCAATTTCCTTATATTTGCTCGTCTTTTTCAGGATGTTCCACTCGATCGAGATTGAAAAACTAAAGTCAAACAGGTTAAAGAATAAACAGGAAACAAATTTTCCCTTTAAATATCGTTCAAATTTGAAAAGTTTTAAAAATCACATACGCTGAAAACAACAAAATTTGAAATTTGGAAATTTTGGCTTTTTTAAACTCAAATTTGCTTTCAGGGATGCGTTTGCTTCTCTTTCTTGGCATTTTCTTTGTTTTAACGATATTTTGTGAAGACGAATCAACAACAAAGCCAGATGAAGAGACAACAACGGAGAATCTAGATCAGACAACGACAGTCGAGAATCCAGATCAGACAACGACAGTCGAGAATCTAGATGAGACGACAACTCAAGGTGATGGAGATCTCACAACTGAAGGTAGATAGAAAGCTGAGAAAGAAATCCCCTCTTTTTACAGCTTCCACTGATCAACCGACAACAGAGAACCCGTTTGATTTTGAGGATGATGAGACAGAAGAAGAGGAGATCAACGAGATTGTGGCGCAAGAACCGATCCCCGATCAGACGCCGATTGGAGAGGTGAATAAAACTGATCTCTAGTATTCTTCTATAAAAACCATTACATTAAATTACAAAATTCGCCTTTAGTTCGTCGTTGAAGTCAAATTGGAACCGCTGGAATTGGATTCCGATGATGAGAAAGAGCTTGATGATCACAAAGATGATTTCATCAAATTCCACAAAAAGTCTGTAAACTTCAGTTGAAATCAAAGCTGAGATCAAAGCTGAAATCAAAGCTCAAATCCTAACTAATCCCCGAATTCTAGATTCAAACAAAACATCAAAAAAGCCAAATTGAAAGAAGCCGCGAAAAACTTCAAAGCGAACAATAAAAAGCTTCGAGCGAAGAGGAAATTAAAGAAGAACTTCAAATTGGGAATGCATCCATTTATGCATTTATCTGATGAAAAGATCCAAAAGGTTACGAATTTTATTTTTTTTTCATTCTTTCATCGAAATCTTTTAGCTGTTCATGAAGAAATCCCAAATTGTGAAACAAAAGAAACCGAAATTGAAAAAAGTGGGCAATCAAAGGAAAACGCCGAAGAAAGCGCAGCCAAAGAAAGCACAGCCGAAGAAAGCACAGCCAAAGAAGGTAAATCCGAAATTGGTATGGAAATTTGGGTTCTGAAATTCACCTGTTCTGTTCTGGGTTCTGAAGTTCACCTTTTTAGGCTGCCCAAAGAGCGCCACCTCGTGCTCCGGCACAGAAGGTAAACTTTTGAGAGGAAAAATTCAAATAAAAGCTTGTTTATCTGTAGGTTATATCAAAGCTATGCAAAATTTGAAGTGAATAAGAAAAGAGCTTCAGAAAAGAGCTCTCAAAGCGGCTGTTCTTCCAAAAGCGTTCGATTGGCGAACGAAAAATGTGTTGAATGCGGTGAAAGATCAAGGGTCTTGTGGAAGTTGTTGGACATTCAGGTGAATGGAAATTCGATTCATTCGCATTTCATTTGGATTAAGGTTCATTTGGATTCAGATTTGATAATAATAATAACACGATTTTTGAAGGAGAATCTAAAAATTGAAGGTGCAATTAATCCAAAAAGCTCTTCAGTGCCACTGTTACCGTTGAAGCAAACTACGCAATGAAATACAAAAAGAAGATCGATTTGTCGGAACAAGTGAGCGTTTGAAAAAGAATCTAAAAATGAAATCAATTCTCATTTTCTAATTTAGCAATTGTTTAGCAATTGTTTAGCAATTGACGTGTGTCTACAATGAAAGCACAATTTGCGAGGGAGGATTCCCGGATGAGGCGTTGAAGTCAGTAATTCACTTTGTGCTTAACTGCTTATGTTCAAAGCTCAAAAACTTCTATACTATATAATAGCAACGTGGAAATGTATGCCTTTGAATTCCCGTTTTGAATTCCCGTTGTTGGCAATTTTCCATTTCTTTGCTTATGCGATTTTAGTTGCGCCATTTCAAATCAAAATTCAAAAAGTCAATTTGAATGGCGCTATTGGGGTCGAACCCGGATGGTGTGGGCTGTAGACGAACGTGCTTTTGACTACAACATGGCGACCTGAATTGTACTTAAAAACTTGTATCAAACCTTGAAAGAATTGTTCTATATAATATAGTTGTGCCATTTCAAATCAAAATTCAAAGTCAAATCAAAAAGTCAAGGCACTATTGGGGTCGAACCGATGCTGTGTGCTGTAGACGAGCGCGCTTTTGACTACAACACGGTAACCTGAAACACTCATGATGAAAAGCCATTCGTAATAACAAAACAGTACAGTATAAGTACAGGAAAAGAATCGTAAAATCGTAAAATCGCTAATCATTCAGATATTTGCAAACACATGGCGGTCAAACAACTGAGGCTGCTTTCCCCTACTCTCAAGCACACAAATCTACGTGTAAAAAGGTTTTTTTAATAAGATTTTAAGTAAAAACATAAATTTAAACCATCATCGATATCCCAGGTCACTCCGAAAGCTTTGGTGGCAAGTGTGGGCGATTTGTTGCCTTTCGGAATGGCAAAAGTGAAACAAGCATTGATCAAGAATGGACCGATTTCGTTTGGTTTGTAAAATTGTAAAATGTTATTCTTCCAGCGCAAGTTTTGTTTCTTTTTGCTGGTAATGAGATTGACGATAAAAAAAATTGAGGTTTTTTATCAGTATAAGGAAGAAAATCTCAGGAATGTTTGTGAACGATGACTTCATGAACTACGAAGCGGGAATCTTCGACAGTCCTTGTACGGCAAAAGATGATGGAGGACATGCAATGGCGATTGTTGGATACGGTAATTATTTCACATTAATAATCATTATGGATACATTAAACATTTAAAATCTAATCTAATAAATCAGTTGTTGCAAGTTTTCTAAAAAAATTTTCTATTTTAGGTCAAGAAGCCGGTGTCCCGTATTGGATTGTGAGGAATCAATGGGGGAGAGATTGGGGAGAGAATGGACATATTAGGGTAAGTGTGACTGGGGAGAGAATGGACATATTAGGGTAAGTGTGACTGGGGAGAGAATGGAAATATTAGGGTAAGTGATGCAATTCAATTATAAGAGATGAATATGCATTGAAAATCAATATTCAAAACCATTTTTTTAGATCAAAGCCGGTCAGAACCTTTGCGATATCGAGTCCTGGTTTATGATACAAGCAAAAGTGAAATAGAAGAAAAAAAATACGATTTGGCGTCTTTAATTCTTGTATATTTGAGTCTATGTCCAGATAAACGAAGCTTGAAATCAATAAGCATTGCTGTTTTGGAAAGGCAGTTGTCAGGATTTGGAAAGGCACGATAATGTACTTGTTACACAGTTTGAGAGCTGAAATTCGAATTCGAGCTATTCAGTTCGAGCTATTGCGAACAAATGTAAACGGTTTATACTCTGATATGTCTATTTTCAGATTCAGATTACAGAAACGTTATACATTGCTGTTTTTGGAAAGAATTGCTTGATAGAAGCTCAAAAAATAGCTGCCTATTTTAATGAGAAGTTTTTAAGAGCTTGCTTAAAAGGCTTTTCTCGCGTCCGGAGCCCTTGACGAGGTGGCGTAGTAGGTAAGATGCTTGATTATAAAGCAAGCCATGCTTTTCTTGCTCAGGTTCGAGTCCTTGCGTCCCAACTGGTCAAATATAACACTTAATGTTTCGTTTATTTATTGTATTTGTTTTTGTTTCGTTTTAAAACTAGGAATGTAATTTGTTTCTTTTTATTCTTTCAATAAAGAGATCAGAAGATTATTTAGAAGAGTAATGACTTAAGAAAAGATCTTTGAAATGTTTTCCAACATCAGCTCGCTGTATTGATTGAAGCCTTCTGTTCAGTTTGCTTCTTCTCAACAAGTTTCACGATTTTCTGAAAGAATAGGCTTTGAACTTAAATAGCTTAAACTCTATATTAGATCTATAGCTCTGTCTATAGTTTATTTTTATATCTGATCAAACCCTTCAAACCACTTCTCATACCTTCAATTTGATACTCGTTTCCTCGTTTTGTGTGTCAAAGCTCTGAAGAACTTCGTCAAGAGAATTTTGAAGATCTCTAAAAGTAATTAACTAATCAAATTTTATATCTAAATGATAGCTTTTCTCTTTATCAACCTGATCTCTTGCAATTCTTGAGTGGCCCGTTGGAGTTGAGAGAGTTGTCGAATTGAGTCAAGTCTTTCAACGAGAAACTGCAATTTTTTCTTTTTTCTTTTTTCTTATTCTTTTTTCCTATTCCTTATCTAGTTTAATCCATAATTTAAATAAAAAACTAATCGAACCTCTTTCACTTTGATAATATTTGCTGAAATCTCATTGTTGATTGCTGTGAAATGTTGTCCAAAGTCTTCAATGGTTTCATGAAGTAATTTCTTTGTCTCATCAGTTGTTTTCTTGAGTTTTGTCATCTAAAAAGAATGTTTTCAATTTGAAAACGATTCGAAATTAATCAAAAATCCACTTCTTCTTTAGTAAAATCTCGTAAATCATGATTTTTGTGATTCCGAACTCCGCACGAGCCACAACACTGAAAGTTTTGATTGTAATGTTTAGCTGTAAGGTTTAGCTGTAATCTTTAGCTGTAAGGTTTAGCTGTAACCTTTAGCTGTAATGTTTAGCTTCAACCTTTATCTATCTTATTGGTTTTCCTTTGAACTCACCAATAAATTACAATCCCCGCAATTAAACACATCATCAAGACTCGCACTTTTCCCACAATCCTGACATAATTGTTGACCGATTCTTCTCATAAAATCCAATTGTTCTTTCATCATTGGAAGCTCTTTAAAAAAATCTGAAAGCATAATGATATTTAGTTCTTTTTGAATGATTGAAATTGTCTCTTTTACTTAAATTCTCTCTTTTACTTGCCATAATATGGACTCGAATGATCATTATCATAAAAAGCATCAATTCGACAAATTGGGCAAATGATCTTGTGCGGAAATTTGCGATCAGCTGTTGGAGTTCGGATATGTTGAATGCAACGGAAGCAGACAGCGTGATTGCAGTAGAGTTGGATTGGTTTCAGATCCTCTGGAAGAACTAAACTTATTCAAATGTTCTCAGCTTTTTAAGATTTTCTCTAGCAACTTACATTCTTCTTGACACACGGTACAGTCAATCTTTGGAAAAGTCTGAAAGTTAATAGATTATTGTCTTTATCAATTTTCTTACATCAGCTAGAAGATATCCTTTTTGATTCGGAGATAATGTAAGACATTTTGTCGCGAAAAGCTCTGAAATTGAAAGTTATTGATGATAACTAGACTATAGGGTGATTCAAAAGTAAAACAAAACGTTAGCTGAATACCTTTACCTGAATAGCTTTAGCGGAATCGCTTTAGCGGAATCGCTTTAGCGGAATCGCTTTCCTCAATGATTTAAAATCAAGTTTTAGTACGGGAACTATACCAATAATGCTTTCTTCCAGTGACTCACCAAAAATGAAATAGCATGGATTGGGATTATTAAAGCAATGACTTCTCGGCGTGCATCGATGCTTTTTGTCTTTTCTCTTCGGTGGGAATCCCTCTTCTTCGAAACATTGATTACAAACACCAATTCCACAATCGAGAATCCTAGCTGCTTTTGGACCGGTTGAGGTTGGGGTGACTGAATTGATCTTTTTAAACTTTTTAACTGAATTTAGCATTTAAATCCATTCCTCAACTCACAAGGCTTGTCACAAGTGGCACAGTTGAGTGATTTGAAGATTTTAAGTTGAGCGAATGTGAAGGACATCACTGAAAATGGAAAGGAGTTTAAAAAGCAAGCAATGGCAAGATTCAGAAAGATTGGAAGTGATCTGGAAGTGATCTGGAAGTGATTTTCTGCTGTATCTGCAGTCTATTAATTGACTGACAGAAGAAAATGATAGTTTTAATTCGTTGTAATTCGTTGTAATTAGTTGTAATTGACTTTAAAAGATGGGAAATTAAACAAGAAACACTTTTTATTAACAAACAATAACAATATCTTTCTTTATAACATTTAAAATCTGTAAAAAGTCTTATTTTTCATAAATTTCTCCGCTTTCTCTTCCTCGTCTCTCTGAGTTGACCAAAAGCCTAAAATCTTCATTATAGTTAAGAATATTCTTCTATTAGCTTTATAGCTTATTGTAGCAAATGTACTTACCGTAAATACTGTAATAGTACCCCATCCCCCTCGTACAGTTGCGTAGTCGCAAAAGTTTTTTCGTATTTCATTTTTTTCAAAGCGCCCGTACTTTCAAAAAATGCGTCTTTGGTATCAAAAAATAGCCCTGAATTTCAGCTATTTTTTGATATCTTAGCGCACATTGTAGCATAAACCAGTGTCGAGAAAAACGCGTCCAAAGCTAGACTACACAACACTCCGGACCATCATTATCTTTGGTATCAAAAAATGCGTCTTTGGTATCAAAAAATAGCCCTAAATTCCAGCTATTTTTTGATACCTAAACGCGCATTGTAGCATAAACCAATCTCGAGAAAAACTTGTTCAAAGCTAGACCACGCAACACTCCGCACCGTTATTATCTTTGATATCAAAAAAGCATCTTTGGTATCAAAAAATAGCTGAAATTCAGGGCTATTTTTTGATATCTAAACGAGCATTGTAGCATAAACCAGTGTCGAGAAAAACGCGTTTTTTCGGGATGGTTGCATAGTCTAACTTTAAACATCCCGTTCTCCGCGCTGCTTTACGCTACAATGTGCACTTTAATATCAAAAAATAGCCCTGAATTTCAGCTATTTTTTAATACCTAAACGCGCATTGTAGCATAAACCAGGGTCGAGAAAAATTCGTTCAAAGCTAGACTACACAACACTCCGCACCGTCATGATGGGGGTGGGGCACTATTACAGTATTTACGGTAAGAATATTCTACCAATATTAACTTTATAGCTTATTGTAGCAAATGTACTTAATATCTTTGTTATCACAAAGAAATCTTGGTATCACCTTTGTCGAGAACTCTTCCAACGGATGATTTCTGTGCTTTCGAATACCGCATGAGCCACAACACTGAAATTTCTTTGTAAGAATTTCTTTGCAAGATTTCTTTCAAGATTTCTTTGCAAGATTTACCTGATAATTGCAATCTGTGCATGTAAAAATCTCATCAATCTTCGCCTGAATTTCATTTTATTTTTTACAATCCTTATTTCTCAACCATTCTCTCGCAATCTTTGCATTCAAATTGAGTGGCTGCTTTTAGACGATTCATTTGCTCTCTCATTGCTGGCAATTCGCGGAGAAAATCTGAAAGTTTTGAAGTTCTGAAGTTTGAATGGAATTTGTTTTCGATTCCTCTCTTCCTTTCCTCACTTCGAACTCACCAATCGCTTGTCCATGATTGACATCATCGTAAAAAGTCAATTCTTTGCATTGAGGACAAACGATTGAATGGGGAAATTTGATGTTTGCCGTTGGAATCCATCTTTCTTTCAAACAACGATAACAAAGAAGATGATTGCAGAAAAGAACTGATGGCTTTCGATCATTCAGAATATCTGAATAGAATGGGATTAAGCCTTGAAAAGAGATCGTAACCATTTAAAATTAAACCAAGATAACTTTTCCTTGAACTGCTCTATTTTAAGCCAGAAAATATGCGTACAAAGAACGCACAAAGAACGCAATGTTACTCCGGTTAATTTCGAAGGAGTTCCATGGCCAGATACCCTTTCCCGGTCGGCCGTCTCTCATGGCGAGATGGCCGAGTGGTCTAAGGCGTCAGTTTTAGGCACTGATCTCTTCGGAGGCGTGGGTTCGAACCCCACTCTCGTCAAAATTTTTCTGTTTTACGAGAAAATTCTTTGAAACAAATAAACGTACATTTCTCGTGACAGAGCGAGCATTTCGGTTCTTCAAATTCCTGAATAAAAAGATCATAAGAACCATAAGAATTTGACATACATCACTCAAAATATAACCACTGCCATCAGGCGCCAATATGACGTGTTTTGATGAGAGAATATCTGAAACAAAATAACCTTTTTATTCAATAGTCTTCAATATTCAATAGTCTTCAATAGTCTTACCAATGATGAAGTGTGCAGGATTGAAATTGTTGAAGCATTCAGCTCGACAGCGATGCTTCTTGTAATGTGGATGTTTCTTTGGCAATGTTTCTGTTTCATAACAATCTTTGCAAACGGAAAGACCACAATTCAGATTACGGGGAGATTTCAGATCGTCCAGCGATGAGGAAACTCAAATTTGGGAATATTTTGAGAAAAAGAAAAAGACTATCGTTGATTTCACTTACATGCTTGCTCACAGCTCTCACAATTCAACGATTTGAAGATTCTGAATGATTTCGGAGTCCTCATTTTGATAGAAATTAGAGATAATATTTCAATCAATCAATTTAGAGAATAACAAGGATTTTGAAGTAAATCTGGTATCAATTGTTCGCCAAAATCTATCTGTGACTGTATCTGTCTTGCCTTTGACCTTTTTTCTAATCATTGAACAGCATTTTTGATGTTAATTGCCTATTTTTGAAAAGATTAATGCTTGAGCTAATGTTGCTAAAAAGTTTTTTTGCTTTTTTTGCTACAAAAGCTTTTTAAATGACCAAACAATTACTCTCTATTGTTTGAAAGAATTTTCCCGTAAAAAGAAAAAATTTGACGAGAGTGGGGTTCGAACCCACGCCTCCGAAGAGATCAGTGCCTAAAACTGACGCCTTAGACCACTCGGCCATCTCGCCCTGAGAGACGGCCGCCCGGGAAAGGGTAGAGGTACGAGAGGCGTGGGGAAAAGGAGAAAAGGGGACAATTTCATGATGGTGAGTTGTTTACCGCAAAGAAAATCAATAAATGAAAATTTTAAATGGAAACTTTAAATGGAAATTTTAGAAAAGGATTTGTGATCTATTAAGGGGTAAATTAGTCAAAAAAAATTAGCTTAAAAGCGAATGTTTTTGCGTTTTTCCCATCAACTTATGAATTCAATGTGAAAATTTGATTTTAAATATGTGCAAGTGTCAGTGATTGGCCTAAAGCACAATCAACAAGCTAAAACGAAACTTTTTTGAAATGTAAAATGATTTTACCAATGCCCTAGCTGTGAGCCTTGAATTTAACCATTTCCACAGACTAAATGTGAACCATTTCCACAGACCAATGTCCTAGCTGTGAGCCTTGAATTTAACCATTTCCACAGACTAAATCCCCCACTTTCTAGATCAGTTTATGCGTGCATCTCTGCAAAAGATCTAAAAATGTATTTCTATCTAGGAAATGTATATGAACATCGTTTTCCTTTTTTATGAGGCAAATGGCAAATGTCTGTCCTATTTTCCCGTTAGCAATTTAAGGTCTTTCTCAGCATCAAACCTTTGATTTTAACGATTTTGACTGTCATTCGATGCAAAATAAAATTGCGCTTCGAATGATATCAAAATTAACTCAAAATTTAATATCCACGTAAAGCTGTTGGCTAAAAATCTAAACTCTGCTCATTATAGGCGGGAAAACCTTTTGCCGAGACCATTTGCCTCATAACTTTTTTTTCGTTTCACTTTTCAGAAGCATTTTTTGGGGGATTTTGATTTGTAAAACGTTTTTTTCTCTTTTTTTTACTTATTACTATCCAATTATATTCAATATACATATTCAAAAACTATTTAACCTATTTGTATTATCTTTTTTTCTCATAAAATAGATCATTGATCATAGATATTCAATCATTGAAATTGAATTAAAATAAGAAACTTTGTAATATCAAAAGAAGTGTCTCTGAGTAATTCTGGAAAAAACCCTCACTGAAAATCGGGTAAAGAAATCTTTCTTCATGGACACTTCACAAGGAAATGAGCCTGCAATCTTTTCATTTCAAACCAAACAATCTGGCAATAAGCCAAAGATGAAGCAGAACTGATAGAAGGGAATGGACTGAAGCACTGAAAAGATCAAGCTTCTTTCTCTGCATTATCAGCACAAATTTGTTTAGAGACTTTATTTTCATCGAAATCTTTGCCTTTGATCAATGATTTCTCGTTGTTCTGACATGAATATCAAAAGTGAGCTCTCCTTGAAGATTTCCCTTGTTCAGAACAACCAATTCAGCCAAAGAACTTTGATCCAATTCGTGGAGAATCTGAAATTCGAGAAATCGACCAAAATGACTTCAGAATGACCAAAATGACTTTAGAATGACCAAAATCACTTCAGAATGACCAAAATCACTTCAGATAATGAGCTCTTCCGGGTGTACTTCGTGTGTTTAAAAAAAACAAAAGTACAACTTTCCATAAGAGTTCTATATATGGGAACAAAAAAGAATGAATAACCTAGCCGACTACCGTAATCCTTTCCTCCCTTCACTCACCTCCATAAACGAAAATATACTGTACATCCTGACAAGTCTCAATCCAATTTCATACGTTGACATATATGGATATCTCGATTTCTGATGTTCGATAAGTGCATGCCGGTATTTCTTTGTCGCCTCTCCGATCACTCCACGACTATTGTGTTGATCTTCGCCAAGAAATGCTGTATCTAAAAGTTTACTAGAAAAAATCAACAGAAGGTCAAATGGCTGAGGCAAAATGTCATCTTTTTGATAAAAAAATCGAATAAAAAGCCCAGAATAGGGATCGAACTTGTGAGGCCTCGCTCTGGAAACGAACGCTCTACCACTCAGCCACGTCTACATTCAAACCGTTTCGCAAGGAGGCCTCTAACATCCAAATAACCCAAATGACCCCAATGACCCAAAGTTGTAAAACCCAAAGTTGCAAGACCCAAATGACCACATTTTCCTAATCAAACTTTAGACACTTATAACTCCTGACAGATTGTCATTTAGCAAAAACGGAATATCGATTCGGAATCAGCAGAAAATTCTACGTCCATTTAGCCGGCTCAGCTCTTGAAGCTGAGCCGGCTAAATGCAATCGCATAGCATTCAGCAATCGCATAGCATTTAGCCAGCTCAGCTCTTGAATAATTGATCTCAACTCACCAGCTCCAAAAAAAAGCAATAGTTTGACGAGAACGTACTCCTCAAAAGTAAATTGAAGATCTTGAAAGATTGGGATCACTTTCTTTCGAATCACTTCATACAAACGACCAACGTAGTTTTGAATTCTAGAAATTTACACTCAAATCAGCATTTTTCTTTTGTAACTCACTCCGGCTGAATATTGCTTTTGTGGAAATTTGGTGGGAAATAGATTCCGCCAGCGAAAAGAAGACCATCACAATTGTGTTCGTAAGTGGCAAAAGAGAGGGTGAAACAGATGACTTTACACAGCTGATGCACGCATAAACTGATCTAGAAAGTGGGGGCATTTAGTCTGTGGAAATGTTTCGATTCAAGGCTCACAGCTAGGGCATTGGTATTAGATCGTTTTTATTCTTAAAAACATATCTACAGGACTCAGAATTGTCTTTATAGGGACTAGAGTGTTCCTTGTGATCAATGCTCTTCTAAAGCTTGCGCTTTAAAGCTATGTAAATTTGTTTATACGGAAATTTCTTTAAATGAAATTAAAAACTTTTCACTCATCTAGACTTGCTAGATGCTTGCTAGATGCTAGACTTGCTAGATGCTAGACTTGCTAGATGCTAGATGCTTGCTAGATGCTTGCTAGATGCTAGACTTGCTAGATGCAGTAGACTTGCTTTTTGATATTATTGATGTTCATCTTTCAGATCTCAGCTTCTAGAAAAGCTATCAATCTGAAAATTGTTTCTTTGAAAAGACAAGAACGTCTTTTGATTGCTATTTTATAAATAGACTTTTAACTTTAACTTTTAATGAGTAAGCGTCTCATAAACCTTATTGATACTTATCAATATCGATTATTGATATGTATTGATAAGCTTTTTAAGGCACTCATCTCTGAAAACTTGCTATGTGTGAGATAGCAATCAAAAAGTTGACATTCTTGGCATTTCAATGAAACAATTTTCAGATTGATAGCTGTTCTAGAAACCTGAACGGTTAAACATGAGCTTGTCGTATTGATAAGCAAGTCTAGTCAATGTCAACCGAAGAACCCAGCGGGTTTAAAACCGGGTTTTTCCGGCCGGGTCGATATGTTTCTGTAATGCAGTGGCGAAGGTGGTTTACTACAGCTTACAGTTTACTACAGCTTACAGTTTACTACAGCTTACAGTTTACTACAGCTTACAGTTTACTACAGCTTACAGTTTACTACAGCCTACAGTTTACTACAGATCTGAACGGTCAAACATAAGCTTGCCGTTCGATAATATCGATAAGCAAGTCTAATTTGCAGGTGTTTTTCTCAGTAGTGCGAAGGGGAACAGACGATATGTTGGTTGAGAGATTCCCATTGGAATTCTCATTGGAATTCTCATTAGAATTCCCATTTGAATCTCTGAACTCCTCCCGATATGGTGACATTCTCGGAGGAAATGCTCACTGATGAATATTTCTATGCTGATCATTTGAGAATCATGGGGTAAGCAAAGAAAAGATTTTATAAAAAGTTCTGTTCAGAGTTCTCGAGTCTACAATGTGAATCGTGTGGATACGCTCCTTTTAAATATTATGATATCATTTTTACCAGTCTTACAAAATAGAATCCCTCACCCGATCCTCCTCAGCCATTCTCAGCAAATCCGGTATCCCGGCTGTCCAGTCAAAATAATGGGAAACCATTCGACACCACATTAACGTCAAATTTTTTAAGTTCAGCACTTGATCTCGACTATTGTCGTACTAAATTCAAAATTCAAACTTCAAAACATTCAACTGAAAGCTGATTACCGGTGTTCTTGTGCAAATGATTTGCGGAGATCGAATCGCATCTTTCAAAGAGACATTAATCGAATGTTTTGGTCGAGGATCGTAGAATGGATAGGTCATTGTTCCATTGCAATATCTCAAAGAATCATTTTGAAGGAAAGACAAAAGGAAAGGAAAGAAATCATTAACGAAAACCCTCAGCTCGTTTTCTCACTCACTTCTCTAAATTGAGCATCAAATTGAGTAAATTGTTGGAATAAGAATTGTGACTCCATCCCAAATGACTTCCATATAAAGCAGTTGGCTGAAAACTTTCATTGGGAAAAAGCTGAAAGCTTTCATGGAGAAAAAACTCACAAAATATTTCTCTTCTCGATAGATATTATCCGGATTTTTTAAATGTTGAGAGTAATGATTGAAAGGCGTTAATTGGCAATCATCTTCCATACTTGTTGATGTGGTTTGGAGCTGAAAATTGAGTACTGTAAGCAGTAAAATCAATACTGTAATTACTGTACTGTAATTAGGAGCTGTAATCATTACTAATCAATTTCAAAATCTTTATCAAATTAACAGAACTCACATGAATAATCGACTCTGGCAAATCTCGACCATTTTCCATCATTTGAGTCGACTTTTCTGGCTGAAAATGAATCTATTAACTGGTTATCTTATAATAGATTGATATTTGAAGTTATTCACAAAATTCTACATCTTTTAAGATACATTTGAAGTCATTTTTATAATTCTACAGCTCGTAGGATTCATTTGAAAGCCTTTAGAAACTAATTTCCTTCAATGTGTGTACCATTGGTGTTTCTCGTAAGAAAAAAAGGCACCTGGCACATTGCCCAGAGGTAGGAGCACCCAAAAAAGCCTGTCAATATGCCAGAACGTGAGTTTTCTGGACGAATTTCCAATTTCCCAATGAAACTTTTCAGCCAACCGCGTTTACGAGAACGCACAAAGAACACAAGCAACAAAACTTAAAATTACCTTTTTTTAAACTAAATTGACTTAAAAATGTCAAAATAAGTTTGAAGAAAGGTTTTTGGGTTTATTACTCGAAATACTTTACTTATTACTCGAAATACTTTACTTATTACTCGAAATACTTTACTTATTACTCGAAATACTTTACTTATTAATAGGGGTAAATAGGGTAATAGGGGTAAATAGGGCTGAGAACGGCCGCAGTGCCATAAAATTGTGTGTTTAACCTTTATGTCTTATTATGTACCCTTTGTTTGTATCACATTATTGGTTTTCAATAAATGTATTTTTTTTATTACTTGAAATACTTATTACTTTTTTTTTTATTACTCGAAATTCAATATTAAACTATCCAATCTGTCGAAAGCAAACAAAATTGATTACAAATTGATCAATACCAATAGAATACCTTGAGCTTATTGAAGTACTCTTCGAGAACCGAGAAATTCAGATCCAATTCAACAATGTCCATTCGAAAATGAGATCAATTCTGAAATCAAAAGGAAAAATGAAAAATGAAAAATGAAATTGCAAAGAAATTGAATGAAAAATCAAGAAAAACGTCTGTTTTCAAAGCAAATTTGCAGAAAAATTTCAAATTTTCAATCTTTCCTTTTCTGATTCACTTTTAATCTTCCAAATTTTGTGTGAAGTCTCTTTTTTCCTTCAATATTCTTGATTTCCTTTTACAGAGATCTCCACAGCAACCCTTTTCTTGAAATCATCGAAAAAGAGACTTTCAACCCCTTCATTTTCAATCAAACAGGTGCTTTGATCTTTCTCATTTGGTTAAAGATAAACTTTATGAGAATATAATATAGTTAGAAATGGAATAAGGTTTATTTGAATACTGTAATTAATTAAAAGATAAAAGAAATGAACACCTGTTCAAGCTGACAAGCGAAAACTTTAGTCATAAGATGAAACCTTTAAATAGAAAAGTAATTTTGGGCGAAATTTTTGTTTAAAAGATGAAAATTTTGACTAAAAAAGCAATCCAGAACACGTAAAAGTGCACAGCTAATATAAAATAAAATAAAAATAAAAAATAAACTCAATCTTTAAGTTCAAAAATCAAGCCAAAATCTCCTTCAATTGTCATCTGGTAAAGACGGTGCGTACCTTTGACGTCATTCATAAGAAAAAACGACATCTGGCACACGGCCACGGATGTTGGGTAGCCAAAACTCGACTTCCCCGGTTTAATTACCCAAGTTTAAGATATTTTTCACAAAGAATAAACTGTAAATGATGTAATTGGCCCATCCGTGAATACTTTCACAATGGTAATTAGCCCATGCGTGAATACTTTTACAAAATCGAAAACTCCAATTAAAAGAGTGAAGATCAACTGAATAAAATAGCTTTTTTTGATGCATTCACTCAACCAAATTCTAGTAGAATGAGTTACTGTAGTAATCCCAGGAAAAGATAATCGCATTTTCTATATTTTCTATATAAACCATCTTGCAAAAGCTTTAGAGATATAAAAAGCCTATTAGTTAAAGGAAATAAGTCGTACAAAGCGTTTTTTTTACTAAAGTTTCTTTGAAAGCACTCAAATTGATCAAAAAGATACTAGAAATTTGAGGTTTTGGCAAAAAAAAATCATCAAAATCTTAAAGAAAATCTAGTTCGATGTACTCAATGTGAAAAAAGGATGAAAGTTTTTTTGAGAAAAGATTGAGAAGGGATACAGGGTGGTGCACAAAAAAGTGGCTCACTTTGCATACCAGCGATTTTTTTGGGCTAAATTTTGATCGCACATCGTCGTGTCAGAATTGGTTTTGCCTCAGGGGTTACACAAAGTTGAGTTTTTTTGAAAATTTGATGTATATTGATGTACAATGTACAAATATAAATCAAATTTTCTCCATTCAATACATTGTACATGCTGATGTATTGAATGTACTGAATGAAGACAAAAATCGATGTATTAGGTTGATGCATAAGTCTTTTTGTTCCTTTTCGTCTGCCGTTTCAAGCCAACAAATGCACCAATTAAACTACGGTTGATTTCATTAGAAAAAGCAATTATTTTTCTGCAAAATAACATTAAAACGGGTTTAAAAATATTTAATGCCTGGATTTTCTTGAGAGTATGAAGTCGGGTAGTCAAAAAGGGCTAACTCGATCATGCGGTTTAGACACCTTAGCTAAAGAAAACCTATCTTCGTGTCAATAGATAAAAGATAGAGAAAAAAAACGTTTGATATTTCGCCAAAATTTCAGAGAAACTCATTCAGCCAATTTTTCCGTAGAGTTTTTATAGATTTTTACGAAAAAGGCGTTTTTCACTCTCGAATTTGCTTGAAAGTGAACCGAAATTCATTTAAAAAGATGCAAATTGAACAAAAAACACTTTTTTTATAGAGCAAACTATAGATTAATTGGTGAATTTGTTACTTTTTAACAGAAGTACGAAAAAAACGAAAAGACTTATGCATCAACCTATTATATGTCGTTATGAATGAAAAAATTTTTTGCAAATCTTTCTAGTAGAGCAACCCTTTAATGTATGAGGACAATATTATATCATCTTATAGCGAATTCAATTCTGCGTCGATTGGTACCAAATTTGTGAGTTTAGGTTAAAAATTGCCGACGCTACAACGTTTCATTCAAAATCGGCGGGACCCCCACAACCGATTATGAATGAGTGGGTCTAGGAGCGTCCAACCATCAAGTATTTAGTATCATTCAACGCCGAATCATTAATAATTATGTTCAATTTTTTAAATTAGAAAGATTGAATAAAAAGAAAAAAAATTAGAGCGAAAAAAACTGTTTGAAGGCTTTGAAGAAAACTTTGAAGCCCCATAATTTTTTTTCTTTTTATCCAATCTTTCTAATTTAAAAAATTTAACATAATTATTAATGATTCTGCGTTGAATGATACTAAATACTTGATGGTTGGACGCTCCTAGACCCACTCATTCATAATCGGCTACGACATATAGATCGATTTGAACTTTTTATTTTCACTCTTTTCACCATAAGGCTTTTCAATCTTTGTTTTAGTCTATTTAATGCTTTCATTACACTTTACAATAGGAAAATCACAATAGGAAAATTTTACAATAGGAAAATGACCAATTTGAATGATTTACGTCGAAAATTGATCAAAATCTGGAACGACTTAGATGCAAATTATCCCCGCCGCACCGTCGATTCTGTAAAGAAGCGAATTGAAACCTGTAAGAAGCGAATTGAAGCCTGTATCAAAGCGGATGGAGGCCACTTCGAAAATTTCTTTTAATTATTAAATGCTTTTGTTACAACTATTATATAAATAAATATTTTTACATTTTCTTTGAAAGAAAATTAAATTATGGCGAGATAAGTGTCTACTCCCCCCTAGAGATTTGTCTACCCCCCTAGAGATTTGTCTAGGGGGTAGAGAGTCGGAGTTTGACGACTCTTCTCCTTTCCTCCATATCTCAACTTCCAATTGACCGATCAACTTGTGGTTGGTCTTAAAATGTTCCTTATCAAATTTCGTTATAGAAAACCACAATTTACTTAGTAAACTTTAATATAAAAACATAGAGAAATTTTCTTTGGCGCACGTAATTTTCAGCCATCCTGTATATTTTCAGAGGGCATTCTTCGATCGCCCATTTCAGAAATCTCGAAAATTGTTGAGTTTTTTTTTGAGGGCCATTTGTAGCTTTTTTGCAGAAAATTTGCATTTTTACACCATCTACACAAATTCGGAAGTTAGATTTTAAGCAAAAATTAGTCAAATTCATCGTCTAAAAAAAATCGATCAAAACTCAGTTTCACGAAGATGGCTCGAATTCGAGTATAATGTGTATCTAGTAAAAATAAGACGCTACCAAAAAGATGCCTTTCTTTCTGACGCTAGAAAAAAAACTACTCTTAGCCCAAAAAAAAAGCAGTTATGCAAAGTGAGCGACTTTTTTGTGGACCACTCTGTATCTCAGAAATTAGCATACTAGTTACAGAGAAAAGCTAGACTTTACTTTACATAGAGACATTTAAGTACTGTAGGATCCAGACTACAATTTTGAGCATAGCCAGCATAGCATAGCCAGCATAGCATAGCCAGCATAGCATAGCCAGCATAGCATAGCCAGCATAGTATAGCCAGCATAGCATAGCCAAAAAACAGGTTTCAATGACAAAATAACTGGATTTGATCCATGATTGTAAGATAAATAAAAAGAACTTTTATACAAATAAACTCAAGTAAACTGAAGTAAACCCAAATTGTAACTGTACTTAGAATTCCAAAAACAACTATCCTAGTATATTTATCTGATTTACCCTAAAGTCGCGAGTATAAGTTCTGTTTGGTTTTCGCATGCAAATTGACGGCTGTCTCCGGTGCGGTGTGTCGAGGGTTCGAACCCCGCTGCAGCATAACTTTTTTGCTTTTTAAGAACAATAATAGAAGTAAATTTATTGAGGGTTATAGCAATTTTATGCTGTTATTTGTTGCTACGGGCGTGGCTCGGCGCGTCCGCCCTGCTCCTCTCCGGTGCTCAGTCTTATGGATCCCTCCCTGGCCTCTTCATCCGGCCAAAGTCCACGTCGACGGTCGAAAGAGATGCTTTCCAGCGTCTTCTTCAACACTATCGTCTGGATGTATCCATGCACATAACAAATAGCAATGGTGATAGGCTGTCACCCTGTAGTATCCCGCGCTCCAAGAACAATAATAAAAGTTTATATAACAATAAAAATGTATAAAAACCCAACAAAAAGAAATTCAAAGCGATTAAAGCGAATGTAAATTAAGGCAGAACTTATACTCGGATGAACTTATACTCGAGACTTTAGGGTAAGTTCTTTTTTTGAGAAGATTTCCGTAGGAATTCCCCGCGTTTACTGATTCAGGAGCTGATACTGATATTTCGAATAAAAATGGAAACATTTTTGATCTTCTATGTAATTGTGCTCACTTTTACCCATTTAATTCAAAGATTCGAAGAATATAAGTCGCAATTCTACCGTAAAAGCAGAGTTAAAGAGAACTAATCTTTAAGATAAATGGAATAATCACAAAAATGACCGTAAAATGACTTTTTTGACCGATTATTATAAGAAATTTCACTAAATTTCGCTAAATTTCAACTTTTTCTCTTTTGTAAACTCAACAAGTTCAAAAATAAATGGCATACAAATAATCCCAATTAAAAGAAATGAAGGATTTAGATCTGGGAAAGCTCAACAATTACAGAAAAGAGATCACAAAGCACATTGTGATCATTGAAAACGAAAAAGAAATTCGAAAGGAAAGACAAGTCAAGGAATTTCGTAAAAATTTGATGAACTTTCAGAGATTTCCATACAAAAAGAGTGTATTTAGATGAAAAAGCTACCTCTTTTTTGACGATTTCGACGGCAAGTTGGACCCTTTTTGCTCGGCTAATTAGGAAATTTCATTAATCATGCAATTTCCAAAAGAATTAGGCTTATCCTTGAAGATTTTTTAGCAGGCAATCGCCATAAATGGATCACAGTCAAAAAGTTTCAATTTCGCTTTTACCCACTCAAACTTACTTTTCGCCAAATAAACCCTAGCTCCATTCGACGAGTTTTTCAAGCCGTATCTTTTGACATAAAAACGAGCCCGATCCGTCAAAATATGGCTGAGAAACAGCCGAAAAACTAAAACCGCCTAATGGGCAGGGGTGTTCTTTGTGGGCTTGCACAATTGCGAACTTTCTGGCAGAGGGCCTTTACAGATAGGGACCCCTTCGCCCGTCACCCGCACATTGGTCGTTCTGCTTTTAAAGTATAAACGGGAACGTTTGGAGTTTGTAGAAGCCTGCTTCTCGCTTGGTCGATGCCTAACCCATTCGTGGAAGGCGGCGCCCGGAACCATGGGCTGCCCCGGGTCGGCAAACCAATAGCCCCGAGCAGCAGACCTAAAGGATGTTGTGGATTAGACCACAGTTCTCCCGTGAGAGGTACCGCTGATGTTCGTGAAACCGCTACTGTTTCACAGTGCTTCCCGTGGAGGGGGCAGAATGGTCTGTTGCTCGTAACCGGATTACATTATGCTCCCTTTGGGCTCCGGCTTCTGTCTCCTGTCCGCTACTTGACAGTCGTCTGAACGGCAGAAGTTTGGACACTCCATTGGAGGAACCGTGAGGTTCTTAAACCGACTGGGGATCAGATCAATCCCTTTTAGCATCAACAAAGTGCAACTTCGGAGCTTTGTCCTACTGATGCTGCGCGCACCCTTGAAAGCTGAACATTCTTTCAGCGGAAGTCGGTGCCATCGCCAAGGGCCAGACGTGGACCTCGGATCCCAAGAGTCTTCGGATTACAGGGTGACGGAGTGCGAAGTCCAACCACCTTCCTCGTGGTGCACTCTGGGCACTTCCCGGAAACAGGAAGTGGCGAAGAGCTGGACAAAAAAGGAAAGAGCTTTTGACTTTCTTGCCAACAAAAAATCTTTTCTTTCGCCTTTTCCCCAATTCGATCAAAATTTCCTCGTTCTGCCACCATTCTGCTAACCCTTCTTTTCACAAAACCGCAAGCCTCTCCCCGCTTTTTTCTCATTTTCTGCCTTTGTGAGGCTAATTAGAGGTTTTCGATAGAAGTTCACACCTTTCTTGCAGCCTTCTTGTTCCTTTTCCCCATTGAATGTCATCCTTCAATGTCTCACCGATCTCCATTCCTTTTCTCTACAAGTGCTCCCCGATGATTGCCTTCAAGCTGTTCATCACTCCAAGAAATCTTTTCATTTCTCTGTTTTGCAAAATCAATGCATTGATTATGCATTTTGCAAAACAAAGAGCTCTTATGATTCACAAAAGAATGAGATCATGTTGATAAAGATTAAAGAGCGGGTCTTCTCCTCCTCATGCAATCCTTCATACAATTCTTGAAGATCTCTCTTTTAGAAACTACATTAATTACGCTTACCAGGGTAGCCAAATTTTGAAATCATTGACTGAATCTTGTGGTTTCTCTTCCTCCATACCAAAAAATGCGAATGATAATTGATTGGCATTTTGATTAGGGTATTTTCGATGTCATGAACTTACTGTAGCTGTGCAGAAATCTATCGAGTGAATTTATGATATCTATTTAGATTCATAATTCATAATCTCTAGTTTATATTGTGCTTTATGTGTTTATATTGTGCTTTATGTACCTTTTCCACTTTCTCTATAAGATCTCTCTTGTGTAGATGAATCAGTTTTCGAGTCGATATTCTACCACTGAATTACCAGCGACGAAAAATACAGCAAATACGTAATTATTCGTATTTTCCACAGTAGCTGCTATTGCCTCGTTGTTGAGCTATTCAAGATCCCGATTTTTCTATTTGTTCCAATTTGTTCCAATTTTCATTGAAGCACACTGAAATTGCCTTTAAATCCTTAACTGACACTCGAATCCTCATTTCGAAACATGTGTTCCCATTTACTCTTTTCCTTTTTCTTTCTTTTTCTTTTTCTTCTTCTTTTTTCAATCATTTGCCCATTTTCTCGAGAAAAACCATTTATTTCATTTTTCTTTTTTGTTTCTGAAAAGAAAAACCATTTCTTTTTTGTTTCCTTCTCCCTCTAAAATCTCTGTGAAGTGTCACCCTTAGTGCTAAGTGCTAAGTGTTACAGATTGATCTTCTTTCAAAGATAAATCTAACCTTTTTGTTTTCTTTTTTAGTGTAAACGAATTGTTTTTGAGTGAATATTCAATATGAAAGCCTCTTCTAAATCGTTCAATTTCAAAAACTCTTTTCATCTTTGTCTTTGCTTTCATTATTTAAGAATCATATGCTATTTTTTCTTTTCTAAGATCATTTTTGAATCCGAATTGTATTTCAATAACGGATGTTATCGTATATTTCTAAAATTTGGGTTGAAGTACAGCATCTTTTGATAGAACAAGCAAAAATGAGGAATAAGAAGGGTTTTTGAGCATTGAAGATGAAAGAAATTGATGTTTTGACATGATTTAATATAAAAATAAACATATTACACATATTTTTCCCATTAGAAAATAAAAATTGATGAGAAAATTGAGGATTCTTTGTCTGAAATTGGAAATCAAGAAAACCCGATCCGAAAAGCGTTCTTTTCCCTTGATTTCGATGAAAAATCGAGCTTTGCCAACCGGAATTCTGCTTTTAATCAAATCATTGATTGCTCAATCATAGATTTTCTTTTTTTCAAATAATTAACAGTAAATACCGTGTGGAATCTCTCCTTTTCTAAGCTTTCACTCTTTTCTGGGCAAACCTTTTGCTTATTTTACATATTTTGCTTATGTTGCTTATTATTCCTGCAAACTAATACCTCTTTCATTTACCAAATGACACAAATCGCTCAATTCCTTTTATCAGTGAAATTCTATGAATTAGATTGTTAGCTATGGATTAGATTTGTGGACATTTACCAAATGACACAACAGCACAACTGTTGTGTGACACTGGCCTCAATAGTGTCACCTCGAATCGCATCGAATCTGTGCTGTTGTGTCATTTGGTAAATGTCCACAAATCTAATCCATAGCTAACGATCTAATCCATCGAATTTCACTGATAAAAGGAATTGAGCGATTTGTGTCATTTGGTAAATGAAAGAGGTACTAGTTTCCAGGAATAATAAGCAAAATCTAAAATCGAGATCCCAACGGTTAAAACATGAGCTTGTCGTATCGATAAACAAGTCTAGTCAATGTCAGCTTTATATTTCATCCTTCATCTTTCATCTATCATTCGATCTCTCAAATCTCAAACGATCTAATCGCTGTCAGTCAGAGTATAAACAAAGCAAAAACAAAACATTCGAAATGTTCACTCATCGATCATTTTAATCGAATTCCTTTCCTTTTTTTTCTCATTTCAAACTTAATTCCTAATTTTCTTAATTTTCTTAATTTTCAGCTTATTTTCTTTCGACTTCATTTCCATTTGCCCAACTTTTTCCTTTTCTCGTGTGATTCCTCACAATTAACCCTGATATTTCTGATGGGTTCAGCATTTTTGAACCATTTTTGAACCATTTTTCGGTGAAATCCTTTTCTTAACATTAACTGATATCTTTTTATGTTTAGATAGCTTTTTCTTGTGAAAAGCTTGCCTCTTTAACTTTTAACACATCAATTCTTCCCTAATTTAGCTTTAAGCAATGAAATTGCTTAAAGCTAAATTGTGACAAAACTGTGAAACATTTCTATGACAATTTTTCTCAACTTTTCTGTCTTTTCTTTAATCTTTTTTGACAATTTCTCAATTTATTTGAAAAAAGAAAGAAGAATTTTCAACAAAAAGAGATTAGAAATCGAGGAAATGAGAGAAATTGCAAAGGAAAAAGAAGAACAACCAGTTTTTGACCGTTTTACTCTTTCTCTTCTTTCAATTTCACCTTTTTTTGACCTCATCATTAATCTCTTGTTTTAATTAAAAGTCTCATACAAATCTTTTGATTCAAGTAATCTTTGGATTGGATTAGTTACGCTTAAAACTCATCGAATTTTTGCATTTCATCTTTTTTAAAGTCTCTTTTTTAAGGTCAACCTTGATTTTCACCTAACCATTACTCTCATTTTCAGTCAAATATGGGCGATAATATGGAATATGATGCACCGGGAGGGACATTGCATGAGGATCCGTTTGCTGATGGATCGGGAATCGATTCGACAGGTGATTACTCGAAATTAAGCCAAAAAAATGTGGCCTAAAAATAGACACTGTACAGGGTGACCAACAATTACAGCAACAACTTTTTGGAAGAGTATCTGGGAAATGTCTAATTTATTTCAAAAGTGACAATTGTTCTACAGAGAATTGTAGGTCTAATTCTCGGCAACATTTATCTACCAAAAACATCCCGATTTCACTTATACAACTCATTTAACAAGCGCTTTAATGAGCGCTAGTCGACATCTCTCCGGCATCTTTTTCATGTAGAAAAGTGGCCAAATGACAGATTCGCCGGAGAGATGTCGACTAGCGCTCATTAAAGCGCTTGTTAAATGAGTTGTATAAGTGAAATCGGGATGTTTTTGGTAGATAAATGTTGCCGAGAATTAGACCTACAATTCTCTGTATAACACTTGTCACTTTTGAAATAAATTAGACATTTCCCAGATACTCTTCCAAAAAGTTGTTGCTGTAATTCTTGGTCACCCTGTCTATTACATAAAGCCCACTCGTGCGCTTCAATTACCCAAGTTCAGTGTATTCAGAAAGAACACAAAGTTATCTATTTCGTGAATTTCAGACGATCAAGCCGTTTCGGTGATCACAAAAGAAGTCCTCCTCACTTTAGCCAACACAACGACACAATTTTTCAGTAATCTTACAACAACTGAAGGTATTGTAAGAATTTCTGAAGGGTATCAAGGATTTTTCAGCTTCTTTGATTCCCCAAGAATTTGCAATGAACCCATGGAGAGTGGGATTTTTGGTGGCAAAGGCGGTGGCTGTTCTTTTGCTTTTCACTCTTGTCCTCGCCTCAAGAAGGGATTTTATAAAAGTAAATTTATAGTTGTAAATAATAGGTTGAGGCATAAGTCTTTTTGTTCCTTTTCGTCTGCCGTTTCAAGCCAACAAATGCACCAATTAAACTACGGTTGATTTTATTAGAAAAACCAATTATTTTTCTGCAAAATAACATTAAAACGGGTTTAAAAATATTTAATGCCTGGATTTTCTTGAGAGTATGAAGTCGGGTAGTCAAAAAGGGCTAACTCGATCATGCGGTTTAGACACCTTAGCTAAAGAAAACCTATCTTCGTGTCAATAGATAAAAGATAGAGAAAAAAAACGTTTGATATTTCGCCAAAATTTCAGGGAAATTCATTCAGCCAATTTTTCCGTAGAGTTTTTATAGATTTTTACGAAAAAGGCGTTTTTCACTCTCGAATTTGCTTGAAAGTGAACCGAAATTGATTTAAAAAGATGGAAATTCAACAAAAAAACACTTTTTTTATAGAGCAAACTATAGATTAATTGGTGAATTTGTTACTTTTTAACAGAAGTACGAAAAAAACGAAAAGACTTATGCATCAACCTAATAGATTAATGATATCTTTAGAAAGATAGAATAGCTTTGCTGGAGACTATATCAAAAGAGAGCCGTTTAAAAGAGAGCCGTTTAAAAGAGCGCCGTTTGAAAGAGCGCCGTTTGAAAGAGCGCCGTTTAAAAGAGCGCCGTGATCAAAAGGGCGCCAAGCCTTATTAAATAGAGTCTTATTAAAGTCTTCTTCAATTCAACCAAAACCAAAATCTAGTCGCGTTCTTTTGAGGGTTTTTGCATGGCGCTCTTTTGAGCGATCCTTTTGATTAGGGCATTCTTTTGAACGGCCCTGTTTTGATATAGTCCCCCTTGCTGAAGCTTAATGCATTACAGTAATTAAAAGCGAATCTCAATCACTAATTCAGACTTTCGGCTGTGTCCTTTTACTTCCTCTATTGGCTGATGTCGGTTTTGATATCTATCTTGAAATCGCTGCAAACATTCACAAAATGATTGGAGTATTGTGAGTTTAGTGTATGGGATTATCATTATCTAAAGATTAATATATTATTGGCTTTCCTAAATCACCCACCTTTTAGAAACCACTCAAATTTCTATCTGATCTTCAATTCATAACCTTTCAGCCCATCGGATTTCTCGTATTATTGGGGACCGGCTGTGAGTGAACCACTCTATCACACACAAAGGTTTCTAATTCCGTTTCTAATTCCGTTTCTAACCCTTCGGCTCAGGCTCTATTCCTATGAAATCATTTTCAGCAAAGAAATCTCAATCTTTTCCCATCTTATCGTTCACTACACTGGATACAGAATGTTCACGTAATGATTTGAATCTTTTCTTTCAAAGACAACGATTCCAGTGAACTCCCATGGACATCAATTGTTCTGTTTCTAATCGAGAATTTCATCTTTTGGTCTCTTCTCACTTCAACAATTCTACTATTTCATTTTGCGAGAAAGGCCATTTCTCGACCTGAAGATATCAAATATACGCCGACTTTGTGAGCAATTCAAATTGACATTTTAAATCCAAACAATCCTTAAAGAGCAACTACAATTTTGGCATACCACACTTGGGTAATTAAACCGGCCGAGGGGCATTTCCGGCCATCCCTATCCAGAGCAGTGTGACATTTTTCCTACGAGCGAAAGCCAACTGTGCGTGCTTTCCATTGTAGAGGAATTGTGCATTCTTTCCCTGTCGCTCGTAGGGAAAATCGGCGTCTGGTACACTGCTCTGGGTAAGTTCTCGAGACAAAGTTCTCAAGCTGGTTTAATTACCCAAGTTAGTGTGTGAGAAAGTGTGTTTACGTATTTACGTGCACGCAAAACAAGAACAGAACAAGAAAGAACAAGAAAAGAAAGAAAGTAGAACAAGAAATTCTAAGAATCTCGTGATTTACAGCTGGCCGTTCATCCAATCCCAATCAATCCCTTTCCTCCTCGTTGCCCTGACTGCTGTCTTCACTTTATCCGATCTTCCCTCATGGATTTTCCTCGCCGTCTCAATTGTCATTCGTTTCTTCGCTGTCGGATTAGCTCTAATCATTGTCTATCAATTCTTTACGGTAAACTAGAGAATCAATCTTTCCACAGCTCTTCTCCAATTACAGTCATTCTTCTACTATTGCCAACGACGAGATGACTATGTCATCGCTTCACCACATTCTTTGGTTTGAAAAAAAATCCATCGAAATTCGAATCATTTTCAGATTCGCTACGCTCGTTCACGACTGTTTTGGATTCAAATCTTTGCTCTCTTTGCCCATTCGATGAGTGCACCGTTTGTTGGTTTGTTTTCAAAAAATTTTGAGTCTTTATCGAGTCTAGAATAGATGAAAAACGATTAAAGATCAAAATTGAGCTAAATTTGAATTGATTTTGATCGTTTAACAGGTTGGAGCGCGATTTCACTGGCCGAAGAGGCGATCGCCGTTTTCAGTACGTACAAAATCGATTCAAATCTCATTTTGTGGATACACAGGTGAGAAAAGGGAAAATTTAGGGAAAAAACTTGAAAAGAGATACCGTAAATACTGTAATAGTACCCCATCTTCATAGTGACGGTGCGGAGCGTTGCGTAGTCTAGCTTTGAACGAGTTTTTCTCGACACTGGTTTATGCTACAATGCTACAACATATATAAAAAAATAGCTGAAATTCAGGGCTATTTTTTGATATTAAAGTGCACATTGTAGCATAAAGCAGCGCGGAGAACGGGATGTTTAAAGTTAGACTACGCAACCATCCCGAAAAAACGAGTTTTTCTCGACACTGGTTTATGCTACAATGCGCGCTTAGGTATCAAAAAATAGCTGGAATTTAGGGCTATTTTTTGCTGCCAAAGACGCATTTTTTGAAAGTACGAGCGCTTTGAAAAAAATGAAATACTAAAAAACTTTTGCGAGTCTAGCGTGCGTAGTCTAGTGACTACGCGGCTGTACGACGGGAGGTAGGGTCCAATTACAGTATTTACGGTAGGTATTTTACGATGAAACACAAGTGTTTCACATGAGTCCAATCGACTTGTAGCCTCAAGAACCTGAAGAACTAGAATGAGCTTTCAGACTGTTCACAATGCATCTCCATCTCTTAACCCTCCGCCCGTTGATCCTTTCAATCATTTGCATTGTATTCTTGCCAATTCTGAGAAAAAGATTTCTCAAAACATTCTTCCCGTGTTGTTGCAGAAAAGAATAGTTTTATCATATGAAAATTGAAGATTTTCGAAAGCTTTCCTTTAACCTCTTTCTATTCTGTGATATCGGTAATTCCCGGTGTTTTTGACAATTAGATTTCCAAATTAGACTCTCTTCTGGCCATATTTTAAAACTTTGGTGCTATGACATTTAAATATGAATAAATGACATTTAAATAGACAACAGAAAAAAGAAAAACAATGATAAACAAAACAAAAAAGAACAAATTTTGAGACAAAAATCTATAGGTGAAAAGCTTTTGTACAAATTCTCAATCTAATACCAAGATCAACGCCTTTTGATCAACGCCTTTTTTAAATCTCTTTTAACAAATTTTTTTTGTCTTTTTTTCTATAAGAAATTTCTCAGCTTTGAGAGAAAAGTCGGTTGAATTGATTTCCCAAATCTTTCAACCAACCGGGAAATGAAATGCTCTTTCCATTTCCAAAAGCAACTGCATTTCCATCAAAATCTATTGCATTTATCATAAAAATTCATTTATTTCATACTTTCTTTACTGAAAATGCTGATAAAACTGAAACTTTTTAGTTTTTAGTTTTTTTTGACTCGAAACGGACCTTACTCGCGCGTAGTCGATCCCTACAAACCACTGTAACTTTCTTTAGCATTCGTGTTTTTAAGTGTGCTTCGGTGGATTCGAAAGCTCTTGAGAGAAAAGTCGTTGAATTGATTTCCCAAATCTTTCAACCAACAGGGAAATGAAATGCTCTTTCCATTTCCAAAAATAACTGCATTTCCATCAAAATCTATTGCATTTATCATAAAAATTCATTTATTTCATACTTTCTTTACTGAAAATGCTAGTAAAACTGAAACTTTTTAATTTTTAGTTTTTAGTTTTTTCAATGTCTCCACCCAGCTTTGTTGATCGTCTCTTTCGAAAAAAATCGTCAAAAGTTTCGGCGGCTTTGGACACAAAGTTGAAAAGGTTTGGAAATTTGTTTTAAATACTTAGAATTATAAATTTTGATTCTAAGTCCAATTTGCTCGAAGAAATCGAATCGTTTCAGATGTTTGAACGTGTTTGATATCACTCTTTTGGGTGTCGGTCACATGATTGGAGCTGGCATCTATGTTCTAGTTGGTGAGTTTTGAGATTTCATCAAATATGTTTCAAAGCCTAAGCCTGAGTATTCAGGAACTGCCCTCAAAAACATAGCCGGCCCAGCAGTTGTCATCTCGTTTGCGTTGGCCGGTTTTGCCGCTTTCCTCTCAGCGCTTTGTTATGCGGAATTTGGGGCAAGGTTTGAGATCAAAACAAATCAAAGATCAAAAAATACCTTTTCTTAGCGGCTTTTAATCTTAAAAATGCAAGAATGCAGGTTTCCAAGAGCCGGCAGTGCTTACACGTATGCTTATGTGGGTGTGGGGGAATTGTGGGCGTTTATCATTGGATGGAATGTCATTTTGGAACACATGCTTACAGCTGCTGGTAGGCCGATTTAGTACATTGAAATGTGATGAAATGAACTGATTATGAACAAAATGGAGTTGGATTTGGACTCCTCAAATCAGACTGAGCTATAGACAGAAGACATCAGCTATAGACAGAAGCGGTGCTTTTAAAAGTTGTCTTGTTTACTGTAGTCTTCCTTTTACGACGTTGCAAGTTACGGTACTTTTTTAAAGTCTCTCTCAAATCATTCATTTAGTCGTTGCACGTGCTTGGTCGGGTTACTTGAACTCAGTCTCCGGTGATGTCATTCGGAATACGACAATCAGCATTATTGGAGATTTCCATGTAAACGAGTCACTGATAATGACTTACAATAACGTTTAGAGTAAATATTTCGGCGAATACCTCGATTTTGTTGCCTTATTTGCTTGCTTTTTCATAGCGGTAGGGAAAAAATCTCCGAAATTTCTATCAAAATTCTCCAGCTTCTCGTCGCTTTGGGATCAAAGGCTTCCACGAGATTCAACAGTGTTTTCACGTGTCTCAATCTTTGCGTAAGGCTTCATTTGGATTCAGAAATTAGACATGGACACTACAAACGCTTCTAACTTGCTTCAAGTCTGCCAGATTGATATGATCTATGGCTCAAAAGATAAAGAATCTCAAGAGCTTTCGAATAGGTCGAAGCACACTTAAAAACATCAACGCTAAAGAAAGTTACAGTGGTTTGTAGGCATCGACTACGCGCGAGTAAGGTCCGTTTCGAGTCAAGACTAACAAACCACTGTAACTTTCTTTAGCGTTGATATTTTGAGTGAGCTTTAGTTCATTCGAAAGCTCTTGAGATTCTCTATCTTTTGAGATATAGATCATATCTATCAAGCAGATTTGAAGCAAGTTAGAAGCATTTTTAGTGTGATAGTTCGTCATTTTTATAGTGCCCATGTATCAGAAATCGATCATTTTCAGGTGATCATCTTCGTGATCGCAGCCGCTTTTTCCTATGCCGATTTCTCAATGTGGCATGGTTGGATAGTGGTGAATTGTATCAAATATATGACATTCAGACCATCGTGGCTTCATGCCCTATGGTGTTTCTGGGATTCTCTCTGGAGCGGGCTCTTGTTTTTTCGCCTTTATCGGATTCGATGGACTGGCAACAGCTGGAGAAGAGGCAAAAAGTGAGTGCAATTGAATATAAAGAGACTGTAGCTCGGTACGGTCGTTCATCTAAACATTTATGCTGTAATATAGCACTGTCAATCCTGAATACCACCAATTCTAGGAATCAATTCTAGAACCGGGCCGGGCCATCCCCCTGGCCACTTTCTATTGTATGGCCATTGTCACCGTTGCCTACATTCTGATGTCCGGATCGTTGGCACTAATGGTTCCATATGATAAAGTATTGACTAACATTGTACTTTTCCAATATTTCTTTTAGGTAGATATCACAGCAGCTTATGCAAGCGCATTTCAATCACATGGAGCCACCATTGCTCGTTATGCCGTTTCACTAGGAGCCATTTGTGGAATGACAACTACTCTCGTTGGTTTAAAAGCTAAAATAGAGTTTAGGGTTTGCTAAACAGTTACTTGCTCTGTATTTAAAGGTATTTAGCTAGTTAGGTGACTAGATAAATCTAGATAAATCTAGTTATCTAGTTTAAAAACTATAAATCCTAGTTCGGAGCCACGTTCTGTTTACCCCGTTGTGTCTACGCGATGGCTCAAGACGGACTCATTTTCAAGTGGCTCTCGAATGTGCACGCGAGGACACAGGTGAGGGAAATTACTGAATTAAGTGCAAAACTGTTATACAACTGTAATAATTGAGAGTCTCTAGGTGCCAGTGAATGCAATCATTGTCTTCGGCACTCTCACCGGGATTATGGCTTTTCTCGTTGATGTGGCAACACTCGTCGATTTTCTGTCTTTAGGTTTGTTTGTGGGTCATTTTAGACTACGCAATGTTCCTATAGAGGCTTTTCGAATATTTGCAGTACTTAAGAAAAGTGAATGAATCCAGGTACCCTAATGGCTTATTCAATCGTTGCGGCAAGTCTAATCGTGTTGAGATATCGACGTGAGCCAGAGGAGGATAAAAATGGTATTTTAAATATCTATTATTTTAAATACCTTGATTTCTATTCAGAAACTAAAGCTTTTCGTTTTCGTTTCCTTGGCTCTTCAAACCTCTCAAAGATTTCCGTGCAAACTGGTGTCAATATCGCGCTTGCCATTATGGTGACTGGATTTGTTGTCATAAGTAAGTTTAAGTAAGTAATCAAGATCGACTTCAAAAAAACTGCCAGATTCAACTTCTCATTAAGGTATTTGCTTTACTACAAATCTCCGTGAGCATTTCATCGCTCGTCCACTCGTTGCCTTGAGTGCTTTCATGAGCGGTAAAGCTTTCCTTTGGATTTCAGCCTATCGACAAAATGAGGCTGAAGTTGCATTTAAAGTGGGTTCACATAAAAGCTCATCCATTTTTCTATGCTTTCAAGTTTCCCATTCGCATTGTTCAGGTTCGTTTCGTCCCTTTTATCCCATCTCTCTCCCTCTTTATGAACATCCTCATGATGATCAATCTTCCAATTTTGGCTTGGTTTCGATTTGCGGTTTGGATGACGATTGGTAGATGAAAGTTTTCGGAAAATTTTAAAAATCATTTCAGGAATGCTAATTTATCTCTTTTATGGAATGAAGCACAGTGTTGAGGAGAATTCGGCAACGATAGTCGACTCAATACAAATGACTCCAACGACAAAAGAGAGCACTTGAGCAAAAAGCATTTCTCTTGCAGCTGTGGAAATGTTATACGGGTCACGAAAGGATTTATTTGTAATAAATCAATCAAAACTTTTATCTCATTTCAATGTGCAAAAATACAAAGTATTCTATATACGAAAAGAAGGCTGTTCACACAGAAAAAGAAGACGAAGAGTAACTTGATTGATGCCATTTTTAGATCTCGTGATAACGCTCGACCTCGATCAAATAACAATCGCCGTCACGACGCCAATACTGAAAAGAAAGATTTATCAAATTAACACGGTTGAAAAGAACAACAAAAAACTGCAGCTCTGCAGCTAAAAATAATTGAACTGTAAGAAATTGTGTATGTTTTAAAAGCTGTCGTAATTTGTAATTCACTACCGTTATGAAAGCGCCCGTAATCTGGATGTCTTTCGAATTCGACTAGACCTATCTTTTGGCTATCATGACCCGCAGAGTATTGTAGTTATTTGAAAATACATCATAAAGACGGACAGGCTTACGGTAGCGGCAGTTTGATTTTGATTGGAATGGCTCGATTAGATTACAGTAGGTTTCTTTGGTTTGTATCTCAGTTATTCGCTGACCTGAACAACATCGAAAGTCATATTCTTTCCACTCTCGAACTCGAGTGCCTGTCGAGCAGCATAACGAATGATGTCAGCGCTTCCCGAGAAAGATTCATTCGATGCCTGAAATCGTTATGCTAATCCTTTTCCAGACCAAAAACCAAACCTGAATCTTGAATTTACCCAACTCTTTCCACGAAGCGAATGTGGCGCTGACTTCTAAAAATTAGTTCTAGACTTGTAAATGACTTCTTTGAGCCACTCACCAGCACGTCCAACGAGCACGGTCTTCTTCTTGTCATCGATCACAAGCGCGTTCTCGAAGTAGTGATTGTCGTAGCTGAATATCTTTGGGTTTGATGGTGATGTAAGTTTGGTAATTGTCCTCATGATCTTCATTATTGTTTAACTTTACTCACGCATTGTTGTCGTGATCGACTCCGGCTTTCTCGATCGATTGGATGAATGGACGAAGGCTGACCTCAAGAGTGCACATCCTACAATCAGATAAAGTATCAGAAAACAACTCTTCTATACAGATCATAACAAAATGGTTACGGTATCAAGAGATACATTCTGAAAAGTTCAACTGTTTGTAATAGCGGTCAAAGGAGAGGTACGGTACCTATCACCGTAACTAAAAGGCTTACGGTAGCTAAAGAATTCGACTGCACATCGAATAGTCTACAAAATCTCATTCAGTCAGTTTATAAAGCAATAAATTTCTGTGCACAAATCACAATTCCCAGTAAGGGGCGGCGGAATTTTCACAGCTGGAAACACGAGGAAAAACTTTTTGAGCTGCCCCGACCGAAATTGATCTGATTCGATTTGAGATCGTTTATATAGGGGACTCTCTCGTAAAGCACAAAGTTCATTTTTTCCTGCTGAAAATGCCGAAAAAGAACGCAATACGCGGTCTTTTTCCGATCTCGAAAAAAGAGTGTGATGCCCCTTCTTTTTGTTCATTTTCTCCCTCAATCCTCCCATCCTTCATCATTTTCACTGACAACTCAAATAAACTCGAGATTATTGGGAAAACAACACAAACTCAAATTGTCCCTCAAACCCTCTCATCATATTACTGACCGGTGAAACGTACTGAACCGAAAACCCCACCGGAACATTATTGTGGATTATTGGGGATGTGTGAAAGTTGTTCTTTAGCCACAAAATTTTCGACAAATCATTGATTTTATAATCTATGAATTGTGATACTGATAGACAGTATCCCTTTACACAAACGATGAGGGTCAAAACCCTGTACAGTCAAAATTTTTGGGTATATTTTATTTCAATAAAAATTGACAAAAATCGAATTAGTTTACAAAAAAAGAAACAAAATGTACAAAGTAACAGCTTTAAATAACAACATTTCGAGGCTTAAATGTTTGCGGTCTTGATCACGTAATAATCGACTTCCATCAGGTACTTGTCGCCATGTTTCTTCCAGTACTAAATTAGTAGTTTTAATACTTTTTTTATACAGATGTAAAGTTCACTTTTTCACTAAGTTGTTCTATTCAGCTAATACTTTCAAATATTTACCTGGGTCTTGTCGATAACCATCTTTTGTCTCTTCATTCACATGAAGAGTCATCTCAAAAGCATAACGAATCAAGTCCTCACCTCCCGTGAACGATTCATCGGCAGTCTGAAAAACAACTATAAAATCATCAATATAGCGCAAGATACTTAAAACGATTGGAAAGAAATACATTTAACGAACCTTGCATTGCCAATTTGATCCGCAGCTCATCCACTCCTTGAAAAGCTCGGTGATTTCTGAATCAAAAATTATTTTAGGTACTTGAAAATTAGTTCTAAAAAGCTGACTAGTCGTTTTCAACAAAACTTTTCGGAAAAATTTAAAAAATGAAACCTTCGTGTCCTCTGTAGATCTTCTTTTCCTTGACATTGATTTCAAGGGCGTTTGGGTCATAGAAGGAGAGAATGCTAAAACGAGATAAAAACAGTATTCTTCGAAAACCAACTGGCTGAAATCGGGTTCCTTTCCTTCCTCTTTGTTTTGCGATGGACAGCCCTTTCCCCACATCGCCTGCAGAGTTGGACGAAGAGTAGCTTCGAGAGTCATTTCGAGAAATGTATCTAAATCAAAAGTAAAGATTTCTAAGCATGTCGCTAGTTTGAGCATGAAGCGAAGCCAAACAGAATAGAAAATCTGATGGTTTCCAACCAAGCAAAAGAACCTTAGTTTCAACAATGTTTTTATTGATAAAAAAATTGAAAATCCGTTTAAATATTATGTGCAAATTGGAAAATAAGATAAAAAGAAAATGAAAAACGTTGAAAACGATCAATTTTTGGCGAGAGTGTATTGCTCCAGTTCCATCAGATACTTGTCGCCAAATTTGCGCCAGTACTAAAATATAAGTGAAAGATGGATTTCAAGAGTTATTTGCTTAAATGTTAGTTAAACATCAAATTTTGGATGTAAAAAGGCTTTAATCCATCAGAGTTATAAAAACTAAGCATAAGTTTGTATTGTTACATCCAAAATCCAACCTGGACTTCATCAAAAGCCACCATGACTTGACCGTCCTTCTTCATAGTGCATCGACAGGCGTATCGAATGAAATTCTCACTTCCCGAGAAATCCTCATTGGTGTTCTGAATGAAATAAAATATTGCAACTCTCGCATGAAAAATCACCTCTGTCACCCAATCCTTGCCCATTTCGAACCACTCTTTGAATTGCTTCAAGATCTCTAAAAGTATCAATCGATATAGACTAAAATCTCACCACCTACCATCGTGCCCCTTGCAAATACTCTTTCGCGAAACATCAATCATGAGAGCATCCTTGACGTAGAAGGCAAGGAAGCTAAATTGAAAATGGAAAGTAAACAAAAAGCTTACAACTCACTCTTCATTTTCCTTCTTGCATGTTTCCTCAAAATTCTTGATAACCGGTCGCAAAATCGCTTCGAGAGCCATTTCTGAATGAAAAGTTAGTTAAATAAAGTAAAAAAAAGTAGTATCCTAACGAAAACGAGATCTAGCAAAAGTAATGATAAAGCTTTCGTGATAGGGAGAGGCAAGAGAATAAAATTTGAGGGTTCACATTAAGAGAGACTAAGGGGGAGGGACTTTAACAAGAAAAGAGATTGCTTTCCTATCCAGAACAACCTTTATATAATCCCTGGTTGGAGACCACTGCTAGTCTCAACTAAAAATCATTCACCCTGTTGATCAAAGAATACAGTGAGAGTGAAAAAAAACAGCAAAAAGAAAGCCCTAGAGATTCGAGGGAAATAAAGGGGAGAACAAGTCCAAACGCGTCTGCCCCCACCCAAAAAAAGACCAAGTGGGAAAGTGTCTCTATTTGATTTCAAGGCTAAAAGAGAAAAGATTCATTTCCGAGTGTCCCTATCAAAAAAAGTGATGTGAAAAAATACGAGGGGGTCAACGGGGGCAATGCAAAACATGTTGAAACAAGAAAAACGGACAGTTTGTTCGCGATTTTGCAGATGGTGCCACAGTTGGGCTTTTCGTGGAGCAAAAAGAATGACCGAAAAAGAAAGTGCTGCGCGCAATTGAATGTCTTAACATTTAGCACGATCGAATATTTTCGCCTCCATTTCCCTCAAATGTCATTTGGGGGAAATGGCAGTGAAAATATTCAATCGTGCTCAAATGTTAGTACAGTAGGCTTTTGTGATGGAACTTTGTGTCCGACTGAATATCTTTTTGGAAAAATCATATTTATGATGGAATTTTTTGCCGACAAAATTTAGAGAATTTCCCACTACCGTTTCGATATGGTGTTAGAAATGGACGAATTTTTTTTTGTTTAGACGCATAAAAATGTGATGAATAATGAAATTCTCAGTGTGATTGTGTCTGTGTATTTGTCACCGGAATGTGCAATTTGAGGGTCTAATAATTACACAACTTTATTTGTACCCTGCTTTTTCCGATATCACATCAGATTAATGTAAGTTTACAAACGATTTCTGTAGAAAGTGGAAGATTAGAATATTAGGAGACTCATGTTTTTGTTCTTTTTGAAGTCGTCTCGTAGTTGGATAAAGCTTGAGATCAGAGATCTATCGACATCCGCCTGCAAGGGTTTTAAGGATATTTTCCGGAGTTTTGTCACCAACCAAAGTAGGACTACGAGCAGCTTCGCTCAAATTATCGGGTAAAACCATTAAGAGATTTGCCAATGAGTGGAGTTTATCGAAGGGAGCTGATGCATCTCGACCACATCTCCAGGAAGATATACATTTTCTGGAATAGTTGAACTTTATGGACCTAATTATCGGTTATTGAATATGTTCCATAAAAAGGGCCTTTTTTTTCTTACTTGTACTCGTTGAGATCACACAGTAGCAACATGGCTCCCGCTGAATTGTAGGTGAAGTTTTGGATGTGAGCAAGAATCGTCTTGTAGAGTCTTTGGGCTAGTTCAACTTGTACAACCTGCAAAGGATATGGATTATTTATCTAAAATCTTTTTTATATAGGTACTTTCAAATTGGCGCCATCACATCCCTCTCCATTGCCGAGGTTTGCGTTTTCAGGAAACGCAAAATGGTCTGGCAAGCCTAAATCCATTCATAGTCTGATAAACTATAATGCTTTATTACCTGGCTAACTTGGATTTGCATGTGATCATCATCGGGAATGAAGTCAACTTTCTTCTGCGTCGAAGTAAGAACGAATTTTGTGTATCCTGAGATGTTGGTGAGTTTTGGTAATCTTACTTTTCATACCTTGTATGGCATTCAAGTGTCGGTCCATCCCCGTATTGATTTTATTTTCCAATCCTCGTAATGAGGAAGTCCATTTCTTGGAGCAAGTTTGTTCAACAGAAGTATTCCTGAAAATCTTACTTATGTTTGAGAGTTTTGCATACTTGATTAAAGGCCAGATGCTATCTTCGAACTGTTTCGCACACAATAAGACAATTGCCGTGTTTTGTGGAACAAATGTGAAGAAATAGGCTGGTGGCTCAGTCTTTGGCTCGGATAATGTTATGCCTGCAAATGTTTATTTAGTTGTTGGGTATTAATTTTTGAGCATTTCAAACCAGCTAGTGCAAGCTCCACGGCGTAATCAAGATGCTCAGTGACCAATTTTGCGAGCAGCACGTCCAAAACTTTTTCGGCTTGCCTTGATACATCCATTTTATTGCAAAACTGAAATTTTTTCCTTGTACTTACGCTTTCTATTAGTTACCAATTGTGTCCTATTGAAGGCGTTTTTCGTCTCTTGTAGAATCGAAATTGCCACATCTTCGGCTAAAAACGTTTCCCCGCCAAAGTCGTCAGCCGATAAGAAGCGAATCGTCACATCTCGCCGAAGTTCTTGCAAACTAAATTCAATGCATAATTGTAATTTTGTTATTAATACCCTCCACTCGTTATTGCGCGTTTTTGATGCTTCTTTGACTCGTAAAATCGCGCCAAAATGATAGAAGATTGAGCATTCAGATAATCCAATTCATCCTGAAAATTAGATTTTAAAAAAGAAGCACAATTAAACCAACCTTTGGATATGAGTTGAGATATCGCTCAAAAATCGCCCTCGTGAGGTCAATCAGAAAGATGGATCGGGCGATACATGTAAAACTTCCAATTCAGTACATAGTTTCTTTGTACTAAAGTCATGGATTTTACACGTATCATAAAACTTTTGAAAACCTTGTATACATTTCGGCCAGCGAAATCAAATACCCTTCTTGATCTCCAACTTCTCGATGATCCCTCAATGTAGCGTAAACTGTCTCCTAAATTGAGGGTTACTTTTAAAAAAGGGATTAACAGAACCTTCAGCTTTCCATTGAATATGCTGGTAACAAGTTTCTGTATGACGGCCATCGGATTCGGAAAGATCGCCTCGATCTTCGGTTTAGCATTTCTAAAGCTTTTCTGGTAAGATTAACTCTGATAAAAACCTGCAAAGATGCAATGCTTCCGCAAAAACATCGCCTCTATCTCGGTGGAACGAGGTGGCATGAAGAAATTCGACGTAACGATCAACGCACGAACCGTAGCCCTAAATTTACATTTAAAATCAAAACAATACCGTATGCCAGACCAAAAAATAAGCACCAAATGAAAAACGCACCTTAAACTCAGCCAATATTTTTGCCACTTCCGCCATTTTCTTCTCATCTCGTTGCGATCGCACAAATTCGTCAATCAACAAACGCTCAATTTCCTCGTATCTAAAGTTTTAATTAAAAAGTTCCCCACAAAATAAATTACCTGTGCGCAATTCTCGCTTGAACATATGCATATTTTTCTTTCGACAATTCTTGCGATATCGAGTAGAGCTTTTGAATCAAATCGGCTGATTCGAGCAGCTAAATACTATTGGTGATCTAAAAGAGTTGATATGCAAACCTTGTCCGGATCTGTGAATATTGCAGAGCTGAGAGGTTGATCCGACAAAAATTGATCAAAATGCGTTATCAAGGCAAGGGCCTCAGAAGCTCTTAAAATTGCAAATATTTTTGAGCAAATAGTATCTTTAAATTATTTATATCTCATTAAAATTTACCCGTTTACACTTTATATAAATGCTTAAGGCATAAAAAATCCAAAAAATTTACCTAGTTCTTGGCCCATCAACACTTTCCAGTTGATCACCAAGATGAACCACTGCTGTCGACACGTTTTGCATTGTTTGGTCCAATTGCTAAAAAAATTAGTTTACCAAACTAAACACTTTAATACTTGCCTTGACTTTTTCGATCGCATCGGAGTTTAGTTCATGCAATTGTTGTAGTCGATTGCAATAATCTCGTTTGTCCACGTCCAATTGCTGCTCGAGGACGTTGATTTTACCCTACAACCTTTCAATTGCAAGACTTGCTTTCAAAACGTACCGAAAATTGATCACACAACATTTGCAAGCTGGCGATCTCTTCTTCAAGCTTTTCTTTGAGGTGCAGTGGGTCACTGATTGTATCCGCACCCTGAGCTTTATCGTATTAAACCAACTTAAATAAACTTTATGCCTGTGTAATCCTCCATACTACTCGTTCGACGAAATCGGTGGCATCGAATGGATCCTAAAAAAAGAAATTGACTTAAATTTTGAAAGTACCTGTAAATCTTCTGGGCAAAGATTTTATGCAAAAACACAGAACCCCACAGATTTTAGTCTGAACATCTTATAGCTTTTGTGCCCACAAGCTCATATCGGCATAGGTTTTTGTTTTAAACTACCTGTTCCAAATCCTCGACATATGTCACAAAATATTGACCGCTCATTTGGAATCGATCAATAGATCTAAAGAAATCAAATATATAAATCAAATTTATAAATATAGAATGCCTAGACTTTCTTGTTGTATAAAATACTTTTGTTGGTCTTTGAACCTTTTTGTATGCGTTTTCACCTGTAGCAGGTAAAATGTTTATTCAAAGTGAAATACTTTTAATTAATATGCTTTTAAAAAAGCGCTCTGAGTAATTCTTCACACATTTTAAATATATGACACAAGAAATTTTCAAAGGGCACCATAGTAAAGTGAACAAAAAAATTTATATACAGAGTTAAAAGAAAAATCAAGCTGAGAAAGCATGGTGCAGAAAAACGACAAAATCACATTTTTGAGCATAGAATTGAAGACTAGGGATTTCCTGGCTTGTATACAATTTAAACTTAATCTCATGCGTAAAGTACTGGCTAAACTACAAAATGTGCAAGTGTTAAAAGAGAACTAGAGATATTCTTTACGGCTTATTTACTTTTCCGAAGAGATCTTCTTTTCTTTTTCATCGTAGAACAAAAGTGGAAACATGCCAATTATGCAGCCAACTGTCAATCCAAAGGCCCGAGCCGCATTTGTTGTCCATCGTGCCTGAATGATCAATTTTTCTCCGTAACCAACTTTGCAAAAATTTTAAAAAGTTGCTTACCTTGTTGCTTTCCAATTGTTCAGCTGTCAGGACAGGCTGTCGAACACCAAATCGAACAACAATAGCCTGCAAAAAAACATAGTGATAAAGAATAAGCGTTCTATCTCAATACACAAACAATTAAAAATACTTACTTCAACATAATGAGCAAGACCAACACCAGCCACATCAGAGATTATATTCCCAATCGCTGCCGCAGCCATTGTAGATAGACAGAGTAGTGTTCCTAATTGCTAAACAAATCCATAAGCTAGGAAAATTTTAAATCGTTACTGTACCTGGTCAATGTACTCGCCGGCCAAAATCATGATCATGTTGTCGAGAAAACCAAAACCGATAAACGGAATTGCATTAAACGCAAATAACGCTCTCGTTTCTTCTGGAGAAAGAATTGAAGTAACGCCTAAAGTTGATAACATTTACTCACAACAAATAAAAGTTATACCATTGTTTTTCTTTCGTTCTTGAAGGGCTGTTAATAAAGCGGCACGTAGTAGATCCTGTTCTCGCTCTGTGTAGCGTTTCGCCAACTGTCGAATTCAGTTTAAAAACTATAATCAGTTTGTGAAAGATACCTCGGTAGCATCTTGTTCGGTTGAGATGGGGTGTTTTTCGAAATGGAACATCACACTCGTCGTGGATTGTCGCGTCTAAAATAATGTTAGTAAATTAAAAAATAATAATAAAGGTTCTAGTAAATCATTAAAACTTTTGAAATTTAATAGACTGCCAAAAGTGTAAACCAACCTGAATCCGAATGGCGCCAAAACGAAGGGCGCGGGCGGCCGCGCCCACAGCCCACCCCATCAAAATGCCAAATCTAAAAAGTAATGATGTATTAAACTTTCAAGATGTTGAATGAGAAAAGAATGAACATTCGTATAAAAGATCAATTTCTCCCGCAATGATGCAATTAGAAACCCATGGGAAAATCTCCCGTACCGTTGTTCAAACAATTGAGGGTTAGCTTTCAGTTTGCTGACGCCTGTCAAACAACGAAAATGTATTGATCCTCCCTAGCATTCTACGTTTATATTCAGGTTGACTAATTTTATCAAACAAAAACCTTTGTTTCCTAGGCTTTTGAGGAGAAGGCTATAAGCTCTTAATCCTAAAAATTGATCTCCAAAAGAATAGTTTATTTTCTCAAAAATCGTAAATTTGGATCGTAAAATGTGCGAAAAGTTCTCGTGTGAGCATTCGGAGAAGTTTAATTTAATAGCCGCTCCGTAGTGGTCGACGAGATAAGGCACAAACAGAGGAAAATATAAAGAAAGTGGAGAGATTTGGAAGACACATTTTGACCCCCGCCAGCCCTTTGGACTTCCAAACAAAAGAAAAAAGAATGGAGAAGAGAAAGAAAGGCTTTTCAAAAAAACGCTGAAAAATTCACTACAATAGATATTCGAGCGTCGTAACGCTTTTTTGAATACTTTTCTTGTAAATAATTTATTTGCAACAAGCGAAAATAACAAAGAACACGTACAGTGCTACCCATTGAAAATGACTAAAAACAATGAAATGGTGATTGAAAGCCAGTGCTATTGTGCATAGAAGAGGCCATGCAATGAATGTACCAAACCAGTGGATTTCAGTAATTGCCCATGTATCCACGCCCGCCGCCACGTCCCCGTTGATAACCACCGCCGCTTCCGCCTCGATTCCCACCACGACGATCTTAAAAATTTTTAAAAAGTAAAAAGATAAAAGCAACTAAACTAAATATTTACTTACATACCTGAGCATTTAAAATAATACTCTTCGATTAAAAGCCTACCTTGGCCACCATAATGATCGCGCCTCTGTTGATATTCGTTACGAGCCTAAATATGGGCGATACGTTAAAAACCGAAAAAACCTAGACAACCGATTTTCTAATGCTTACCTGGTCTTCGACTGAGTGATGTGAACCACCGCTTTGTTGATAATTTTGATTTCCACCACCATGCCCTCTTCCTCCATGACCTCCATGGCCACCTATTTTAAAAGCATCATGTAAACAAAATTATTAACGAACCATGTCCTCCTCGTCCACCATGCCACTGCCCACGTCCACCATCACCTCGACCTATGAGAAATAAAAATCACAGACATTAAAATTCACTCACCGAGCTGTTGTGATAAAAATGTCTCTCGTGAAGGTGCAGCTACTTCATTTGTGCGTCCACCACTGCAAAGATTTTTTACCGAAATAACTAAAAAACAAACCGATCTTTTGGTGCTTCTGCATTCGCAACCGGCTGAACTTTGGATTTCGTATGTTGACGCAAACGGGAGCATGATGCCTAAAAAAAGAAATTATTTTCATTTTATACAAATTAATTTTGTAATTTAAAACTCCTAAAGCAAGGTTCACTAAAGCTAAAATCGATGAACTCAATACCAGCAGGTAATTATTATTGGGTTTGGGTCAGAAGAGATTTCTCCCACTGGCAGCAACACAACGGGTTTATTACACTGACCACCCAAAGAAAAGAGATAGCCAATGAGAAGGCTAAATGTTTCAATGTGGTAAATAACCTTTCACTTACCCTTTCAATCAGTAGGTGATTGTTCGAACAAGCAAGAAGGCTTATTACATCCGGAGGAAAAACCTAAATTAAAATTTAAAGATTTTAATAGAAAAAACCTTAGCCATATCTTTTCTTTTTTCTGCGTATAGATCCAAAATTTCCTTTTCTCGTTTTCGAACTTTATCAGCCCTAAATCACTTTTTATAAAAAAACATTTATTGTGATGTTACCATAAAAATGAGTTCACAGTTACATCGATTCTCTTTAGAAGTAACAGATTTCGAGCGCGTACATCAGCAGACATTTGATGACAAAGCTAAATTTATAAGGATTTTATTCCATTCTGCAAGTTTCAATAAATACCCGATCAACTGCTGCCCACTTCAAATCATCCATCTTTTCGGTAAAAAGTGGACGTGGTGGGTTTTTGAGCACTTGACATCGTTTGTTGGCCTTAATAAGCAAAGATTTTAGAAAAAACCTAATTGGCAAAACTCGATTCTTAAGAAGGATAAACATTAACCAACTTCAACCATAATTTTAGCCACGATATCACGCTCATCTCCTATTTTAGGCGCTGGCATCTTTAACGTTTGAATCGCTCTGTCAAGATCCTGGGCCAATGCAGTATCAATAACCTGAGAACAAAAAAAAGTGATAAAATTTAAACAAACTAGCCTTTACTGGGGCTTTTAATTTTTCGTCTGCCAATACACGAGCAACTTTCAATTCGTTAATCAAAAAGTCGATAAGTGCATAACGACGAGTTGTTGACGAAAAGCGTTCCTCCAATGAACCCGAGAGTAGATCAGAAATTCCACAATCTGCATTAACTTTTAGAAGTCAAAATTTAGTAAAATTTACCCAATTCAGTCAGAAAGGCGCTAAGTTCATAAAGAAAAGCCTTCGCTTCGTCAAGTGATTGAATAGCAGATGGACTTTCTTGTAACTCATCAAGGACCTAAAACAAATGTTAACTTTGACTTTAAATTTAAATACCTTAATTTCTGTACACAGCGTATGAAGTAATTTGAAGAAATCCAATGTGCCCAAGCCTTGTTCAATGATTGGAGCGAAGTTGTCGTAGCCAAGAATATCTTGTATTCTAAAAGACACTTTTTAAAATCCCAAATTACAAGCCTTACCCTTTCAAATTGTGACAACTGAACGTCGTCGATTTATCTACTTCCATAGAGGACATTTCTAAAAAAGACAATTCTTTTTAATCTCTTGGAAAAAAAAACCCCTGGATAAATAAAATGTGATTAAACTTTTGGTTTCATGGAATTCATAAGTGTACAATTTATTGCCGATAAATTAATTCAACAAAGTAACAACACAATAAAAAAGTTTACTTGAAAAGTTAAAATACATACTCTAAAAAATTTCTTCAGAGATCAAGAACTGACAAAATTTGATCCGAGCGCATTAATATCCAATGAATCCTCCCATAATTCCCATTGGTGGCATTGGAGGGACTGGTGGCATTCCCTCATCCATGCTTCTCGTCTCCATACGGAAAGCCACCTAAAATTACAAAATCTTTAACGTCTCTTCTAAAAAATCTAATCGTTTTCACGTTTTCAAGAGAAGAACCCTATCACAATTTCAATTTTGAACTTTGCTATTTTGCGTACTTAAACCACAATACAGCACATTCTCTGGTGTTTCAACTCTTATCTACAAGATTAGCAATAAACCCCTATAATGAGATTTGAAGGCATGGGCCACGAACCAATCATTTGGGTATTCTTTTGATTCCTAAAAATGAAACGAACTCTGGGAATATTTTGTTTCATCTTGTTTTTAAATTTTGCTTATGGAGCCTTGCCAGCACCCATGGTCATCACTAAATATGGAGCTGTTGTGGGAAGCGCCCAAATCACTCAAGATGGTACAGTAATCAACGAATTCATGGGTATCCCCTTTGCTCAACCTCCTGTCGGAAAACTTCGTTGGGAGGTAAGCAATGAGAAATTCAAAGATTATTGACGGTTAGAAACCCGCAACTCCTATTCCATGGACATCGCCCCTTAATACTACAGCTTATAAACAAGGATGCATTCCTTGCATGAGGTAAACTTTTAACTTGAAAATCTTAGCAAAAGTTCATTCATGTGTAGTGGGCAAGTGGAAAGCTTTGGGGCCACCGAAGACTGTCTTTACCTAAACGTGTGGACTCCGGATTTGCAAGTTAGATCTAAAAACAACTTGTATAAAGACCAAAATCTCAGGGTAGCCTGCCAGTCCTTTTTTACATCCACGGAGGAGCCTATACGGGCGGGTCGGCGGCTGATTTTCCGCCGCAAAGTTGGCGAGAGGTTAATAAATTCTCGTTCTATTTAAATTTGGTCGCAGGTTTGGTCTCGACGAGGAATTGTGGTTGTTACAATTCAATACAGATTGGCGGAGCTAGGTTTAGAAAGTTAAAATTTCAAAAGGAAGACCTGTTACAATTAGGATTCTTGACAACTAATGATAGTCGAATTGTTGCAAATTTGGGCTTGTGGGATCAAAATATGGCGCTTCGATGGGTTCAAGACAACATTGGACGATTTGGAGGTACACAAAAGTATTATTCTCAATAAATTCGAGAATACGCAGGCAACTCAAAACGAGTCACAATTTATGGAGGATCGGCAGGTTCATCTTCAGTGAGTCAACACACAATGTCTCCCTACTCAAAAGGTTAACACACGAAAAGGCTATTTACCACGCTTCTTTAGATCTTTTTCAACAAGCAATCGCAATGAGCGGCTCTGCCATGGCTGAGTTTGCACGAGGGACAAACACACTCGATTTCTCAAATCTCTACTTTAAGAAATTAAAATGTGATACGGCGCCAGATATCAAAGCGTATGATATGTCACTTCTATATAAATGTCCTGTTTTAGCTGCATGCAAAGCAAAACCCTCGATGAACTCTATAAGGTCGAAGCTGGATATGAAGGGGTGAGTGAGCAACTACTTACAACACTTGAAGTTTCTTTACTCAAATCAAATGAATAGGTTTCATTTTGTGAAAAATTTTGCACGAATAAAGGTATTCATTTATCGTATAGCAAAAACTTTTAAATAATATGTAAGACTACTACCATGTTTTAGTCATGTGGACCAAGTAGCCTAGACTGGCTCGGTTTTGCACCAATTATTGATGGAGACTTCTTACCTGTCCAGGTACTTGCAAAGAAACTTTCTTTAAATTTATCACTTGCAGCCCGAGATCGCCTTTAAGAATGCTTACAATATTCCAATTATTATGGGACTAAACCAAAAAGAAGGACGCGTATTCAGTTAGTGATCGGAAAATCCTAAAAATTAAAATTAAATTTTAAAGCCCTGGAAGCAAACTATCCGTTTTCTGTTCTGCCACCTGGATATTCTAAATACACGCCAACGAGTTTTGCAAACTATATTGCTACATGGATAACATCAAGAGTGAGTACCTAACCTTGCAAGCGAACTTGGAATTTCAGAACTATGCGACTTCTGAGAACGCAACCGCTCACACGGATATCTTCAGCTTCTATTCTCAAAACACCACTGGAGCAAACGATCACTATTTTTGGATTGAACAATACGTTCGAGTAAGTTCGACATTTAAAATGATAATTTTTAAAATCCAGTCATATTCCGACTACATCATGAACGTCCCCGCTGTACGAGAAGCCTTGGCTAAAACTGCCGCCGGAGTGCCAGTGTTTGCGTTCATCTTTGACCATTATAACAATCAAACTTGGCCCGTTACATTTCCATGCCAAGGTAAAGGGAAAACGAAGCAAATAATATTCACTCAATAATAGGATCAACTCACAGCGGTGACAGCCCGTACGTTCTTGACGCTGGATTCAGCTTTACCCCTACCGTGGAAGATGTGGCTACCGCTAACAACATTCAGGAGCTATTTGTTCAGTTCATTCACACCGGGTAACAGCTTAATTCTATACTAACTTCTTAAAAACTTTAGTAATCCATCTACAAATCATATCAACTGGGACAAGTTCGGCTCAAAGCTGGAGTATCTAAGCCTTTCCGAGAAGCCCGTAATGAAAACTGGTTTCTACAATTTGGATTGTAAAAGTGTAAACACCTTTTAGATTGGTTCGGACCCAGCTATCGGTTCTGGACTGAAGCTATGAAAAAGTACAGCTACGATTTCATCAGCGGCCAATATTGGAAATAAAGATTCAACTCAAACACAAACCTGAACAAAGAATTGTTTTGTATCCTTGTTCCACAATTGCCAAAATTTGTCTTCCGATTTGTCAACTTCTCTAAATCAAAATACATTAGTTTTAGTTAAAAAAATAGGTAGTTTACTTTGATGGAATTTTGAAAGCAATCGTCTCGTAAGGCTCAGCGGCAAAAAGAAGATATTGATATTTCTTCTCAGGTGGATGAATCTTCTGTTCGTAGGCAGACATGAACCTAGAAAACAAGCCATTGCAGCAAAACTAAACAAAAAACCTGTGTCGAGGAACGACTCCGTCTGATGCTTCGGGATAGTCAATTTGAAAGAGTAATGCAAGTTGTCCAGTTTGTGGATCACGCTCACGAGTCACCTAAATTAGTTAGCTGTACAAAAATATATGCACAAATAAACTTTCTAACACCCTTGTTCTCGCTAATACAACAATGCCTAACTAAATAGCTTAACTAACCTTGTAACCAGGACGTCCAATCTTCACAAATCGCTTGATATCGACTTTTGCTTGTTGAGGAGCAGGCAAAAACGGTTGTTCCTAAATAAAATTCTATTAAAAGCTATTAAAAAAATGAAATTACCGCAGCCTCCTTCGCCGCACGTCGAGCCAGGTTAGCTTGATGCTTTTTACCCTGGGTGTGAGCCAAGTACGAACCTATAAGTAAAGATTACAAGTAAAAACCTTTATTTAATACCTTCATTGTTGTGCAGAGTGAGACAAAGTTTGCACTCGTAAGTACCAACATGATTTCGCATAAAATAGGGGTCCTTGTTCAAGTCGATCGTTTCAAGGGCAAGTTGTCTAAAATTAGAAGTGCGATAGTGTTATAAACTAGACAATGTCATTTTAATAATAGTAAATATTTAATATTTTTATAAACTATATTTACAAAAAAAACCAAACCTGAGCCGCTCTCTGCGATCAATTCCTTCTTGTTGCGATGATGCCGGGGCTCCGCTGCCCGTCTTACCGCCAGCACGATTTTGAAAGTCCATTTCTAAATTTGATTTATTAAAAAATTAAGCGCTAAAACTAAGCATTGATTGAGTCAACCAAATCTCAATTCAACTACGAAAATTGAAATCCAAAGAAGCACAAAGAAAACCGTTAATTGATTTCTCTCGTAGCCAATGTTTATATTTTAATACTTTAAGCGCTATTCGAGTTGCTTTTTTAATAAAAATCCAAACATCGTCCATTAGGTGTACAAATTTCCTTCATCGAACTAAATTTAGTTCGATGGTGTTGCGGGAAATCGTCCGATGGACTGGCGTAAGCGTTTTCGAACTATGGCTTCATATTATGGGATTCTTCATTTTCACAATTTTACTGGTAAGCGGCAAAGAACAAAAAGTCAAAAGCCAATTTTAGACTTTAAAAATTTACGACATTCTTGATCGATCATATTGGTTTTTGTTTACACCATTGTTTGCGGGTAAAACACAAGGTATCCGATCCCCAATCCAACAAGTTTAGCATCCATTTTGGACGGATACTTTCTTTTCATCGTGTTTATTCGAACAATTTTGCTATATAGAGAGAACAAAGTGGCGCCAGTGAGGTGAGTCTAAATGTTAAAAGGGGAATTTGAAAGATCAGCCAAAATCAAAAAATATGGAATTTGCAGATGGACCCTCCGTACGATAAGTCGATATTTTTTCAACTGGATTAGACTTGCCCTAACTTTATTATTTGAGGTAAGTAGGAAAAATCCATTGTCGTTAAATATGTATGCACAGATCTGGATCTGTCACAAAATAGATGGAGACCTCAATCCGATGCAGGTATCATACTATTAGGTTGATGCATAAGTCTTTTCGTTTTTTTCGTACTTCTGTTAAAAAGTAACAAATTCACCAATTAATCTATAGTTTGCTCTATAAAAAAAGTGTTTTTTTGTTGAATTTCCATCTTTTTAAATCAATTTCGGTTCACTTTCAAGCAAATTCGAGAGTGAAAAACGCCTTTTTCGTAAAAATCTATAAAAACTCTACGGAAAAATTGGCTGAATGAATTTCTCTGAAATTTTGGCGAAATATCAAACGTTTTTTTCTCTATCTTTTATCTATTGACACGAAGATAGGTTTTCTTTAGCTAAGGTGTCTAAACCGCATCATCGAGTTAGCCCTTTTTGACTACCCGACTTCATACTCTCAAGAAAATCCAGGCATTAAATATTTTTAAACCCGTTTTAATGTTATTTTGCAGAAAAATAATTGATTTTTCTAATCAAATCAACCGTAGTTTAATTCGTGCATTTGTTGGCTTGAAACGGCAGACGAAAAGGAACAAAAAGACTTATGCATCAACCTATTAGATTATACATCTTCATAAAACTATTTAGGTTTCTCTCCAACACGGATATTCAATGGTCTTTGTACCAGTGTGGATTTTAATGATAAGCCTTTGCATCCAAGCCTGCAGATTGTTTTAAACACAAAGGGTAAAATTTACGGGTAAACCTTTAGATCTCAAAAGCTTTGAAAATAAATTTTTATTGTCTTTCCACAATAAATCAGCATAATCAACAACAAGTAAGGTAACAATAAAAATCACAAATTGACCACAAGTGTTTCATAATCCCTATCCAAAAATTCTTGTGAAAATGAATATTCAAAATTGGACTCGCTAGAGGTTAAATTTAAATTGAAGTACACCATTTATAAGGAATAAAAACCTACAAAATTTCAAAGTTTACAAATCCCTTAAAATCCAACATTAGAAAGCGTCAACATTCAAAAGCTGAAAACCCTAAAGAAAAAAATAATAATGAAATTACAGAGAAGAGTTTATTCCAAACTAATACGCAATACGGTCATAGGAGTAAGAACATTTGCCGATCTTGCAAGTTTCTTCGTGGGCAGAGGCGATATTGACCGACGTTAAGCTGTTCAATTCGGTACAGATGAGTTCCTTGTTCAATCCTGCTTGTTCAATCGTGGCAGCCATTCCCTTGATCGACTCCAACAGTGCTTCTCGAGCCTCCTTCACCATAAGCTTCACAATGTCATAGAATCTCGAGCGCGAGCTAAATTAAAAGATAAGTCATGTAAACACCAATTAGTACTTACTTTTTGACCTCGGCCCACGCATTTCCAACTTCTATGCTTTGAAGGTTACTGAGTCCAAAATCACGAATCAGGTCCAACAACTTGATCTTTGCCGAAGATGACTTAATAAGGACGCGACAATGTTTCAGAAAAAACTCCTTGACACAAAGTAACGCTGCTCCCCAAGCCTTCTCCGAAAATTCGACGACGTCTGGTGGATCTTTGTTGGAGTACTCGTTGGCTTTTTCGATGAGCTCGTTGAAGTCGTACGGCTCGTTAGTCTCCTGGAATTGAGAATTATAAAAGAATTGAGTACAAATTCTTACCGTGCCCTGCAAATCCTTGACCACAACTCCATCACTCTCCATCAGTTTTAACATCTTCCACGCCTCCTCAAAGTCCTCCTCCTGAACGCTGACCACGATGCCATTGAGACCAATCTTCCTCGACATCTTGAGCGAACTGAAAAAGCGAGAATGAGCGTCAAATAAAGTCAAATAAAGTAAAAAATGTAACATACTAACGTAAACAAGATCTAGCAAAAGCAATGATAAAGCTTTCGTGATAGGGAGAGGCAAGAGAATAAAATTTGAGGGTTCACATTAAGAGAGACTAAGGGGAAGCGACTTTAGCAAGAAAATAGATTGCTTTCCTATCCATAACAACCTTTATATAATCCTCGGTTGGAGACCACTGCTAGTCTTATCTAAAAAAGGTTCACCCGATTAATCAAAAAATACAGTGAGAGTGAAAAAAAAACAGCAAAAAGAAAATCCTAGAGATTCAAGGGAAATAAAGGGGAGAACAAGTCCAAATGCGTGTTCATTTCCGAGGGTCCCTATCAAAAAGTGATGTGAAAAATATGAGGGGGTCAACGGGGGCAATGCAAAACATGTTGAAAAAAGAAAAACGGAGAGTTTGTTCGCGATTTTGCAGATGGTGCCACAGTTGAGCTTTTTGTGGAGCAAAAAGAATGACCGAAAAAGAAAGTGCTGCGCGCAATTGAATGTTTTAACATTTAGCACGATCAAATGTTAGTACAGTAAGCTTTTGTGACGGAAATTTGTGCCCGCCTGAATATTCCGAGAGCTACAGCTATAAGACTGTTATTTCGACATGAAACCATCTTTGTGATGGATCCTTTAGCCTTCATACGAGTCTTCATGCGACCTAAAATGCATTAAGTAGAGGTTATGGAGGTTTCAATATATATGTTACGTCCGAATCCGACCAGGCGTCCGGATCTGATCCGGACGTCCGAATCCGATCCGGACGTCAGGATCCGATCCGGACGTCCGAATCCGGCCGTTGATTATCTTGTGGTCGGTTTCGGACGTCCTAATCCGACCACAATCCGGATAAATGCCAATTGATCCCGCTTGATTCATCGAATTTTTTATAATTTTTCAACTATGATAGTTTCACCCACGCAAAATTTAAGCTAAGAAATTTAAGTAATATGGTTTGTGAATTTCCAATAACTTTTTTAAAATATTGCGCATCTTCGCCCATGTTTGCTAAAAAAATGTTCATTCCACCCTGAACCACCGCGTTTATCAAAAATTGACCGTTTTTTTTTAAAATTGTTGCTCATTTTCTTGGTAGACATGTAGTAGCTGATATTTATAATTAAACTTTAATGTTTTCTCTTTTTAGGTCATTGGCCTTCAGAATGATCGCTTTTAACGATCAATTCGAGAAATTCGTACAAGAGCGATGCAGTCGAGCTTTCCCGTCTAATGCAGGTTATGTGAAGATGATCGAAACACTTCAATCAACATCAGTAAATTGGAAATTAACTGAAGAACGAAATCTTCACCGGCGTTTCTCTCTATTCAGCGAAAACGGGACAATAATTCTTCTGCACCATGGTGATGGAGCCAAGAAAAACGACGGGAAGAAAGTCATCAAGCGTGAGGACCTCTATGAATTGCTTCGACAGAAACATTCAGCACTTGGCAAACATTCACTAGGAATCAACTGGCTCCATGTGGAGCTGAATTCTTCTCGGTCAATTCAATTCCGGACGGGGAGACATCGTTGAGGACTGCTGTTGGGGCAGCATCGATCTCTGGGAGCCAAGGTAAGCACATTTATTTGCACTTATAATCTTTCTTGTTAATCTTTCTTTTTTCTTTTTCTTACAAATTCAAATGTTTTTACCTCAGCTAAAATATTATAACTTTAGGTCAGGCTCATTGCTTGTGTCTGAGCGGATGTACGACAAATCGATGTGCTTGTCGAAAGAAGAGTCTACTTTGCAACTCGAGATGCCACCATGCAAGAAGTTGTACTAACAAGTGATCTTTTTGTTTCTTGTTTTGGCTCTTTTCAATTTCAGAATGACGCTTTCAGTAACATGCATTATGTGCGTAGTAAAAAGAGGTTTTGTTTAAGTTGATTGTTGTTTGGCTTTGTTTTTCATTTAGTTTGTTTGTTTTATCTTGAAATTCAGACAGTTGCTAACTAATTTTATTAATGTTGTTAATGGTTGTATTGCGGATAAAAATGAGTTTATGTCAATCAATCTTTTTTAAAAAACTAGTTTTTGATAAAGGCGCAACAATTGTGTAAGTGACTTACAAGATGTCCGTCGATTAGAGGAATATCCCTTCAGTAATTATGTTTAATAAATTTGCTTAATTAGCATTAAAAGTTGGTTAATTGGCATTTATCAAAAAAACATTTGTTTTTGGACAGTTTATCCACAAAAATTGCAGCGCGCTAGAAGTGGAATTCCATACAGAAGCTTATGTATGGGCATATTTTTACTTAATTTATGCTCAAAAATCTGCAAAGCGCCAGAGTGCGCCAGAAAAGCCTAATATATACTACTGATATTCAATGATCTTTGTACCGGTGTGGATTTTAATGAGCCTCTGCATCCAAGCTTGCAGATTGTTTTAAACACAAAGGGTAAAGTTAACGAGTAAACCTTTAGATCTCAAAAGCTTTGAAAATAAATTTTTATTGTCTTTCCACAATAAATCATCATAATCAACAAGTAACGTAACAATAACAATAAAAATAACAAATTGACAACAAGTGCAACAATCAACTTCAGAAAACACTAAACTAAATAAAGATCATCTTAAAAGCCTATAACAATGCGTTTTTCGCCCACTGTATGACGGATGCATTCTTAACCATAAGTTGATCCAGTTCAGCCCAAGCCTAAATAAATCATTCATACATGCGCAAAATCCATTTATACCTCATCCTGCGTTCGACTTAATTCCTCCAGTATTTCGGTCATCTCAGGACTTTCATCATCCTTTTTCCAAAACACAGATCTGCAAAGTGTGGAAAGTTTATGAGATCAATAGTGCCTTGCCTATGGATTTTCATAGCAGAAGCCAGGTATGCTTGCACGAGATCGAAATTTTTACGCGTCTTCAGTACCTAAAATGCTTTGCACTATAAATGAACAAATAATACACCTCTAACAACATCTTCGTGAACTGCGGCAATATCTCAGGAGATAGCGTTCGAATCTAAATAGTAATCTTGTTTGTGTTGTTTGTAGCATATTTCTACCTGAAAATCTATTGCCGATACACTCATCTGTGTTAAGTGTTCAAAACATGAACGTAAGGCCTCGGTAGTGTTGGCTCTAAAATATATGATGACTAAAAGCGCTTAAACTTTAGCTTTACCTTCTCAACGATGCTGAAAAAGCGCTCTCTAGATCCAACAAATTTCGTTTTGCTTCCAATATCTTTCGCTCCTCTTTTTCCATCGTTTCTAATAAATTTATACTGAAGCTGTTCACAAAAGCACATACCGTAATCCATTTTTTCAAATTCGAAGCCTTCAAGTGTTTGAGTTGAAGAAAGAAAGAATGGAGCTTGTTTGGGTTTCTGAACAAGAAAATAACAGATCAAACGACTTGACTCAACCTTCGGCGGCTCGATTGGTTTGTTCCGCTCTCGAATAATCGATAGATCCGGTAAATTAGCCCATCGTGATGGAGCCAAGCCCGAATAAGTAACCAAAGAAGTATCAAGCTAAAGATCTGCCGTTTAAAACGTTGACGACGACATATTTACCTGTTCAAAAGCTCTGTTAAGCGCCTCCAAATCCAGAGTCGATCCATTAGCATTTTCGAGGCTCTTACTTCTAAAAATCAAAAGAATCAAATTTTTTAAAAATCAAAGTTTACCTATCTTGACCCCAAACGGGCTTGTAGTCAATAGGCAAAGCGCAAATTGGTACTCGACCAACGAAGTGTAATTTGCTAGCCCACACATATATTGCCTGTTCTCCTTGATGACAAGTTGCCAAAAATTCTCCAGTTTCATTGAAGGATATTCCTGTGCATGGTGCTCCATAAAGAAGAACATCAATCAAGGAGGAAGTTACAAGCTCCCAAACCTAAAAAAACAAAAATATAATTTACTGTTGTTCGAATAACCCGAATATAATTATCTCTGTCTCCAGTAAGCAACCATTTACCATTTGCGGAAAATGACATTGAGAGCACCTAAAACTTTTATATAAAATAAAATTTAATCAACCCACGTCGTTTCCAACTTGCTTAAATGTGCGGGCAACCTTTCTTGTCAAAGTATCGATCACAGAAACAAAACAAGCTAAAAAACTTTCTCTTATTCAACATTACAAATCATACATTTAGCAGGATCTTCGAGAGCTACAGCTATAAGACTGTTATTTCGACATGAAACCATCTTTGTGATAGATCCTTTAGCCTTCATACGAGTCTTCATTCGACCTAAAATACATTAAGTAGAGGTTATGGAGGTTTCAAACAGCTTATACCTGTCCTGAGGTCCCAGAAACTTAAAGTCCCATCAGCTCCGCCACTTATAAGCTCGTGGCCAAGTGAGTCTATTGCAAGACCGTTGACTGATGATGTATGAGCAAGATCGATAGTGCAGTCCTAAAAACCATTTGTTTTTTTCAAAGACTGCAAGACAAGACCTCGTTTTTGTTGATGTTTTCGTCATTCTCGATCTTTAGCTCGGCCTGAATAAATGTCCGAATATGGCGAGCTGATTGAATGTTGAATTGATCCAAATGGCCCGAAGAATATCTAGAAACATCTCCTTAACTTTAGTCATCAAAGAAACATGCCCGATGAAAGCAAAGTTTCCACATGGAGAAATCGCAATGGATGTAGCAATGGTATCGAGTAAATAATCCTTCTCAAAAAAGCGGCCATGTGCGAGCTATAAAAGATGTTTAAACATGAATCCCCATGAATTTTTACCTTGTGCGTTCCTTGGCTTTGCTTTCGGGTAGTCCATGTCGTGACAAGTAGCGTATTTTGATGTCGGCAAAGAACGTTATCCCACTGTGCCTCACGGCTCCATCCAATCTACATTGGACAACTTACGTTTGAAATTCTTTGACTTGGTTAGTTATTCACGAATGCAACTTACCGCAATCTCAATGACCGGTTCCAATCGAATACTATCCAAATCAAGTCCCTTCTTCTTGGCTTTAGCCCTGAACACGTAGTAGATTGTGAAGATGGCGAGTCAAACCTTGAAATGGTACCAGCGTTTCCTAACTTCTGGCGAGTTACTGCATTCATCACGGAATATTTACGAACAGAGCCATCAAGTCCTGCTGACACGACTTCGTGATTACTACTAAAATCGAGTATTGATTGTAAACACAACAATTAATAGTACCTGAAAATCACAGTTTTCACAGGCAGCGAATGGCCTTCATTGATGACAAGTTGACGTGGCATTCCATCCATCTAAATTCGAAACAAAATTAGTATAAAAAAATGCTTGAAAATACCTGATCCAAAACCCAGGTTCTCATCGAATTATCGCTTGACGTTGAAACCATGATTGGCTCTGCAGGCATGAAGTAGAGTGAAGTGACTGCACCTTTGTGAACATTAGCGATCCGACCAACCTGTACAAAAAAAGTAAAGCTATTTTTTGCTAAACGGACCAATTCTCTTTTTTCAAGATTCCAAATAGCAATTAATCCTTCAGTGTCCGCAGAAGTCATCAAATGTGAATCGTCGTTTCTACAAAAAATATACAAACCGTAAAGCCAAATGCTACCTGAAGCCAATGGCTGTAATGGAATGGTCATGCTTAAAACTGCAGATTGTTTCGTCTTGTTTAATATCATGTAGCACAATTCTTCCGTTTGCAAGTCCAACAGAAATCACGTCCAATGCAGGGGTCGTCTAGAAATTTACAATACGATATTTTGAAAAAAGAATTAGTAGCATTTTTTCCAACTTGAGCACAAAATTTACCTCAAGTACTGTTATGGGAGCATCAAATTTGCTTTGGAATTCGTGAATCAATTTTCCAGTGCGAATATTATACAATCGTAATTTCCCATTATCGCCGCCAAGCAAAATCTAAATAAGATTTTTAAAAAGTAAATAAAAGTCGTTTAAACCTTGTTCATGTAAGTAGGAGGATGAACAATCCCCGTAACATTGAAATGATGCGAACCTTCCAGATGTAACTGCTACAAAATAGAAACGAATATTGTTTAACAATCTTTCTTACCTTTGTCCCGTCTTCCACATCAACAACAATAATACTGTTGTGTTCATCAATCACAACAATTTGTGAACCAAAAAGTAGACAATGTTTTGGTCGGCTTCCAATTTCAATCCATCTCGTAATGTCACGACAGAAGGGAATCACTCCAATTCGCGTCCCGGCAACTCCATAAATCCCACTAAATTTTATTTTTTAACAAGAGAGTAATAAAAAAAATACTCTTGGTTGCACATCACATGCGTAACTTTCTCCGGAAATGTATCGGAAATAGCTGCCAATCGAAGTTTCTCCGCGCGATAGTGAAGAACCTCAAAATTTCAGATTTCAGACATGGAAAAATCCCAAGATACTAAACTTTTCATATTTACTCACCACATTATCGACGGCACAAACAAGCGAAGTGAAGCGTCGTGTGCCCGGTTGCTTGCGGAAGGACGGTTTCACTTCGTTGCAAACGAGGCCCATCGACCGATATGGGGCAAATAGGCCCGACTCTGCTCGCCGCATCTAAAATGACTCAATTGAACATTTAGATATTGACGGTGCAAATTTAAAACATCTAAATGTAACATATCAAAAAATATTTAACAAATTATGTCCGCAAATCAAAGAGAGCAACGATCCCCAACCATTGACGCTAACAATCTGAACATGAAAAATAGGCGATGGTAACGTTACCCACATTTCAAACACCCGATTGCACAAACGATTAAAATTGTTTATTCAAAATCCGAGCAGTAAAAATGACTAGGAACATAGTTTAATTCCAGGACTAAAACTTCAGCCAAATAATCGCAGACACGTCTACTATACAAAAACAATTTACCATTCTAAAGTTTAAACTAAAATAACCATATTAATGTTCGATTACATAGTTATAAAAAAATTGGTCGGTTTAAAGTTGACTTTTGCTCATCTTCCACCAATATTTGACGAAAGACCATGTGCGCTAGTTTTTCCTGAAAAGAACAATATGGGAGGCAAATATAAATCACCGAAACCTCCGGTTTCAGTCCACTCGGCAATGCAATCTTCCCCTCAACTGACCCCAAATCGTATTTACGTGTCCGATATTTGACTTCTAAATGGAATGACACTTATTTCCTAGAACACCTATAGTATACCTGGACTATGTGGCGTAAAGATCAGTAATGCCCTTTTAACCACAAATGAAAGTCGCTCAAAATTCAATGCTCGGAACATGGATCGTTTCGCTTCATCAAGGGCAGCTTCATAAACCAATTCCCTATAAACACTTTAATGAGGCAATGTCTAGAAGAACTTACACAAATTGTCTCGTTTCTTCCTGAAGAGTTTCCATTTTTTCGAGTTCCAGAGTGAACGTCAGCAAGTCGGGCGTGAAATGGCGAGAAATGTCTCCATTTGAAACTTGCTCGGAAACAACCTAAAAAAATTAAATTGTTATATCATAGTAATCAAAACCTTCGCAAAGTGATCTATTAATCGGCAAAAACCTTCTTCGGTTCTGATGATGGATGTTGTGAAAACGCTTGGTAATTGATGAGGAGTTACAGTAAATCCTAAAACCGCCCGTTAGTCAAACAAAAACTCCCATTTGAAAAATGTACTTGTATTATTCAGATGAATTGCTGATTCGTTTATTGTTTCCCCGACAGTGCTATTGTTGTCATCTTCTTCAAGTTCTTCCGTTACTTGGTCAAGTTTTGGTCGAATTAGTCTTGGTGGTTTCGGCGGGTTTCTAAAACAAGTCTTTACTTGGCCAATATTGAAAATACTCACTTTATGATTATTTGTTTGATTCCAAGGATATCGTCCATACTGTCATCCGTTTCGTTCATCGAGTCTGCTTTCATACATTCATCGTCGAGGTTCTGAATAGAATTTCTAAAATTTTCATACTTACAATAGAGATTAGATGCAAACTTTTGAAGTTCGACTGTTTCTTCTAATTCCTCATTTTTGTAGAAAACAACACTTGTTTCACGTAAATTTCCCAGAGGCTTCGCACAGAAATCTAGAAAAGCTGGTACACGCACAAATATACAGCTCGAATTACTTGGCTCTTCTTCTAAGTGCGTTGAAAGTTTGCGTATCTTGACTGGCGACTCCAAAACGAAATCATCAAAGATCAGTGGCTAAAAATGCCGTAGGTAACTCTCTTACCTCAAAACACTTGGCCTACCTCAATCTTTGTCTTCATGTTTGGGGATTGCTTTTGAGCTGAAATTGCTTGGAATAAGGGTGAGCGCTAAAATTCGAGGTTAAGACATTTTCTTAGAACTTTAACCTGTATAAAAGTAGGCTTTTTTTTGCTCGGAGTTGCTAAAGGAGTAGAGCTTGAAATGCTTTGTCGCAAGGATATCATCCGAGGAGATAACAAAGTGGTTTCGAAGCGTCTATAAAATTAACCGATTAAGAAACAAAAATTCTATTAAACCTAGATACAGCCGATGCGTTTATCGATGGGCTGATTTCCGTTGCGAAGCCGTTGTCAGAGGTCATCACATTTTCCCAAGGAAATTCTCTGAAATGAACTTTTGCAAATTTAAACCTTCTCAAATTAAACTAAAACTCAAATTTTAAAACAAAGCTTACCAGCAAAATAGGTAGGCATAGTAAAATAAATACCGAGTCAACTCCACAGGTAATTGAAAAGATTCCATTCGAATGAATGCTATTTTCCGTCGGATTTCGGATAAAGCTGCTTCAAATCTTTTCTAAAAAAATGTTAACTGTATCATTGGTAAACTAAATACCATAGGATACGGCGCACTTTTAAATTTTGAGTCGATTTTGTGGCATTCGATAGCCAAGTGATTGAGCTTTTCCTGAAAACCAGCGACTTTTTCGATGATGTTTTTCCAGGATGATTTGTTTCGCCTAAATATGCAAGTGTGTAAAATATAATGATCACTTGAATTTAAAGCATGAAGAACCGAAAAGCAAGACAAAGTGCGGCTTTTTGCTTTGCAACTAGACAAAAACACCATAAACTAACCTCGTAATTTTCTCAATAGCATACTTCAAGAAGTTTCGGTCAAGAATCCGAGCGAATGTTTGATTCGTAGTCACCAACTCGTCCTGAACGATTGTGAGCAAACGTCGTTGAACCACCGTCTTCGTGTCTGTTATTTCATTCATCCTAAACGAATGAGATTATAACTTTCTAAAGAACTGGAATGCCAAGTAAAGAAAAGGTTAAAAAGCTGAAACGGTCAACATTAAAATTTGCACGGCAAAAGCAGTTAGGGAGAAACTATAATCTTGTGTTTGTTTTATCGGGCCCTCTTTTGGAAAATTCAGACACATATTTACCTACCGTAATACCTGTAATAGTAGCGCCCCCAGGGGGGAAGGGAAAAAAATAATACCGCCGCGCTACTATTACAGGTACTACGGTATTTAACAATATTGTTATTTCTACGCAACATCTAGAAAGCGAGGCCAAAGTTCGAACAAATCTTTTACTAGATTTGCAAGTTGCAAAAAAATAAGCGAGAAATAAGAAATAAATACCGTATTTCTTCGAATAGAAGACCGGGCAAAGAGTATCATCGTGTACTCCTGCGTAGCAGCCATTTTTAAAATTTCTTTTCTGCATAAAAGCTTTCAATGAAGTGCTATAGGGCTGGAAAATGACTCAAAAATACGACATGAGCTAACAGATTTTTGAGCCATTTTCCAGCTCTATAGCACTTGATTGAAAGCTTTTATGCAGAAAAGAAATTTTAAAAAGGGCTGCTATGCAGGAGTACGCGATGATACTCTTTACCGGGTCTTCTATTCGAAGAAATACGGTAATGTGCGTAACACGGCAAATGATTTCTTTATCAAACAAAGAGATGCCATAATAAAAAGATATTCAGTTGTTTGGTTGAATTCTCATTTCTCCTTTACATTCTTCGATTTTCCAAATTTTGTTAGTTGCTTGAGTCAGTACCAAATCTAATATCATTTTTTCCTTGAGTTTTTGCATTTGCTTATCTAAACGACAAAATTTACCCAAACCAGCACCTGCAAACACTAATTGGATAAAGAATAATTGTGAGCTTTCGCAAAAAATATCGCTGAAAACCGTTTGGTTCCAAAAAAGCTTAAATCACCTGTCGAAATGTGAATGCCTAAAAGCTGAAACTTTCATTTGGTCTTGGTTACCTCTGAAATTTCACAAAAATGAACGGCACTTCCTATGACCCGACAATGCCTGATGTGATCGACCCCGTTGAAATCACATCATCCACAATATTTCTGGCCATGGGAATTCCGACGTTCTTCGTCTACTTCCGCATTTTGTCCCACTTTTGCAGCAAGGGATTCAAGTCTCAGTTTCATAAACTGTTCCTCATCTGCATCACTAATGTAAGTATAATTTACACTCAGGCTGCTTCAAGATATTCAAGAAACCCAGAGAACAGGCTTGGATAATTGTTACCGTCCACCTCAATCATTTCCAGGACATGTTTGCCTTTCTTGCTCAACTCTTCACCCTCCGTCTTCCCACTTGGGGTATCGTTTATCCCTATCGTTTCGTTCTCACCGGTTTTGTGCCAATATTCCTGAACTTTCTCCTCCAAACGACAATCATGGTACAAATCTTTGGTGTTTTCTTGATGGCCCTCAATCGAGCCACTTGTATTGCATACTCATATACACACGAAAAGGTTCATTTAAGAGGAATTCTGTAAATCCACTATCCATTTTCAGATTTGGAACAGTTATCTAAAGTATTTTGTGCTGGCTTTATTCGTGGGACCGATTCTTTGCAATTTGAATTTGCTTTTTGAAGGATCCGAATTCATGCAATATGGAAAAGGAGCTTTTATGATTGGGTCAAACTCGTCGGTGTGTTCATGTTTTAGCAAAAGACTATCATAATCATTTTCACGGAATGACAATAGAATACGATAGCTTCTCTCCAATGTGCTTTTAAGAAAGACACAGCCAAGTCACACCCATCATTTCAGCCACCCTTCACCATCATGTACACAATCGTTGCAATTATCGGAATCCTCGGTGCATTCATTCTCAATTGTTACAACGGTTTCTATGTCTTCAAACACATCAAGAAGAAGAAATCCCGTGCCGAGCTTCGTGATCTCAAATTTCACATGACAACCCTCTTCACTTTTATGCTTCAAGTGATCATGATGCTATTCTTCGTGAGTTCAGCATCTGATATTGTTAACTGTTAAGCATAGATGTTTATTCAATTCAACAAGTTTCATCATATTGAAGGAATCAGTGAAATTATGTACTATGTCTATTCATTGGATCCACCAATTAATGACTCGGCTTCATTGCTTCCCATATGGTAAGCAAAGAGATTTTGGTAAAATTTCAGAAGTTGCTATGCAAATTTCTCAAACGGTGGGCGTCAATAGACATAGAAACACCTGTTCTTCAGGTACGTATCCTAGAATTCAGCTGAAAATCCCCATATAGCTCGTGATTAGAGAACTACGTTGAACTTAGCGTTTAGAAAAACAAATGAGAAAACTGATGCGAATCTTTTGAGGTTTGTCATCTACATATCCGAAGATTTTCGCTGGATGGTTTGTGGGAATTGTGGAGTCGCGAATAGGGATGCCGATGGGAATACGATCATTGTATCGACACAATCAGTGAAGACAATCGATTCAAGAGCACACCATTCGGATCTCGGAAGAGCACATCATTCAGATAAAAAGCACGATCATCATAGACAACAAGCAAAGCACATGTCAACCGAAAGAAGACTCAGTAATTAAAAGGAAAAAGGTAACTCGCTGCTTTGTTTGTTGTCTATGATAACATATAGCTAGCTGTGTTCTTTCTAATAACGATATTGCTTTTAAAATGTAAGACTTATATACAGAATGTTTATTAGAACAATTTATTCCAAAGTAAATTATACACTTTACACCTATACAATACTTGTTGGACGTTTCTCCACCCATTCTTTGATTCCCGGCAATGAATAAACTCGCTGCTTGTGTTCACTTACCTGAAAATCTCAATTTTTTGGTGATCTTGATGCTACAAACCTTTGAATACTTTTCAGTATAACTCTTGTTGTATTGAGAAAATGTTTCGACCACTTCTGCCAAGAATAAATCCACCCAAGATACTTTATTGCCAACCTAAAATTGGTAGGAATTAACCGATATACGATAGCTTTTTCGGAGCATCTAGCATTGTTTTAGTCACCCACCAGAAGTCCCGATTTGTTCACATTGAGATATTTGTTTTCCACGATTGGCAAAAACGAATCCGTGGCTGGGATAACATTCTCAGTGTAGTATTTATTCTAAAATTTGAAAGATTAACCTAAAATCCTTTTGTTCAAGAACCAAATCTCCTTGAATCACCCCATTGGCAATTGGGAAGAAAGGTCGGATCTGATTTCGATAATCCTCGATTTGATCAGCCAATGCATCGATTTGAGCCGCATCCCAATCATTCTCCCCTCCATAACCTATTCTTTTATGCATTTTGGTTAGATATTGGTTTATTGACTTTAACTACAACTAACACAGCGTATACGAATACACTACTGGACAATGAAATATCATGTTTGGAAAACGATCGTCACTTTCGCGCGTCTGTAACTCCCTTGTCTTTACCGTATTTCTAAATATTAATATTACCATTGTGTAGCCCTTGAAAAGAGCTTTCAGAAAATGTATAACACTAATAGTTTAAACTCAAAGACAAGGGAGTTACAGACGCGCGAAAGTGACAATCGTTTCCCAAATATGATATTTCATTGTCCAGTACTGTACCTGCTACGATAAAACTAGAATGACTTTTCTAGCAAAATTTCTCCTTAAAACTCTGCAACTACTGTATACCAAAATTTGGCGTCCCTTGTCGCTTTGGGGCAACAAATAGAACACTCCAGTAACCAAAAGTGCACAATTATATTTTGTTTAAAAACTTTCAGCTTACCGAATTTCTTTCCCAAATAACGGTAGATAGCTCGAGATTGAGCCAAGGGTTTTCCATCAACAAACAAGATTGGCACTTGACCGAAAGGAGTCGCTGAAAGATTTTGATGCGTTTTAGAAAATGAAAGCTTTGGATAGCTTTGCACATTTATTTAAATTGATATAAATTGAAATAGTAAATCGTTTGAACCAACTGTTCTTTATTGTTTTCCATTCATCTCGGCTGAGTCGATGATCCTCATAGGGTTGACCGGAAAGCGCAAAAAGGAGACGAGCCGGTTCAGCTGCAAACTTGGATTTCGTTTTCAACTGATTTTCAACGTTTTCAATGTTTTCAACAATAAAAACTTGTTTTCATTCATCTCAATTCTTGAAAACTTTCATTAAAAACTCACCTCTTGCTCTGATCGCAAAGTACATCAAACGATACTTTGACATGCTTCACTAAATGAAACTTTGCCCAACAGTAAGATCCATTTAAGCAGAAAAGCAACGGATCAATTCCAACTTTTCAAGGCAACTAATAGAAATAAAACTTTATTTCCTAATCAAGTTATTCAATTATCCGGAAGTCTTTGGTCTTTTCTCAATCCATTCCTTGATTCCGGGTAGTGAATACACTTTCTCGCGATGGGCTCTTATCTGTAAACTCATCAATGTCTCATTTATAGGAATGTCATGCAAATTTGATACTAATACTAGTGTTTGATACTAATATTTGATACTAATAATACCTTTGGATAATTTGCAGCATAGTTCTTATTGTGCAAAGTGAACGTTTCCACCAATTCTGCAAGGAAAAGATCCGCCCAAGACACTTTGCTGCCGATCTAAATTTTAAACAATTCTATCTTTCATGTCGAATTTGTTTTGAAAACAAGTAATGTCAGTAATCTTGAGGTATATCCACATTGTATGAATACTTACTAGAAAACCAGATTGATTCAGTTCAAGATATTTCTTTTCGAAGATTGGAAAGAATGAATCCGTGGCTGGGATGACCAATTCGTTGTACGATTTTTCCTGAAAGTTTTCAGTTCTCTTTCTAAAGTGCAATGTTAAATTTAACTGTAAGTTTGAAACAAACCAAATCCCCTTCAAGCATCCCATTCGTAATCCGAATGAATGGACGGACTTGAGCTCGGAAATCTTCAATTTCATCTCCAAGGGCATCGATTTGAGCCGAATCCCACTCGTTCTCACCACTATAACCTAAAGATAACACAGTATAAGTTGTTATATCTATCATTTTTATTCATTTTGCTCATGATCGCTTACCAAATTGATTCCCCAAGTAGCGATAGATTGCTCTTGATTGAGCGAGTGGTTTCTCATCGACGAATAAAACGGGAATCTGTCCATATGGCGTTGCTGAAAAAAACACAGTACTCATTCTCAATTTGTCAATGATCAATGAACAATTCATTTTTTTTGCAAAAAGCAATGAATAGTTCAGCGTGAACCAAAGTTTTGTGCAGAGAGGAGGTTCCTTTTTACCCTTTCCCTCTCCTTTCCTTTTTCGGTTTCAAAACAATTTGGCAAAGAAATATGTCCCGAGGGGAATTGAACCCTAGACCTGCTTCAAGGCAGACGCTCTACCACTGCGGTACAGGCGCTGGTATTCTTTCTGAGGAGGAATTGAGAAAGAAGGCAGAAGAAGAGAGGACGAGAAAAAGTGCTGGGAGACTATGAATTTTAGCTTGCTCAGTCAAACATCATCATTTGCTGTAGTTGCTTTACGATTTACAATCTAGTTATCTAGTTTCATTGTTTCTCTTGAGTTCATCATTAAACTTATCAAAAGTTCTAACTAACTTGGTTTGATCGTTTTCCAATCTTCACGCGAAAGTCGGTGATCTTCAAAGGGAACCCCCGCAAGAGCAAACAAAAGACGAGCTGGTTCTCCTGAAATTTCAATTGAATCTTAAGTTTTTGAATAAAAAAGCAACTTAAAACTGACCCCGAGCTCTGACGCTAAAGTACATCAAGCGATACGTTTTCATTTTCAAATAATACTTGAATCTGATGCAAATTCACCAACCAAGTATGAAATTTTATTGAGAAAATCAAAGTTTGGTCAAGCAATGAACGTTCTTTGAGGGAAACAAGCGGGAAATCGATTTGAGAGGGTCAAAAAGAAGGAGAGGACATCAAAGAACGAACAAAATGACGTAAACAAAGGCTTGGTGATAATTTGAAGACAATTTTTACATCAATTTGCTTTAATTGTTCACACATTGGCCATTCTCATAGATTTTTGGGTAAATGTGATCAATGAATATCTGAAAGGAATTCAAATCTTGTGCAAATCTTGTGCTTTTTCTTCAGCTTACATCATTTTCCTGTCTCCAAGCATGAGTGATCAAAGTGACCGGACATCCATTGACTGTGATCTAAAAATAGACTTGGCTTTCGAGAGTTGAGATTTGATATTTGATATATTTGTTACGTCCGAATCTGAGGAGACATCCATCTCCGATCCGGACGTCTGAATCTGAGGAGATTCATTCTCCTCCGAAACGGACGTCCATCTCTGAATCGGACGTCCGTTTCAGAGGAGAATGATCATTCTTCTCGGAATGATCATTCTCCTCCGAAGATCGGATGTCCGATTCCGAGAAGAATGATCATTCTCCTCCGAAACGGACGTCCATCTCTGAGTCGGACGTCCGTTTCAGAGGAGAATGATCATTCTTCTCGGAATCGAACGTCCGATCTTGAGAACAAATAGTTTAAATGCAAAATCCAATGTTTTGAACAAAACAAATGAAAAAGGAAGTTAAAATGGAAATTCTCTCAATTTACTTTTTTTTCTTCACAAATAATTTGGTAATATGTACGGTTTGGCAATTCTCCTCTGAAACGGACGTCCGACTCAGAGAACGTCCGACTCTGAGTCGGACGTCCGTTTCGGAGGAGAATGAATCTCCTCAGATTCGGACGTTCGGATCGGAGATGGACGTCTCCTCAGATTCGGACGTAACATATTGATTCCATTTATTCCACCCACCGCACAAGATTTCCCTCTTTTCACTAAAAAGCAAAGAGTGTAGACAGCGATTTCATATTCGGGACTTGTTCCAACGAAAAATCCCCCAATTTTCTTCATATTTTTCCCTTTCCATTTATACGAAACAACAACGATATCTTCCTGAATCAATGTTGAGATTCAATACTTTTCAAAGACTCAAACCTTCATAGAGAGGTAATAACCTCGATAATCAATCTGTTCATTCTCGTCGTTTTCTAAAAGATAATACCGTACCCAGTTATGCATTCCAGAGACTCGTCGTCTATTTAACTGAAAGATTTGAGTACGATCAATTCATTTCACTCAACCTCTCCAATAAAAGTGTGCTCAAATGCACTCGTATCCTTTATGTGATTGTTCTTTGCCGATTTACTCCTCGAGAATCGTCCAAACCATAATTTTCGTATTTGTGCCCGGAATTCTTCTTTACTTGATGCAAATGGATGGCCTAAGTTTGTTTGCAGAAAAAACTTATTTGGTGCTTTCTTACAATCCAATTAAAATCCAATTAACTACCTTTTTCTTTCAGGAAATCAAAAACTTTGAGCAATACGGGCTTGGTTAAAATGACATCTAAGAACTCGTCAATCTCTCGTTTAGCCTAAAAGTTTGATTTGGTTTGAAATAAAGCTCATTTTTTTTGGTTTGGTTTGGTTTGAAGTAAAAGCTCACTCTTTCCTTCGGAGCGAAAAGTTTGCGCCTGTGGCTCAGTGAGAGCTCCTGGCTTTAAAGTCGAACATCGGTGGTTCGATTCCCCTTGGGTCTTTCTTTGCCAGATTTTTTGAGAAAAAGGAATGGAAAGACAAGGAGGAAGAGGGACCGAGCTTCTCCTAACGATAAACAAAGCACAAATAAATAAAGTAGTGAATCACAAGCTTCATCTCATTTCAATGAAAACTCACCTCATCCGTATCTCGTTCTTCTTGTCTCAAATTCGGTTGATAATTATCGAAAAGTGCAATCGTTTTTTGAAATGTTTCTTTTTGAAGTAAATCTTCATTTACAAAAGAAAACAATCTGCAAACTTGAAATCATTCAAAGATTGAAAATTTTTCACTTTTCATCAGCCCCATCTTCATTGTTGTTTCTAGGAGTTTTTCCCTGTAGATTTATCTTAATATCTCCTGATCCAGCTCTATTCACATCAAGATCCCATAATTGAGAAGAAATCGTCTTCAATTCAGATTTGCTCACATTGATATCTTAAATTAAACTGGTCTTCCACTGAAACGCTAACTAGGAAAAGTCGCAAACTTAAGATGGAATTTCAAAACGAGACATAGCCTACTTTGTTCAGTTTTTCAAACAGATATTGGCCGATTCGGGAAAGCTCGTAAAAAAACTGAACAAGATATGATAGATCTTGTTTTGAAATTCCATCTTAAGTTGACGATCTTCCCTAGTAAGTCCTTGTCCTTGACAAACAAGTCCTTGACGCAAAACTAACTTGGTAATTCGGCTTTCGAACTTACATAGCTTATCAATAAAAATAAAATAACAAATGAAATTGTTGCAAGGAGAAATTTTTGACGTCTCATTCAATCAATAATAGATTGACAAAGACGTTTTTTGAATGGAAAAGTTAGAGAAATCTGAGAGAAGAAAAGGGAAAAGATTTGATGGAGAGATTGGCTGGGAAAGAGAATTTTGGTTTGCTTGACTTGGAAATATTATCAAGTGTATGTGAAAATGTTCAAACGTTTATTTTTTACATTGTTTTTTTGAATTAAATAGATTTTCCTTCACGAACATCCACAGCAATTTCTCACCCAATCCCAATAAACGTTCGTTCGCTCAGCTTGACAACCGTAAAGTCCTGAAAACACTGATTTCTATAGTTATTTAGCTTTTTAATATCTCTATTATACAATATTTGTGTAAACAAACCGCCATTGTGAATTCTCGATAACTGTTCACACTCTCCATATCCGTAATTCGAACAGAAACCACGATAACGAGCGAAATAGTTCTGAACACAGTTTAGAGCACAATTGTAGTCATCAGAACATCTGAAATGGAAACATTTAAAAGTTTAGTTCTAGTTTTTTTGATTTTCTCATCATGATGGTATGATTAGAATCACCACGATCTTTCCCACCTTTTCCAAGCATCCTCTGTCGATTCCCCGTCTTGTTTCCCTGGTTCTCCACAGTCTTGATAATAAGGAAGCTTTATCTACAAAAAGAATTGATTCCTTGTATTAAAACAAAATTAAAAACTTGAAAATAGCCACAGGATAAAGATCCCATATCTTCTCGACATCCAATTGGTTGACAATTTGATTCATGTTGACAGATACAATCGATACACGATCCTGCTGATGTGGTACCTGAAGATTATTATGGTAAAACAGCTGTTGGATTACTACTGAAGAATTGAAACTGAAGATTACTGAAGACTACTGAACTAGACTACTGAAGAATTGAAAGAAACTTTAGTTTATATATTAGATATTGATATTAGAAACCAACCAAGCACTGAAGCGATAACGATCAAAGCAAACATCTTGCTGAAGCTCTAAATCTCAATATTTAGCCTCAATCTCAATATTTATACTTCTTTATAAACAATCACTTATATCTAATCTCCTCTTTTATCCACAAATTTCCTTGTTTTCAATGAGTCAATGTTTAAGCAAAAAGCTATTATGACTCAAATAAAATGGAGAAATTTTTTACTTTGAATAATAAATTTGATGCTGAAATGAAATTCATAAGGAAAAACAATGATTACTTGGCTAAATTTCGAACAAACATGTCGATCAAAATCAAATGTCCTTGTGAAGGTTGTTGAAAAGAGAAATCACTTTTCTCAAATCGTTGAGCAAAAGAGATCAAAGTAGAACTAATATCAACCTACAAAATCGAAAGATTTAACGAAATTTAACCAACGATGAAGCTAATTTTAAGCTCCCAATGATTTCAAGGAGTTATTTTGATCAAATCTTATTGATCTTGTTGTTGACCTTGTTGATCTTGTTGACCTTGTTGATCTTGTTGACCTTGTTGATCTTGTTGTTGATCTTGTTGATCTTATTGGGTTTATATCAACAAAAGTTTTTGACAAACTCCGAAAAGCAATCGATTTGCTATTCCGAGAGAAGATAAGCCCTTTCAGTCATTCCATTATTTTCAAAAATGATTTTCACAGAAGAACTTCATTTTCTGAAACAAAGCTTTACAATTTCCCTCTCGAATCTCATCGGTTTCATTGTCCATTTTTTTCTGTATTTAATCAACATCCGAAAAGAAGCAAAAGTGGAACAAGTTTTTTGTATATTTCATTCATTCAACATTTGCAGCATGTCAAACCGACAAAGGAACCCCTTTTACTGATCAGCGCCACAAAACTTTCCGCGAAAATTCGAGAACGAAAAGTTTTAAAATGTGTTTTTACAGAAATACTTCTTTTTAGATTACTTGCAAAGAGATTATTGATCTTTACATTAAAAGGATTGAAACGGTAAAGCTTAAAGTGTTAATCTTACCATTTCATTAAGGTAAATCCAATAATCAATGCTGTCGTCGAATTGTACAAAGAGAAAGCTCTTCAAAAAGCTGAAGAAGTCGATGAATATCTTGAGAAATGTGATCAAAATGAATTGAATCAAGTTGGGTCAAACAAAACACAAAAAACTTCTAAAACAAAACAGAATCCAAAACAGAGATTTAGTTAGAGTTTTCAAAACCGCTTCTCGGAATTCCATTCACTTGTAAAGATATGTTCGATGTTAAAGGTAGATCTAAAACTTGGATTTTTGGAAAAGATTGGTAATTCCTTCTATATTCTTCGATTTAAACGTTTAAGACACAAAAACAACTCTTGGGAACTGGTGGAAAAAGGAAAACGTTTCAACGACGACTCATCTAGTCATTCGAAGGTTTACTTTTCCATATATCGATTGTAATCAAAAGTTTAACTGTGTTTTTACTTTAAATAATTAAGTAAAGTAAAATAATTACTTAAACTTTCCATAGCATATCTTATAATATTAGAATGATTGACGCTGGAGCGATACTCATTGCAAAAACAACAACTTCAGAGGATTGTATGTGGATTGAATCATCGAATCCATTAAATGGAACAACTGGGAATCCATATGATACAAGGTTATTGGATTTTTGAGATTAATTTGTAGAAACTTTAGAAAAAATGCGGGTGGCTCAAGTGGTGGTGAAGGAGCGCTTATTGCAGCAGCTGGATCATTGGTCAGCTTTAACAGATCTATATGTCGTAGCCGATGAAGGATTTCAGCCGATTAAGTCTCAGACTTCTTCGGCTAGTCGATTAAGTCTCAAAAATGAAATCTTGAATTATGTATTGACTCAAGTCAATACCACAAACTCAAGCTCTCTAAAAGGCACTTAAAAGCTAAAAACGCATTCTAGTTGCAGTTGCATTTGGCTATTTATCGCGTATTTCTCGCTTGAAAGAATCAAAATTCGCTTTTGATTTGATTGGCATTTAACAGTGTCAAAAAACAAGCTTGCATTTTTAGAGTGGAGCGTAGTGGACGCCTTCGTCGTGGAATTTGTAACCTTTCGTGTAGCTGCGGCTGGGGAAATTGCAAGATCGCACCCGGATACGCGGGAAGCACTTGCTGTTCGGCTGGCTACGCCTGGCATTGTTCGGCTTTTTGGTATTATTGTTTATTTTTGTTGTTTAGTTTGGTCGAAAAATGCAATTTGCAATGAAAAATGCAAAATGCAACTGCAACTAGAATGCGTTTTTAGCTTTTAAGCACCTTTTAGAGGGCTTGAGCTTGTGGTATTGACTTGAGTCAATACATAACTCAAGATTTCAGTTTTGAGACTTAATCGGCTAGCCGAAGAAGGTTTCGTTAGCGAAAAAATTTGATCATCAGGATTTCAGCCGAAGTCTGAGACTTCTTCGGCTGAAATCCTTCATCGGCTACGACATATATAAAATGCTTTTATCCACAAAACATCAAAAATGAAGCTAGGCATTGGCTCGGATTTTGCTGGCAGTATTCGAATTCCGGCAGCTCTCAATGGAGTCTATGGATTGAAGACAACATCGGGTGAGGTTAAGAGTAAAGGAAAGGAAATGCTAGATTGGACCATGCTGGAAAGACTGAATGGTTTAGATTTCATTAATTGACAAATAGTACTCTAGCTTGAAAAAGATTTAGCAATTTCAGGTGTTCTTCCTCTGTCCGAATTCCTCGACAATCCCGTTGAGTCAAAAATGGCCGTCTTTGGTCCAATCACCCGTTTCCCTGAGGATCTCAACCTTGTTTTAAAAGTTTTCTAATAAATTAGCAATCGTATTCAAAATATTTAGTTATTCACAAAAGAATTATCAAATCAAAATCGACGAGTGAAAACAATTCACATTCCCACTTTCGCCCGCGTTCCATGGATGGAACACTATTCAATTGAAGCTCAAGAGAGCTCAAGATCGGTGAATTTCATTTGAATAAAGTTTATAGTTCATTTTAGATTGTAACAATCCTCCAAAAAGCTTTCAATGCAAATATTTCTTACATAAATCTATCAAAAATCCAATCAAAATATATAGACATTTTGGTTGCATATTTCAACGATTATCCATTAAAAAACAAAAATCGAAAAGCGACATTAGCTGGATTCTATGAAGAACATGTAAAATCTTTCAAAAAAGATTAAATTTTCAAAAGAGTTTCAGGAAAAATTTCACTGGATAACCGAGATCCCAAAGTGGTTCACTGGAAAATCGCGACACTCGTTGGGATCAATTTTTGATTATCATGCTCTTGATCGAATGTATGATGATGAAAAAAAGAATGAGGTTAATAAATTGATAAATCTTTTCTATTCGATAAATCGTTTCTATTTGATAAATCGTTTTTATTTCAGCTAATCACTTGTGTATCCGAGTTTCGTGCGGATTTCGATCAAATTCTCGGCGAAGACTCGATCATTGTTCACCCAACTTGGCCTCGAGGAGCCGCGTTTCATCATGGGGAGATACCGTATTTCAATTACATTCACACAGGTGGGAAAAATCTTTGTAGACAAGTTGAAACTATAGAAAAGAATAGACTAAACAAGAATTTGCTCACTTTTCAGGAATCTACAACATTTTAAATCTCCCAGTCGTCGCTTTGCCGTACGGCGTTGACAATGAAGGAATGCCGCTGTCTGTATCGGTGAGAATTGGCTATTACTGTGATATTGACGAAGAAGACTATGAACTCTTAGATATATTGCAGATTATTGGACCTAATGGCTCTGATGGTTGGCTAGTTGAACTCGCTGAGATGATTGAGCGAGAAAAAGAAGCTCATAAATGATAGATTTGTAACAAAAACATTTGTCAGTCCTTTTTGCGGTGGGCAAGTTAAGGTTTTTCTTATTATATTTCTTATTCTTATTATATTTTGAGTTAATTTTGGTATCATTTAACGCGCAATTTTATTCTGCATCGAATGATAATTAAAATATGCAAAATCGAAGGGTTAATGCTGAATATTTTAATTATCATTCGATGCAGAATAAAATTGCGCATTAAATGATACCAAAATTAACTGAGAAAAGCCTTCAATTTCCAACGGTAAAGCACCGACAAATGTTTTTCGTTACAAATCTAATAAATGATATTTAAATAATGTTTATTGAAAAGTAAATAGTTGTCTGAACTTGATTTATTGAACACATTACAGTAGAGTTTCTTTAATACGATCCCTAAAATTCCATTTTGTTCAAATCACAGCTCCAAACTTACCAAACTTTCTCCGAAGAAGCGAATAAATGTTCTGGATGGGGGAAACCGTTGAATGGCGCTTCATAAACAGTTCTAAAGATTATCTTTTTTTTCATTTACTAGATAATATTCAACGTGTATGCTCCCTTGAAATCATAGTAGATCCAATCACCGCAAACCAAACGTTCCATCATTTTGTTCGTCTGAAAGTTGAAGGTGTTAGGGAAAGTTTGGACTAATCCACTTGGGTAATTAAACCGGGTTAAATACAGGGTGGCTGAAAATTACATGCGCGCAGCATCTGACATAGTTTTAAACAATGTATAAAGCATTACTACTCATCCTTTTGTGTTTTAATATTCTTTTTATCGTTGTTTATTATTTTTGTTAAAAAAGTTGTTTTCTAGGTCATGACAAAGACGTGCGCTAGTCGGGACGCAATCGCACAGCTGGCGACGAGCGGCATGAAGAACTCGTCGATCGCATCGAGGCTTGGGGTGGCTCTGAGGACCGTCCAGAAGATCGTAAAGCAATGGAAAGATGAGGAGCATGTTCAGTCCAAGCTCGGAAGAGGACGAAAGAGGACCGTTAACACCCGAAAGATGCGTGGGATCATAAATCGTAAATCAAGTTTTACAAGGAAAACCTATAGCTTTTTCCTATAAAACCCATGTATTTATAGTGTCATGAACTAGCACTGACATTAGCTTTTAACATTTTATAAACTTATAGTGTTATGGTCAGTATTAGTTCTAGTTCTACTCATTGACCAGTTTTCTTCGTCTCCTCCATTTCTTACCTCAATTTGATCCTTTGAATCACAAGTTGGTCCCCAAATTCTTGACACGAATTGCTCACCACCTTTTGGCTAAACAAAAAATCTAACAATTCCCAAAGAAATCTCACAAATAGCGGCCGTCCCTCTGAGTTCAAATATCCATACCAACAACAAACAAATGTTCCGAAAACAGATGAAGTTATATAATACTCGATTCCTCGTTTATCCTTATCGGCTGCTATAAAGAAATTTTGTCTACAAAAGTATCAGAAACCCACGATTTCCCGTGATCTTTGCGGCTGAAACCTCCTTTCCGAGTTGCACATTCACACAAATACTTGCACAAGGAGCAACAATGTATCTAAAAATCTTAGCTTTTATTGTAAAGGCCTAGTTAGATCTATTTTTGAAGCTAGTTACATTTGTAACTTACCCACCTGCCCGGCTCTGCAATGAATCGCAGATCAAGCTCTTCTTTGAGCGCTTCGATTGTCGGCCTGGCTCCAGCAGCACACTAAAGCTAGGTTGAAATTGGAATTGGAATTTAGATCATAAAAATATTGGTAGATTTGGCTTTAGTTTAGATTTGACTTCTCTTAAATCAGATATTCGAAGAGTGAAACCTCTCTAAATTTCTGATCATTGTACCCATTGAAACCTCCACCAATATCGACGAGTTTCATCTCATGTCCAGCTTCTCGACCCATCAAAATCAACTTCTTTACCTGCCAATGAACAATTTATAATCGGAATTCTTGTTTCACATCTAATTTCAGACACTTATACTCTGCAATAATCAGTAACTAACAGCTCGCAGCGCTCTCGGAATCGCCGCTGGATCCTCACAGCCTGTACCGACATGGAAACTGAAATTCTCAGGTACTCTTTTAAATCTTTAAACTATTTTGAAGCAATTTTCAAATATTAACCTGATTCCATGAATATTTATCCCTTCTTTCGCCCCAATCTTGATAATTTCAGGTGCCTCCTCTTCTGGATCGGCACCAAATTTAACGCTCAAGTCAGAGATTGATTGAGAACTTGAGGCTGAGATTCGAATAACAGATCTAAAGTTAGAAAATAAGAATACAATAATAGCAAAAAAGTGTGCCAGAAAGGCTATTTTTCTATTTTTCAAAGTAGCTTCATTCAACGATTCAACTCACTTCGATCCAGGAAATAAACGGCTCTGTTTTAGCAACTCCTCAACTGAATCCACAACCAAGAGTTTCACATCATGCGCTTTAGCAAACTAAATATATAATGCTTAACTCCAGCACAGATCAAGCAGCTAAAATATTTACTTATCAACATTTAAAAGTTTCAGCTTACCAAAATGGACTCTTCTGTTTTGGCGGGATGAGCGAAAATGATCTGTGATGGGCTTGCTCCCAGTTTGATCAACTAAATGTAAAAAATAATTTATTTCATAGATTCAAACATTCTTAAAGCAATATTTTACCAAATCGATTTCATTCTGACTCGCGCAATCAAACGAGCACCCAAACGCAGTGAGAATTCGCAGAATCACCGGATCGTTATTGGCTTTGGTCGCATAAAATGGCTGAATTTGATTGTTGCATAGATTAGATAGAAAAGAAAAGAAATTCTTTCGCATAGATTATTGATTATCTAGTCAATTTTGTTCAAAACTTATTTAAAAAGCTCAAGCTTGTGAATGCTATTCCTTTCATTGTTTCATTTACCTCAACCATCGGGAATTCCTCTTTCCAAAGCTCAAATCTTTTCACCAAGTGATCCAAGTTATAAAGCATGAAGCCCTTTTTGTTATTCTAGAAATACTTAGACAACTTTAAAATATGAGAACTTACATTTTTGTCTCTGAAACTAGCGATCTTACGGCACAGAGTCATGCTTTCGATGCTAGGGAAAATTGCGATCTGAAAAATGAGATTATTTTTGATTAAAGCGTTCCCTAAAAGGTTGAAAAGTATAGTAATCCTCTGAAAACTCGCAATTCTTATTCACGAGACTTGCGGTATATTGGTAAGCTGATCAAAACAGCGCCGCGTACAAACCGCGCGACGGCAAAAATAGCCCCTCCACGGTTAAGTTTCCATGTGTTTCTTATTCCTATTGAATGCAGAAGGAAATTATCTACATTTTGCATACTTTGGGATCACTTAAAACAGAAATGGTGAAGCCCAGAATCTCTTGAATCTCTAGCCCAGAACCTCTTGCCCAGTTAACCTCTTTTTGAGCCCTTTTTCGTTTTTTGGCATTTTCTCATCCCAGATTTGTTCTAAACGGCTCCAAAAAATCCAGCAGATAGCTAATTTTTTTTTCTACATCCAATGAAAATAAGAAACACAAATAAACTTAACCACAAGCGCATTATTTTGGCCGGCACTGTTTGTTCACGGCGTTGTTTTGATCAGCTCCCGTATATTGACTTTGAGCCAAAACGAACCTCTTGATTCTCGAAAACGACTTTCTCTCCATTACAAAAATGGATCCACGAATCTTCAGCCATTTCAACTTCCGAAAAACAAAGATTTGAATAAAAATAACAGTAGAAAGAATTTCTTTTCTTTTTCTCATCTTTCTCACTTATCGATCACAGATCTTTTTTTCACTGGCCACTGGTCGTAAAATCAGTGGCTGATTAGATGAGATTCTGGCTGCTGACATGCTTATAAGATTCGAAATTATATATAATTACTTTCTTCAAGAGAAACTCGAAAAAGTCTAGTCATACAAAAAAAAGAAAGTATAAAAATTATAAAAATAAAAAAATTTTCTGAAAAAAACCTACAATTTTATGAGAATAGGATATGGTACAAGAACAGCACTCTTAGACAAGAGATACTAAATCAATTTCATTTACAGCGTTCTTAAATTCTAAGACTTTGGTAGAATAAGGTGCATTTGGTTAAAATGGATATGAAATTTATTCATGAAAGATTTATCGACAAGGGGTAAAGGCACGAGTATGGCCAGAGACTGGACATTCAATTCCATGAAAATGGAACCACTAATGAAATCACAATTGCAATTTCTATGCACTAATGCACTAAGAAAAGCTAAAATAATAAACTTTTCTTGATTTTCTAACCAAAACTATTCTTTGATGCAATGAAAAATCCGCCTTTTGCTTTAAGATACAACCATTGATTCACTTGATTCTTGACGGCTCCCGTCCCAACGAATCCGAGCTGCGTTTTCTGGAAATCATAGTTGGAGTGAGCTGCTTTGATTGACTATGTGCCTACGGACGTACTGTACATAATATTGGTACGTACTGACGTACTTGCATAGTACTGGCACGTACTGACGTGTTGTACATCATACTGGTACTCTTTGAAATACCTTGACATGCGTTCCCTTTTGATTGATCCATTCTTTTAAATGTTTCCAAGCTCTCTCCGAACTCACATCAATTCTCCAGTACTCGATTTTGCGTTTCCCGAGATACCATCTCTAAAAGCTCTTTGTAACAGATAATTCAAACAGTATTTTACCTCAAGCTGGCAAACTGGCAACTCAACTGGCAGCAACACAACGGGTTTATTACACTGACCACCCAAAGAAAAGAGCTAGCCAATGAGAAGGCTAAATGTTTCAATGTGGTAAATAACCTTTCACTTACCCTTTCAATCAGTAGATGATTGTTCGAACAAGCAAGAAGGCTTATTACATCCGGAGGAAAACCCTAAATTAAAATTTAAAGATTTTAATAGAAAAAAAACCTTAGCCATATCTTTTCTTTTTTCTGCGTATAGATCCAAAATTTCCTTTTCTCGCTTTCGAACTCTATCGGCCCTAAATCACTTTTTATAAAAAAAACATTTATTGTGATGTTACCATAAAAATGAGTTCACAGTTACATCGATTCTCTTTAGAAGTAACAGATTTCGAGCGCGTACATCAGCAGACATTTGATGACAAAGCTAAATTTATAAGGATTTTATTCCATTCTGCAAGTTTCAATAAATACCCGATCAACTGCTGCCCACTTCAAATCATCCATCTTTTCGGTAAAAAGTGGACGTGGTGGGTCTTTGAGCACTTGACATCGTTTGTTGGCCTTAATAAGCAAAGATTTTAGGAAAAACCTAATTGGCAAAACTCTATTCTTAAGAAGGATAAACATTAACCAACTTCAACCATAATTTTAGCCACGATATCACGCTCATCTCCTATTTTAGGCGCTGGCATCTTTAACGTTTGAATAGCTCTGTCAAGATCCTGGGCCAATGCAGTATCAATAACCTGAAAAAGTGATAAAACAAAAAACAAAAAAAAGTGATAAAATTTAAACAAACCAGCCTTTACTGGAGCTTTTAATTTTTCGTCTGCCAATACACGAGCAACTTTCAATTCGTTAATCAAAAAGTCGATAAGTGCATAACGACGAGTTGTTGACGAAAAGCGTTCCTCCAATGAACCCGAGAGTAGATCAGAAATTCCACAATCTGCATTAACTTTAGAAGTCAAAATTTAGTAAAATTTACCCAATTCAGTCAGAAAGGCGCTAAGTTCATAAAGAAAAGCCTTCGCTTCGTCAAGTGATTGAATAGCAGATGGACTTTCTTGTAACTCATCAAGGACCTAAAACAAATGATAATTTTAACTTGAAATTTAAATACCTTAATTTCTGTACACAGCGTATGAAGTAATTTGAAGAAATCCAATGTGCCCAAGCCTTGTTCAATGATTGGAGCGAAGTTGTCGTAGCCAAGAATATCTTGTATTCTAAAAGACACTTTTTAAAATCCTAAATTACAAGCCTTACTCTTTCAAATTGTGACAACTGAACGTCGTCGATTTATCTACTTCCATAGAGGACATTTCTAAAAAAGACAATTCTTTTAATTTCTTCGGAAAAAACCCTTGAATTTACCTATTTTACCCCTACCGTGGAAGATGTGGCTACCGCTAACAACATTCAGGAGCTATTTGTTCAGTTCATTCACACCGGGTAACAGCTTAATTCTATACTAACTACTTAAAAACTTTAGTAATCCATCCACAAATCATATCAACTGGGACAAGTTCGGCTCAAAACTGGAGTATCTAAGCCTTTCCGAGAAGCCCATAATGAAAACTGGTTTCTACAATTTGGATTGCAAAAGTGTAACTAAATAGCTTAACTAACCTTCTAACCAGGACGTCCAATCTTCACAAATCGCTTGATATCGACTTTTGCTTGTTGAGGAGCAGGCAAAAACGGTTGTTCCTAAATAAAATTCTATTAAAAGCTATTAAAAAAATGAAATTACCGCAGCCTCCTTCGCCGCACGTCGAGCCAGGTTAGCTTGGTGCTTTTTACCCTGGGTGTGAGCCAAGTACGAACCTATAAGTAAAGATTACAAGTAAAAACTTTTATTTAATACCTTCATTGTTGTGCAGAGTGAGACAAAGTTTGCACTCGTAAGTACCGACATGATTTCGCATAAAATAGGGGTCCTTGTTCAAGTCGATCGTTTCAAGGGCAAGTTGTCTAAAATTAGAATTTGCAGATGAACCCTCCGTACGATAAGTGGATATTTTTTCAACTGGATTAGACTTGCTCCAACTTTATTATTTGAGGTAAGTAGGAAAAATCCATTGTCGTTAAATATGTATGCACAGATCTGGATCTGTCACAAGATAGATGGAGACCTCAATCCGATGCAGGTATCATACTAGATCATACATCTTCATAAAACTATTTAGGTTTCTCTCCAACACGGATATTCAATGGTCTTTGTACCGGTGTGGATTTTAATGATAAGCCTTTGCTTCCAAGCTTGCAGATTGTTTTAAACACAAAGGGCAAAATTTACGGGTAAACCTTTAGATCTCAAAAGCTTTGAAAATAAATTTTTATTGTCTTTCCACAATAAATCAGCATAATCAACAACAAGTAAGGTAACAATAAAAATCACAAATTGACAACAAGTGTTTCATAATCCCTATCCAAAAATTCTTGTGAAAATGAATATTCAAAATTGGACTTGCTAGAGGTTAAATTTAAATTGAAGTACACCATTTATAAGGAATAAAAACCTACAAAATTTCAAAGTTTACAAATCCCTTAAAATCCAACATTAGAAAGCGTCAACATTCAAAAACTGAAAACCCTAAAGAAACAAATAATAATGCAAATTACAGAGAAGAGTTTATTTCAAACTAAAACGCAATATAGCCATAGTGGTAAGATTGCTCGCCGATTTTGTAAACTCCTTTCTTCTTAGCAGGATTGAGCCTGACTTCAGCTTCAACTTGAGCTTGAGCATCAGCCTTCAGCCTGTTCAATTCAGCACGGATGAGTTCCTTTTTGGCTTGTCCAATCGTGGTAGGCATTTCCTTGATCAACTTCAACAGCTCTTCTCGCTTGTCCTTCTTCCAAGGGCTCATGTCGTAGAAGTTCGAGTGAGAGCTAAATTAAAAGATAAGTCATATAAACAAAAAATTTGTACTTACTTTTGGGCGCCTTCCCAAGCCTTTGTGAGTTTGAAGGCTTGAGGGCCACTGAGGCCAACACAAATCACTCCCAACAACTTGCTCTTCGCCGAATGAGACTTAATCAGAACGCCATACTTCAAAAAGCACTCCGTCACGCAAATTGCCGCTGCTCCCCAAAGCTTTTCGGAGAACTGATCGACATCTGGCGGATTCTTGTTGGAGTATTCTTCGAGCTTTTCGATGAAATGGTTGAAGTCGTACTGCTCGTGAGTCAACTGAAATTGAGAATTGTGAAAGAATTGAGTACAAATTCTTACCGTGCTCTGATAACCTTCCAAATCATCTTCGACTTGAACATCATCTTTGAACAATCCAGCCAACTCGCCATACTCCTCCTCCTTAACGCTAACCTCGAGGCCATTGACAAGAATCTTCTTCGTCATCTTGAGCGAACTGAAAAAGCGAGAGTGAGCGTCAAATAAAGTAAAAAAAAGTAAAACACTAACGAAAACAAGATCTAAAACAAGAAATTCCTTTTTTTCTTGCTTTCATGATTTTTTCTCTTTCGGGAGGCGTCAAGTACTGATTGCAAGACTTTTGCACCCAGTTTTTAGGGTATTTTTTAGTAGTTTTGTCATTTACTTTTTTGTTTTACGCTGAACTTCAAATTTGTTTTTGTAAATAAAGTGTGCATGTATTATTCTAATTAAAAACAAAAAAGCCCTACGAACGGGTGGCATTTTCTATAAAAAAATTTCATCGATTTTTTTGAAAAAGTGATGATGCAAGACTTTTGCTCGGTATTGTAAATGGATATGAAATTTATTCATGAAAGATTTATCGAAAAGGGGTAAAGGCACGAGTATGACCAGAGACTGGACATTCAATTTCATGAAAATGAAATCACAATTGTAATTCCTATGCACTAATGCACTAAGAAAAGTTAAAATAATAAACTTTTCTTAATTTTCTAACCAAAACTATTCTTTGATGCAATGAAAAATCCGCCTTTTGCTTTAAGATACAACCATTGATTCGCTTGATTCTTGACGGCTCCCGTTACAACGAATCCGAGCTGCGTTTTCTGGAAATCGCAGTTGGATTGAGCTGCTTTGATTGACTATGTGCCTACGAATGTACTGTACATAATATTGGTACGCACTGACGTACTTGCATAGTACTGGCACGTACTGACGTGCTGTACATCGTACTGGTACTCTTTGAAATACCTTGATATGAGTTCCCTTTTGATTGATCCATTCTTTTAAATGTTTCCAAGCTCTCTCCGAACTCACATCAATTCTCCAGTACTCGATTTTGCGTTTCCCGAGATACCATCTCTGAAAGCTCTTTGTAACAGATAATTCAAACAGTATTTTACCTCAAGCTCGTTAAGCAACGAATCGGTGTCAATAACAAAGATCCCTTTCTCGTAGTACTCAATGGGTAACTGGAGATTCACATTTACTTTAGCTGCTCATTGTTTACTTACATTGTACTTTAGTTCAGTATTATCTTTCGTTTCAAAGTCGAAATTGAGACGATTCAAATGGACACGAGGGATTTGATGTTTCTGAACAAAACTTGATTGATTTAGATTGATTTTCAAATCTCAGATTTCTCATACTTACCTCCAAACACATCAGCAAATCCTTTTTAATAACTTTATCCGATCGCCCATTACAATTCGCTGTCACATTCACCAGCTTGAAACTGATTATTGGAGAAAAAAATTCGAGAACACTGAAATTTTGAGTCTTACAGATGTATTTCTTATTTCCCAACTTACTCTTTCCATTCCCAAAACACTAAAGTCGATCCAAAAGTGACTTCGTTCAGTTCAAAGTGCTAAATTAGCTTAAAAAATGAGTTAATCTTTAAAAAAACACCTTAATTGCTGGCTGCCAAGTAAACACAGGCTCGAATTTTGGAAAAAATTTGCCAAGAAGATCGTCGAGATTGATCTGAAAGCGTTAAATTTTACTAGATAAACTTTGAACTAACTCCTTTCGCTGAAAAATAGTCAATCTGTTGATGGAGGTATTTTTTCGCTCTGAAAGCCACACTGATTGATGGATCGGTTGAATAGACACGATGAACGTCAGAGGATTCCTCAAAGAGATTCATAAATGTAAGTTTTTTTGTTAATGTTCTCAAGCTTGTGTTGTTCAGTTCAGCTTATCTCAAATCCTCACCGATTCTTTGCTTATCAAATAATCCTCATCAACCCGTTGTCCATTCATAAACAAGGTTTGACTGTGTGGAAGCTGAAAATAAACAGTTCACTGCACCAAAATTCATTTCATTACCGCGTTCTTTTGCGCACCGTCTGCGAATATCAAAATGTGACAATCTTTTTGAAGATCTTGAACTTGAAGAACATAATGCCCTCGGTCGCCAATGTTTTGTCTTTTATATTCGATCTTCACCGATTTGTACTTCCGATTGAAATAGCAATTCTTGTAGTTTTTGTAGAAATCGTGGAATCGTCTACAAGCTCGTGTAGTCTAAATAATATATTTAATCATTTTAAAACAAATCCGTGTTAAAGAAACGCTGGCCAACCTTGATTAACGATCGAAAGTCAAGATTCTCAAATATTCGGACCAAAATCTCATTTGGAAGTTGGAGAAATGATGGATTTATGGAAGAATTTGAATCTGCCATTCTAAATTGAAAGACATTAGGAGATTTGGTTTTCTAAGCTGAAATAAAGTGTGGAATGAGATCGATTACGTAGGATAAATGTTTGAATTGTTGTGGAAGTGGGATGTGGTTTGGAGCATTGAGAGCAAAAGAAAGAAGGGGAAAGGGTAACTGAACACAGAGGAGAGGGGTGCATTGGAGGGAAATACGATTTGATTTCCTAAGCTAAAATAACCATCGAAAAATCTCATTCAGATTCCAAAGAAAACCGTTGGAAATGAAAATTGCTATTTTAAGCCAAAACTTTCTAAAGATTCTTTAATTATGACTACTGTATGGCAAATCAATGAAAATATAGAAAAACAAATTGGTAATCAATTATAAATGCGAAGAATGAAGCAATTTTAGGGGAGGGGGGAGAACGCATTACGCATCCTCTAGTTATACAGACACTACAAAAGACTTTACAACTTTAACAGGTGTAATCTGGTGCTAGTTTTTAAAATTATACGACATTAGTTCCACAGAAGAAAACGTACAAATAAGCAAACTTAATATACCGTAAATGCTGTATTAGAATGACACCCCGCTGACCCCTCGAAATCTTGAATTTAGACCCCTTTGTGGGGGTTCTATAGATAGATCTAGACCTAAAACCTATTAACATTTTATCGGCAGTAAAATTTAAAAAGCTATTTTTGGAAAAGTATAAAAATACCAAGGTAATACTACAAACTATACTGTTTTAAATAAAAAAGATGAAGGCATAAAAATAGAATTGATTAAAGTTCAAAAAAGATGAGAATAATAATGAGTTAAACGCTCCAAAGCAAAATAAAACTAAAACGCATAGAAAAAGTAAAACCGAAATGAAGCAAAAAGAATAAAGAATTTTTAAATTCATTAACCAATGATTTAGCTAATAAAATTGAATTAATCAAAGAAAGTCAACACTTCTTGAATGCATTAAAAACTTAAAAAATAAAGATACTTAATATTTAATAGTTTTAATTCTTTCATATTCAACTCAATGAATAGGTTAATGTCATCAAATTCAATTAAATTACTATTAGAATCTACTAATCTTAAAATAAGCTTATTTGGTCTGCTTGAGATTTTATGATAGATAATTTGTTTTGGTTCCACACTTATTTCTTTATTATTAAGTCTAAATCTGTAAATTGTATTAATCTTTTTATCGTTAGTATAAGAGTCATCTATCAAGTTACACCAAACAAAAATATGTCCAATAGTTTTTAGAGTATACGTATTTTCGGAAATATGCTTACCGGTTATTATAAGTTCTTCTTTATTATTTATTAATTATTATGCATTATTATTTTTGTCAACTTCATTAATAATTGTTTCAATTTATTGTTAATTTTTTAAATTCCATCCAATTTCACCACTCCTATTTCATAATTCCTTTCCAAAAACTCCTATCCAAAAAATTCCTATCCAAAAAAACATAATTCCTATCCAAGTGGCACCAGTGAGGTGAGTCTAAATGTTAAAAGGGGAATTTGAAAGATGAGCCAAAATCAAAAAAATGTTGAATTTGCAGATGGACCCTCCGTACGATAAGTGGATATTTTTTCAACTGGATTAGACTTGCTCCAACTTTATTATTTGAGGTAAGTAGGAAAAATCCATTGTCGTTAAATATGTATGCACAGATCTGGATCTGTCACAAGATAGATGGAGACCTCAATCCGATGCAGGTATCATACTAGATCATACATCTTCATAAAACTATTTAGGTTTCTCTCCAACACGGATATTCAATGGTCTTTGTACCAGTGTGGATTTTAATGATAAGCCTTTGCATCCAAGCCTGCAGATTGTTTTAAACACAAAGGGTAAAATTTACGGGTAAACCTTTAGATCTCAAAAGCTTTGAAAATAAATTTTTATTGTCTTTCCACAATAAATCAGCATAATCAACAACAAGTAAGGTAACAATAAAAATCACAAATTGACAACAAGTGTTTCATAATCCCTATCCAAAAATTCTTGTGAAAATGAATATTCAAAATTGGACTCGCTAGAGGTTAAATTTAAATTGAAGTACACCATTTATAAGGAATAAAAACCTACAAAATTTCAAAGTTTACAAATCCCTTAAAATCCAACATTAGAAAGCGTCAACATTCAAAAGCTGAAAACGCTAAAGAAAAAAATAATAATGAAATTACAGAGAAGAGTTTATTCCAAACTAATACGCAATACGGTCATAGGAGTAAGAACATTTGCCGATCTTGCAAGTTTCTTCGTGGACAGAGACGATCTTGACCGACGTGAAGCTGTTCAATTCGGTACATATGAGTTCCTTTTTCAACCCTGCTTGTTCAATCGTGGCAGCCATTCCCTTGATCGACTCCAACAGTGCTTCTCGAGCCTCCTTCACCATAAGCTTCACAATGTCGTAGAATTTCGAGCGCGAGCTAAATTAAAAGATAAGTCCTGTAAACACCAATTAGTACTTACTTTTGGGCTTCGTTCCACGCATCGCCAACTTCTACGCTTTGAACGCCACTGAGTCCAAAATCACGAATCACGTTCAACAACTTGATCTTTGTCGAAGATGACTTAATGAGGACGCGACAATGTTTCAAAAAAAACTCTTTGATACAAAGTAACGCTGCTCCCCATGCCTTCTCCGAAAATTCGACGACGTCTGGTGGATCTTTGTTGGAGTACTCGTTGGCTTTTTCGATGAGCTCGTTGAAGTCGTACGGCTCGTTAGTCTCCTGGAATTGAGAATTATAAAAGAATTGAGTACAAATTCTTACCGTGCCCTGCAAATCCTTGACCTCAACTCCATCACTCTCCATCAGTTTTAACATCTTCCACGCCTCCTCAAAGTCCTCCTCCTGAACGCTGACCACGATGCCATTGAGACCAATCTTCCTCGACATCTTGAGCGAACTGAAAAAGCGAGAATGAGCGTCAAATAAAGTCAAATAAAGTAAAAAATGTAACATACTAACGTAAACAAGATCTAGCAAAAGCAATGATAAAGCTTTCGTGATAGGGAGAGGCAAGAGAATAAAATTTGAGGGTTCACATTAAGAGAGACTAAGGGGAAGGGACTTTAGCAAGAAAATAGATTGCTTTCCTATCCATAACAACCTTTATATAATCCTCGGTTGGAGACCACTGCTAGTCTTATCTAAAAAAGGTTCACCCGATTAATCAAAAAATACAGTGAGAGTGAAAAAAAATAGCAAAAAGAAAATCCTAGAATTCGAGGCAAATAAAGGGGAGAACAAGTCCAAATGCATGTGCCAGGGGGTCAACGGGGGCAATGCAAAACATGTTGAAACAAGAAAAACCGACAGTTTGTTTACGATTTTGCAGATGGTGCCACAGTTGAGCTTTTTGTGGAGCAAAAAGAATGACCGAAAAAGAAAGTGCTGCGCGCAATTGAATGTCTTAACATTCAGCACGATCGAATGTTAGTACAGTAAGCTTTTGTGACGGAAATTTGTGCCTGACTGAATATCTTTTTGCAAAAAATCATATTTATAATGAAATTTTTTTAGATAAATTTAGATAACACCCGGGCAGAGAATTGCAAATATGCAAATTTTAAGCAAACACACTCTTGTTTGATGTCTAGTTGATTTATTTCATCTATCGGCCCCTTTTTTATGTTAGAATCCATTCTTTGCTATGTGGGGAGGAAATATTTAGAATGGAGCTACAAATAGATAGAAAACTGGGCAATAGAAGACACGAATAACCACAAACAAAAAATAAAAGCGCCTGTTAAGCGCCTCCAAATCCAGAGTCGATCCATTAGCATTTTCGAGGCTCTTACTTCTAAAAATTAAAAGAATCAAATTTTTTTAAAATCAAAGTTTACCTATCTTGACCCCAAACGGGCTTGTAGTCAATAGGCAAAGCGCAAATTGGTACTCGACCAACGAAGTGTAATTTGCTAGCCCACACATATATTGCCTGTTCTCCTTGATGACAAGTTGCCAAAAATTCTCCAGTTTCATTGAAGGATATTCCTGTGCATGGTGTTCCATAAAGAAGAACATCAATCAAGGAGGAAGTTACAAGCTCCCAAACCTAAAAAAAAACAAAATATAATTTACTGTTGTTCGAATAACCCGAATATAATTATCTGTCTCCAGTAAGCAACCATTTACCATTTGCAGAAAATGACATTGAGAGCACCTAAAACTTTTATATAAATAAAATCTAATCAACTCACGTCGTTTCCAACTTGCTTAAATGTGCGGGCAACTTTTCTTGTCAAAGTATCGATCACAGAAACAAAACAAGCTAAAAAACTTTCTCTTATTCAACATTACAAATCATACATTTAGCAGGATCTTCGAGAGCTACAGCTATAAGACTGTTATTTCGACATGAAACCATCTTTGTGATAGATCCTTTAGCCTTCATACGAGTCTTCATTCGACCTAAAATACATTAAGTAGAGGTTATGGAGGTTTCAAACAACTCATACCTGTTATTCACGTTATTCACGAATACAAAGATTAAAACTTACCGCAATCTCAATGACCGGTTCCAATCGAATACTATCCAAATCAAGTCCCTTCTTCTTGGCTTTAGCTCTGAATACGTAGTAGGTTGTGAAGATGGCGTGTCAAACCTTGAAATGGTACCATCGTTTCCTAACTTCTGGCGTGTTACTGCATCCATCACGGAATATTTACGAACAGAGCCATCAAGTCCTGCTGACACGACTTCGTGATTACTACTAAAATCGAGTATTGCTTGTAAACACAACTATTAATAGTGCCTGAAAATCACAGTTTTCACAGGCAGCGAATGGCCTTCATTGATGACAAGTTGACGTGGCATTCCATCCATCTAAATTCGAAACAAAATTAGTATAAAAAAAATGCTTGAAAATACCTGATCCAAAACCCAGGTTCTCATCGAATTATCGCTTGACGTTGAAACCATGATTGGCTCTGCAGGCATGAAGTAGAGTGAAGTGACAGCACCTTTGTGAACATTAGCAATCCGACCAACCTGTACAAAAAAGTAAAGCTATTTTTTGCTAAAAGGATTTACAATACGATATTTTGAAAAAAGAATTAGTAGCATTTTTTCCAACTTGAGCACAAAATTTACCTCAAGTACTGTTATGGGAGCATCAAATTTGCTTTGGAATTCGTGAATCAATTTTCCAGTGCGAATATTATACAATCGTAATTTCCCATTATCGCCGCCAAGCAAAAACTAAATAAGATTTTTAAAAAGAAAATAAAAGTCGTTTAAACCTTGTTCATGTAAGTAGGAGGATGAACAATCCCCGTAACATTGAAATGATGCGGACCTTCCAGATGTAACTGCTACAAACAAGAAACGAATATTTTTTAACAATTTTTCTTACCTTTGTCCCGTCTTGCACATCAACAACAATAATACGGTTGTGTTCATCAATCACAACAATTTGTGAACCAAAAAGTAGACAATGTTTTGGTTGGCTTCCAATTTCAATCCATCTTGTAATGTCACGACAGAAGGGAATCACTCCAATTCGCGTCCCAGCAACTCCATAAATCCCACTAAATTTTAGTTTTTAATGAGAAAGTAATAAAAAAATATAAATAAAAAAATATGCTTAGATTCCCTTTGTTTGGTTGATCAAATTGAGCCCGACATGCGCAAGGATCCGGAAAGCCATAAAATCAATCCACTGGAATGGCTTCTCGTCGAACCCGTATCCAAAAAAACACGCGTTTCAATTTTGCAGGTGGGTAAAAATCCAAGTTTAGTGCATATTAAGGTGTTATAGCTCGAGATTGACGAATACGTACACTTTTGTACAAAGGAATTGGTCACAATGCTTTGTGACTTTTATTAAATACCTAATTCTTGATTTATGCTTTCTTTTTTCATTTGGCCACAAGGTCACATCGATTTTTTTAATATTTTATCAACAAAATTTCAGCTCAATCCGAATCTTATGCTTTCGCAAGAGGCAAGAGAATAGAGCAAACGAGAAACGAGAAAAACGATGGTTCTATCGGTCTCACCTTCACCATCACGCCTCTCACAGTTTAAATGATAAATGAATTTATTTGGATTTGTTTAGCGATTACAGTAATCAAAAGATAACTTTTGCACAATCACTTTATCCCTTTATCTCATATGAAACTTTTGTCCATCGTTGCATTGAATCGTCACCGAGAAATTCTGAAAAACTTGATTCAGCTGGGTTTTGATCGTTTTTTTTTGTTTTTTCGTACTTTTATTTCTTAAATATTTCAAACTTACAAAAAGTTGCTTTTTGGTAGAAAATTTTGATTATAATATAAAGCCAAAACTCTGGAGAATTCAGGTAAAAATGATTTCAAATGGTGAAAGATTAATGGAAAATAAAAGTACGAGAAAAGCTCAGGTTTTTGGACTAGATAGATAAGATGAACTTTATAAATATTATAAAGAACTTTATAATTATAAAATATCAGAATAAAAATGGCTTACTTTTAACTTCTGAAATCCTCCTTTCCCCTGATTCTTCGGAGCGATTTCTTTCAGTTTCCCCCAAAATCCCTTCGTTTCCTCGCAATCTCCACTTGTCCACGTGAAAATGATCTTTCGCATTTGATTACGTTTTGCAATCTGAAATTGTTGACATTACTTAGTTTTTTTGGTAAAATATATACCGTAAATACTCTAATAGAACGCTACCTTCACGTACAGTCGTGCAGTCTAACTTCTTTTTAGAAAATAATCTTTTTCTTTTCTTTTCCAACTACACTTTTGATACCAAAAAATACTAGATTTCAAGGGCTATCATTTGACATCCAAGCGCACACTGTAGCATAAAGCAGCGCGGAGAACGGGACGTTCAAAGTTAAACTACGCGACTGTACTCCTGTAATTATGGTCAGTCGCTTCAAAACAAGATTGTTAGATCAATTAACCACGAGATATCAGACCTGAATCATTGCATCCATTATGTTACTGGCAAGCGTTGGCAAGTCGAGATGGATTGCTGATTCGATCAACTGAAAAAAGATCATCGTTTTCAGAACAAAACCTTACTATTAGAGCGGTGATTAGTTGGAAACTCATCTACTAGAGTTTCCAACTAATCCAACTTGCGTTGCAAAATAAGACCACTCTCGATTTTTGCGATTTTCGACTTTAAATAACTAAAAATGCAAAACAGCGCTTGAATTCTAATTTTACATACAAAAGTCCGCACAAATACCGTTTACGAAATGAAACATTTACTTTTAAAGCCACAATTTTTTAATCATTTCTTCATTTTGCACCTGTTGTAAGATGATAGGACCACTACGTTTCTTTTTTCATTTTCGATCTAAATAACTATTTTTTTGCTTATTCTATTTCTTTTTCAAATTAATTATATTTTTTAGGAAGATGAAGATGAAAATTGCTTTCGTGGATCGAATCGATGCAAATTGCGATTTTGAAAGGAAGAAAGTTGTCGAATCGGAAGATCGCAAAGAAAATGAAGCGCTCTCACCAAGTTGTCGCAAATTTCTGGTAGGATCCTTTTAATTATGGCAAGAAGAAGTCTCCGGGAAGTCCTCGAAAGCTCACGGCTGAACGGTATATTGGACGTCTGTTGTCGAATTCGGTGATGTCGTTACAGGACGTCAAGGCAAAAATTGGGACTCCCGTCCACAAAAGCACTCTTTCTCGAGCCATCAAGTGTATACCTTACACCAAAAGAGCAGTCATGAAGAAAGCACCAAAACTGAAGCCGACGCACTTATTTGGAAGATGCCACTTACAAACGATTGAAGTTGCTCAGCCCATTCTTCGGTTTTGATTGGTGGAAGATCGGGATTTAGGAATGGCTCTTCGAAAAGCAATTCCATCTAAAAAATGAACTTTGGACAATAAGAATCACGTTTCACCTGAACTTTTGTTGAAGAGTGATCGGTGTTGAGAATTGTCCGCTAAATCAAAAACAATTCGATGGCAGCTAACTCCAAAACTAACCCAAATCAAAAACCCGATCAATAAAAAAAAGATCAACTTCGTGATTGATGTCCATTTTGTGTAAAATCTCCGTAAACGCATTCCCATTCAAAAGCAAATGCTTTTTTGATTTTGAAAAGCCTCATGCCTAGTTTCAATTGAAATATTTACGTTGGAAGGGGAAAAATCACGGGGGATTTTGGATATGAGATTTCGTTGACTTACATTGACTTATGGTAGAGTACAGTGAAGTAAAATAAAAGCTTTAAAAGGTTCTTTTAGAGAATAAAAAAGAAATTCAGACTACAAAGCCACTAGCTTTTGTCTTGCGTTGCGGATGACTTTGAAAACTCATCTTTGCTTCCCATTTGTAAGCTTTGCATCGAAAGCATAAAATAAGATATTTTTCTTTATCATTTTATGGTCCAACCTCGAAGGTATTATTTTAAAAATTCTTCCATAAAAAGCGACGTTCTGCCGGTGATAAAACCGGCGATGAGACGAGGAAAAGTCGAGATTAACACACACTCTCTATCAGTTTTTCTTCCGCATTTTTCCAGACCTAAGTTTTTCCATATTTCAAGTTTCATTTTCATTTCCCCCGATGTTCCTCCATATTTCAATCCTCCAAATCTTTCTCATTTCCCAAGTCAAATCTTCCGATGAATGCACTGTAACATATCAACTCGATGAAAATAATCCAATTTTTGCTTTTCCTGTCGATTTCTTTTGGACTGACGGAAAACTTAATGGTATAAGAAAATTTGTTGAAAAATTTTGACAATAAAACCTTTCAAGGCACCCTGATTTGCTTAAAAACTTGTGCAGACTGTGATCTTTTCTTTGATGTCACGAGGTTTTGCATTCTTCCACCGGTAAGAATGAAGCCAGATCTGGCCTAATATTTGATTTGAACACTCCTGGATTTCGGATATGACTTGATTTACTTCTTTGAAAGAAAACATTCAGGATAACGATTCTCCAAATTGTCCACCAGAAATGGGACTGAGAATCAATGGAGAAATGGTGAAAGTATCCGATTGCAAAACAGAGTGAGAAATATCTTGAAAGCCAACTGTTCCTTTTACAAATTACTGTAATCCTTTAATCTGTCAAGGCAGATAAACAATACTTTACCAATGATGAAGTGAATTTTAAGGGTTCCTTACTCTGATTTTGGTTTGCGAACACTTCTTGAAAGATGTACAATGGAGTTGAAAGGAGATCAACACTTTGATTGGCTTCAGATGATAAAGATCCGACTGGATCTTTATCATCTTTATGGATCCTCATTTGCTGTCCGAGTCAAACAATGGATTGATCGTTTGCTAATTGAACTTCTTTTTCTCTTGAACTATTTATTTTACTTTTAAATCCCTTTTAGCCAATTACGATTATCAATTGGAAGCAATGAATATGCGATCATCTATGGACATCAGTGCAATCAATATCACTTATCCGAAATCTCCCCGTCCGATTTATGTAATTCTTCCACTGCAAATCAATCAATGCAATGAACTCAACGATCTTCGCTCTGTAAGCATACAATTGAAATTATTGATACATCTCTAACCACATGGCATCACTACTATTAGACTGTCCAGAAAGTCTTTTTGTTCCTTTTCGTACTTCCGCTTAAAACCAACAAATGCACTAATTGAACTACAATTGAACTACGGTAGAAAGGACTTTTTTTTGTTATTTAAACTTTTTCAGCCAATTTTTCTGCAAAATAACATTAAAAGGGGTTTAAAATGTCTTATGTCTGAATTTTATCGGCGGCTGGAAGTTAAAAAAGGCGAAAGCGATGATGACATTTTAGACATTTTAGCTAAGGAAACCTATCTTCGTGTCAATAGATGAAAGATAGAGCATCAAAAGTTAGATATATAGCCAAATTTTCAGAGAAATTCATTAAACCAATTTCTTCGTAGAGGTTTTTATCGATTTTTACAAAAAACACATGTTTTCACTCTCGAATTTGCTTGAAAGTGAATCGAAATTGACTTAAAAAGATGGAAAATTGAACAATAAACACTTTTTATTTAGAGGAAACCATAGGTTAATTGGTGAATTTGATATTTTTGAACGGAAGTACGAAAAGAAAAGAAAAGACTTTCTGGCCAGCCTAATAGTTCTTAACAATACGTACTTGTAGAATACTAGTACTGGTACAAATAAAAGACTGGTGACGTCAAGGGTTTACTTTCTTTTACCAAGTTATATATACCATGCCATTGTCAATTTAGGATGACCCGGACTGTTCGTATGATTTATTCATCGGAATGCCACCGGGAAAGACTTCAGACGGTGTTGATCGAAGATTGTGCCATTACGAGTGAGTCATCACTTGAGACTTTGGATATTCGCCTTTCAGAGACAAGAATTCACCATTTGCTACAACATCCACACTTCGATTCTCTAATTTCCTTGAATCCTCCCTTTACAATATCCTCATTCCACCAAATTGTTCCCCTCATCTATCAATCGAAAAAGCAACTATTCGTTTGTTTTAAAGTCTTATTTTTAATATAATAATTCTCCTTTTAGCAAGGCTCCTCACTCTATCTTGTTGGATGTAGTGCTGTCCCAATCTTTCTCAACACTCAAGCATTTCGATCCCCTTTCGATCAAATGTTTGCCGATTTTCTAATGCAACGATGGATCAATTGCTGTTTCTATTTGATTAGTGCAAAATAGAAAACAATTTAGATGGTGGGGGCGATTATCTTCCATTTGACGTGCGAATTGAATTCGAAGCTTTTTTAAGCGGGGAACTTCTTATCACAGTGTATGATTTGAACATGGAACCAATTGGTAATGGGTAAGTTGAAAAGAAAAAGGGAATCTACTTATTATTTTATCGATGGACTCAAAAAGGTCCACTCGATCATCCATTCAATATGACATACACAAATATTAAACAAGTCGAGGTGGGTTTTGGAAGAAGAACAAAGATTTCTGTTAAAACAAACTTGAAATTAGCACCCAAATTTTCCTTTAGCTCGTTTGGTCGCAAAAGCTTGGAGAAACATCGGACGATGGATGGAAGAAAGGATTTCTTGTGCAGATTTACACTCAACTACACAGTGATGAATCGACACAGCAAACAATTGACACAACAACAACAACAACAACAACAAAAATCCCGGAAACCATTTCAAAAAACAATTCTTTACAACAGTGCTCAGCATCACATCAACTCGATGAAAGGAATCCAATTTTCGCTTTTCCTGTCTATTACTTCTTGAATGGAGATCTGATCAATAGTATGTAGAGATTTTTAAACATTATGAAGATTATGTAATGAGTAATGCTGATTTTATAATTATAGTTAGCTCGCTAATTACATAGAAATTCTTAACAACTTACCTAACTACAGAAGGCTTGGTTTTTATAATGTTAGGCTCAAAATGTTTAGTTCAACATACTGTAGAAAAGCATGCTAATGTCAGTTGAAGCTTTTTCTCATTTTAAGGTGATTCAATTTGTTTGCAAACCTGTCCAGATTGTGATCTTATCTTTGATGTAACAAGAACGTGTACTATTCAAATGGTAGGTGAAAAGAAAAAAAATTCTAATTGATCCTTTTAATCAAAAACAAATGAATTCAGGGAGATAACAGCCAAAATTGTCCATCAGAAATGGGGCTGAGAATCAATGGGACAAAGGTGAAAGTAACCGGATGCAAGACAGAGTGAGCTATTTGATTACAATAAAAATGCCCATGAATTCTAAATCTTTCAGACTTCTTTTCCGTGGGTTTGTTCGAGTATATTCTGAACGATGTACAATGAATCTGAAAGGAGATCAACGCTTTGATTGGCTTCCGGATGATCCAGATCTCGCTGCATTCACTAAAGGATCTTCGTTTGCTGTCCGAGTCAAACAATGGATTGATCGTTTGTTAATTGAACAAAACTCTACAAATTTATTTCAGTCGATTATGATTATCAATTGGAAACATTGAATCCATTTGTGATGGATTCGAGTGCAATTGATATCACTTACCCGACATCTTCTCGTCCTCTTTATGTCCTGCTTCCACTTCGAATCAATTTTTTCGACAGAGTCAACCTCCGGGATGTAAGCTTGACTATCTCTAATCTTAAATCATAAGATATCGATATCTTATTTATTATAAAACTATTTATTAGATATTTGCTTATTGTATCTTATTTATTACAAGTTTGTTATTTATTACATTATTTATATTATTATGTCCACCTCATAACCCAAGTTCCAATGGGAATTTCGGTCTGATTTTTTGGGAGGATGTCTAATGGACTACGGCGATTCGGCCTGTCAAATCAGAATTGAAAAATCTTTAACCGTTTTTGAGCAAAGTTGAAAAAACTGAATTTGGCGGTGATAGCAAAGGTCGGGACGGTCCATGGTATTTCGAGTAAACGGGAAACTCTACCTCTCAAACTTAGTTTAGTTATTGGAATATAAATTCGATAGTAAAATAATGAACTGTAGTAACATAAAATTAAACTTTGATCCATGTAAGCTATGTAAACCAAATTGATGAACAGTTGCTGGTCTTGCATCAAGTAACATTCCAGAATGATCCTAAATGCTTCTTGGATTTGTTCATCGGAATGCCACCGGGAAAAGTATCGGATGGACTTGATCGAAAATTGCGTCATGACAAGTAAATCCTGAGTTCGCTTTGAGAAATGATGTTGTTCGTTTTTCAGAATCATCACTGAGAATCTCGAATCCTCTCTTTACAATATACTCATCCCACCAAAATGTTCTCCTCATTTAGTGGCCGACATTGAAACCAATTGTTAGTTTAAGTTTAAAGTATAATACTCCAGTGAAACCTTGTGTATCACTCGTGTATCAACATATTTTCAGATTTTCTTTTTGTTTAGATGTATCAGAATATTTCAGATTTTCTTTTTGTTCAGATGTATCAGAATAACTTCAGCTAGCCACGAGCCGTTGGCTCTTTCCGGGTGTGGTGATGGATCGATCTTGATCAACACTCAAGCATTTCGATCACGTTTCGACAAAATGTTTGCTGATTTCAAAATTGAACGATCAATTCAATGCTGTTTGTGTTTCCTTGGACTGCAAAGCAAAAGCATTTAGATAATAATTCTGTGAGTTTCGCGATTAACGTGCGAATCGAATTCGCGACGTTTTTGAGTGGGAAACTTGATGCCAAAGCACTCGATCTAAACTCGAATTTAATTGAGGATCAGGGGTAAATTTGTGAAGGAACAGAAATTTAAATGAAGGAATTTTATGGATATACGGTAACTGTAATAGGTACACTCAAGAAAATCCAATTGATAATCGATTCAACGTGACACTCACAAATGTTGGCGGAGTAAGGGTTCGTTGGATTCGAACTCTAACATATAAAACAAAGTTTTGTCAGATCTTTTGGTCTCAGAAAAGTGACGAAAAAGCAGAAGATGGATGGGAAAAGGGATTCATTGCATGGGTTTACACAGAAGAGTACAAAGATGGGACACAACCATCGACAACAACAACAGCAAAGGCAACAAAAGCAACTATTGGTACAAAGACTACTACAGTACCAACATCAACAATTGCATCAACCACTTCAACAATCCCTTCTACCACAAAAATAACAAAAGAAACAACTCTGCAAATCTTGATCCTTGTGGTTTTACTTCTTTTGCTTTAATTTTCTTTTTGATACTCAGTCAATTTTATCATTTTATATTGATCTATTGATGTAATACTCCAAAAGTGTGAATGTAAACAGAACTTTAAATCAAGCTTTAAATTTATCCAATTTAATCCAAATTTGAATCGTTTGATGAATGAAAGAAAAGTTGAAACACGTTATGTCTACAATATTGTGTTGAGTCTTGAAAAGCTCTTATCAAAAGCAATGCCATTTTTGTGTCAGAGACATATCGTTGCACTTTATTGACTCACAATGAAATCTTAAAGTTCATTTTGAGTTATATGTTAGATTGGCCAACTTGAAAGTTGGTACACTTATTCATTGCACTTTTTAGAAATAACGAGTGCACCAATTAATCGACAGTTTTCACCAATCAAAAGACCCATTTATTCTCCAAAATCGACTTTTTGACAGATTTAGAAAAGTTTCTGTTTTGGAGGTTTCAAGGAGGAAAGAAGTTGAGGAACCAAAAATGAAACACTCGATGAAGCGATGGCTTGTTTGATCGTCGACAATATTGTGTTAAATCTTGATAAGCTCCTATCAAAACCAATGCCATTTTGGTGTCAGTATCGTTGCACTTTATTGACTCACAATGAGATCTTAAAGTGCATTGTGAGTCATATTGTAAGATGGTGATGAAGACGTAGATGATGAATGACTTCTCTGGGTTCTCTAGAAGTTGGATGAGATTTCAATTTGAAACTTGACCAAACTTGACTATCCCACACCATCAGCCACACAATTTCCACTCAATCACGGAAATGTACTCTCGAAACTTCCGCTTTCCTTTAAGTTTTTGTGTTAAAATCACAATCATTTACAGGTTTTCTCTACCTTTTCACTATAAAACAAAACAGAATCATGTGAGTTTTTCCGTTGACTACAAAAAGTGGAGGATAATTTCTTAGAATAAGTTAAGAATAAGTTAATTTGATGGGAAAGTACTTTCTGGAACTCTTGAGTAGATTTTTAAACGAATTCTTTTCATATTTTTGTTGTTGAATGAACAAAAGTGATCATTTCCGATGAACGATAATTCTTCAACTTCAATTCCCGATATTTCGTTCGAATCAGTTGATGTTCAGAATATTGCTGAGATTTGCTCAATGGCTTTGGTTTGTTCTTTAACAGAAATTCTGATTTTCATATTTCAATCATCAATTTTCCCCTTTCAGATGGGTATCCTTGGAACGTCTTCAGGAATTTGGGGACTAATTGTTGTTCAAAAAAATTCTTTTCTTAAAGGTTTCATTTGATTTACAATCCTTTTGCAAACATCCATTTCAGGACTAGTAAAACATTACATGTTACTCGATTTGCTCAATCTTTTACTCGTCAATGTTTGTCATTTATTCTGGGCAGTGCCTTGTGCGATTTGGTTTGTTTTTCGGTTTTTGAAAAGAACTGCAGTTATTCAAAAGCTATTACTAGTTTTGGACTGAATTCATTTACCCATTATCTGAAACTAACAACCAGTTGATGATCATTTACATTGGTCTTGACTTTCCGTTAAGCTAGTCAGTGCTTTGGTAGTATCTATTGGGTTGGTGAATTGAAAACTGCGGGACTTTGAACTAAAATTTATTCAACATAAAGCCATAAATTCATTCCAAATAATTTCCATTATTGACGACTTCTCCCATTTTAAAGGCAATTTGCGGTTTCCTCTTTCGTAGTAGGATTTTGGTTTGTGTGTGAGACAAGTGTGAGACTCAAAAATGGAGGGCTGGAGATGTCCCAGTTTGAGCACTTTCTTCAAAAGAAACCCATTTTGGTGTCAATAGAGAAGTTGCAGAGAATCAAAAATTAGGCTTATAGCCAAATTTCCAAAAAGATACACTTAGTAGTTTCGCTTAAAATGAAAGTTTTGTGAAAATTCGTAAATTTCGCATTTCTTGAAAACCAGTTATTGAATCGTTCTGAAAATTTGGATATAAGCTTGATTTTTGATTCTCTACAACTTTTCCATTGACACCAAAATGGGTTTCTTTTGAAGAAAGTGCTCAAACTGTCACATATGACAATAGCCCGCAGTTTTCAATTCACCAACCCAATATATATATATCATGTACTTTCCAAGAAAAGCTTGATTTCATTGAACTCTCTAAACCGATCACAACACTTTGCAAGTTGTTTCAAGGCAAAAGTCTTTCCCATCGAGAAAGCTCAATTCAAAGAAGATCTTTCAAGTTTTCCTCCAAATTCTCTCATGAACACGAACTACAGCAGTCTGTATTTTGCAAACTCTAGAAGATTTAGAAAGCAGAATGATTCCATAAAAAAAGAACAAAGAGATATAACGCTAAAAGCTGAATACGTAACTCAACGAACATTTTAGGAAACTCGATACGGTTGTCCCATTGCTCAACTACATCATTGCCGATGTGGCTTTCACACTTATTGTCCTTGGTTATAATCCAAAGGTAAGTTTCATGCTTGGCCTTTAAATTTATATCAAATTAAACTCAAAATTCACAAATCATGCATTCAGCTTTTCCTCGGCATCAACCGCCTACTCTCCATCTCTTTTGGCGGTCGATTCTTCTCATTTTTTGATCGTCTCAAATACCTCCAATATGCAATCATGATTGGTTTCCCCCTTATTGTCTATATTCTTTTCATGCTCCGTAAGTTACCATGAATTTTTTTTAAAATCTGTTTTCCAGCTGGTTGCCATGCGGCTTTCTTCGCTGATGGATTGAACTTTTTCTGGGTTGAAGGAGATTGTGGAAATGTGTTGAATTACTATATTGGGGTGAGTTTTTTGGAAGCTTATAAGCAAAGGTAACAAAGGAAAGGGACTTCTAGGTACAATATCTTCCATTCCAGGTAGTTCTCGGTTATTTCTATTTGCCCAGCAATACAATCGTCGACTTGACTGTATTTTTCATGTTACATCGACGAGTTCGAGCGGCTAATAATGCTCGGAGACATCAAACGAGTGCACAAAAAGCGGAGAATTTGAGGAAAGAATATCGTTTAGCTGGACAGGTTTGTGGGAAAAGAAATAATTTCATTATAGACTCCAAAAATAGACCAACTTCCTCTTTAGATTCGTTCTTTGACTTTAGTTCTTTGACTTTGACTTTCTTTGACTTTTAGTTAAACTATTTTCCCATCAAATCACATAAATTCAATCTCTAATCTTTAGTAAAGAATACTTTCAAATTGGAAATACACAAACGTCATTTCATCGTCATTTCATCGTAATCCGGAATATCTACGTTTAGCTGCTAACTTGTAGTGTGTAATTGTAGTTGTAGACGTAATTCTTCAGTGTGCGTTGTTAGAAATGAAATTGTTGAGTTGATATTATGGTGAAGATATCATCTTATCTGTATTCTCTTTTCCAGATGGTCACCAACCTCATCACTGGCTTAATCCTCAACTTCTCTATTGCCGGTTTCTCATCTTTCACTTCTCCATTAGCTATTTTCATCGCGAGTACTCTCTTTTGGCAACTTTGCTCAATGATTGCTTGGTAAGAAGATTTCAATTGTCAATCGATTTCATAAACATTTTAGTCTTTCATATGCAATTCTCCTTCAAGAACGGAAATCGCTGAGACGAACGATTCGCGTGGTTTCAATTATAACTTCGACGACGGCAGCAAATTGAGATTCATTATTTGTTTTAGTACTGTTCAGAAATCTAATAAATTTTTAACAAACCAACAAAAAAATCAAGTGAAATACATTTAAAATACATTTTTAACAAAGAAAGGAATCAAGTGGACAGAAATGACAAATAATTTCCTTATTTCCCTTTCCTACAAGACCTTTCTCTTTTATATTCTTCTCTCCTTTCCCGTTTCTGAATGGAATTTTTGATGATCTGGAGACAATAGCCCAACTTGCTTCACACAAGAATTGGCATCCAATTTGAAAAAGACTTTAAAAATCGTTTTTTCTTTTAAATATTATGCTTAACTCTCTGCATTTGATATTTATGAGTAGAAAGAGGAAAACGGTGAGTGAGTTTAAAGATTTTAATCGAACAGACAAAAGTTAGGATTTGAAATTTCAGTCAGTCAAAAATCGGTTTGAAATTTCAGGCATGTATAGCAATTCTTGGTGTAATCATCGTTTGTTTTTATATTGGAGGAATTCTTCAAAATCAATGGAGATTAGAGGCATTGAAACGAATGAAATTTCGTCCACCACTCATTCAACACGCAGCCGATCCGAGAGTCGTTGTGCAAGTGCTTCAAATGGTTTGCATTTACAAGCATAGTATTATTTCAAATATTATAATATTATTATAATATTTCAAATATTATAGTTGTGTTTAAAAAAAAAGCTCAGTTTATTGAAACATTTAGCCTCAAAATGGGATCTTTCCATTACCACAACCAGCCGTCAAAATGCAAGTTGAAAACGCGAAACTGCTTGATGAGGAGAACATTTTCATTTTTGGAGCTTATTATGACACGAGGTGATAAATTTATGACACGAGGTGATTTCTTCCAAAATCGAATTCTTTAGAGATCCCCTCGGGCCAAGAATTCGCATCTTGACGAATCTCGATTGTCGTTTCATGCAGAAGTCATATTTCTCTGTCAAAATTAGACATGAAATTCTAGAAATCGAATGGATGGATTTTATTGGAGGTGAGGGAAAAATGCTGAATATTTAGGGATAAGGGATGCTCTTTGTTCTTTTTTATGGAATCATTCTGCTTTCTAAATCTTCTGGAGTTTGCAAAATACAGACTGCTGTAGTTCATGTTCATGGGAGAATTTGGAGGAAAACTCGAAAGATCTTCTTTGAATTGAGCTTTCTCGATAGGAAAGACTTTTGCCTTGAAATATTCAGCATAATATATGCTGAATATTCAGGGACAAGGGATATTCAGGTGATTGCGACATTGGTAGTGGCTGTAAATACACGGAAGTTGATCTAACTACACGGGTTTATACGGGACGATTTCCGGAAACAGTTACTTTCGAATAGTTTTTTTACAAAAAAAAAACCATTTCCCAGGTTACGATAGTGTTTCTGAATGATCGACAAAAAGAGATCCCACTCCGAAAACTCCCACAGAAACACAATCCTGGGATTACTGTTTGTCAAAAACCGATGCATTGGTTAGTTTATTTATTAGTTGAATTCTTTTCTTTAATCATTACGTTTAGGTACAATGACTGGATTCGATTGTTTTTGTTCATCGAATGGTGGAAAAGACATAGTGCGACAAAGATTCTTCTCACAGCTCATTCAATCTCAAAAGTCACACAACAACTGCTGATATATTATGTGACAAAGGCGGGAAATGGATTGAGGAGAACTAGATTGATACTAGAGAACTAGATTGAAACTGTAGTCAAGCAGTTTCCCAACTGGTTTCAAAACAAAACTTCTCAGGGTCTCGTCGAGCTACGTTGGATCACTGTGATCCCCAACAATGGAAAGGTTAGTTGGTTAGATCAAAATCTGCAAAGGTAAAAGGAATTCTGATGGTTTCCTTGCATTCTTGAGTACTTTCTTGAATACTTTTTGAATACATGAATACTTTGAGGGTGATCCAAACGATGAAATCTCATTCGGTGGAGAACATCTCTTTGATCAACTCTGCACTTACATCTCCTCCACTGAATACACAGCTTTGATCGATTTAGATGAATTTTTATATATCAAGTTAGAGATTATAAAAAATGCTGAAAGATTTTCATTGAAAAAATTTTAGAAATGGTGAAGATTTACTCAAATTTCTAGAAACTCAATCGAAACGATTCATTGATGGCAAAGTTGGTGAGGATTTTTATGGCTTTTTTAATGATTAAAGATGATTAAAGTTATTGTTAATGATTAAAAGATTGATTAAAGATTTATAAAAATCCAGCTGAGTCCATTTTTATATATCCATTTTTTCCAGGTGCTTTCAATTTCGATGAAATCCCGCTGGCTTTCGATAGGAATTTCTTATCAGAATATGGAACTCACAACCGAATCAATTTTGAGATCATGAAAAATCCAAAAACTCAAGTTCATTCACAAGTTGAAACCAAACAAAAAGTAAATCTTGATGAGAATTGAATTTATTTTTAATTCAATTCAATGGATATATATGTCGTAGCCGATGAAGGATTTCAGCCGAAGAAGTCTCAAATTTTTTCGCTAGCGAAACCTTCTTCGGCTAGCCGATTAAGTCTCAGACTTCTTCGGCTAGCCGAAGAAGTCTCAAAAATGAAATCTTGAGTTATGTATTGACTCAAGTCAATACCACAAACTCAAGCTCTCTAAAAGGCGCTTAAAAGCTAAAAACGCATTCTAAAGGGTTTTTCAACAAAAATTATTGCCATTTTTCTTTTGCTACACTTTTTATTCTAGAAATGCAAGTTTTTATGCATAACCAATGAAATAAAGATCATTTTTTAAATTTAAGATTTTTGCTTTTAATAAACTGACCAAACAAACTGACCCAGCTAATAGTTAATGCACCACAGGGGCTACTCTTTGTGGGTGTCATAGCTAAAATCATAAGGAGGATCCTTAGGGTCAAAAAATTCAAATCTTTAAAAGCTTGAGGGCTAATAGAGCTCAACTTACTAATTTTCATGAGCTTGGTGTCTTTCTCAAAATGCGGTGCAGTTCGATGCAAGCCAAAAAGATCTACGCCCTTCAGAAGATCTACGGCCCTCAGAACTGGTTCTGAGCCCAGAAATTTAATTCACTGAGTTCAAAACCTCAATTCTCTGAGCTTAGACCCTGTAATGAAACAAAAATTTGAACAGTTCTGGACTCAGTGAATGCGGTGTAGTGACCAAAAAATGGTGTTGCAGCCTAATGGCACGTTCGAAAAAATAGTGCCCCGGGACACTATTAGAGGAAATATGGTATTTTGATGTAACGCTTCTTTTTCATTACTGACAAATTGGAACATCAACTTGATCCTGTTATCTTTGGTCATTTGCTAAGCTTTGTGAAAGTTTTTAGCTTTTAAGCGCCTTTTAGAGAGCTTGAGTTTGTGGTATTGACTTGAGTCAATACATAACTCAAGATTTCATTTTTGAGACTTCTTCGGGTAGCCGAAGAAGTCTGAGACTTAATCGGCTAGCCGAAGAAGGTTTCGCTAGCGAAAAAATTTGAGACTTCTTCGGCTGAAATCCTTCATCGGCTACGACATATATATCTCTATCTCTATTTTCAGGGAATCTTTCTCACAGATCAGATTCGATCGGTGAACTCTCATGGGAAAACGAGATTCTTTGCATCTTATCAGACATTGAATGTAAGATAATGTAAAGTCAATATTTAAGATATCTTTGAGATTTCCAAAGAAGAAGCTGTCTGTCTTCATGCTAGAGATAACTTCAAGGCTTCCAATTCTTCAGCAATCAATCACTCAACAAAGATTGACTTGTTTTCATTGGTGAGCAAGTCCAGAATGTTTTCAAATCATAAAGAAACTTAGAAAGAAACAGAAGAAATGAAAGAGACTTTGGTGGAGATTTTTGGAAATAAACTGCCTAAATATCGATTTCCGAACACAACTGGAGCTCTCGAAAAGTGCAAAAAGGAGTAGGTTTTGATAAATGGGCAATAGTTAATGGGAATTTGTTTTTGCTGTACCTGCCACCGGGTAATTTAGCTCTCAATTCCATCAACACTGCCAAATGCCAACTGGAAACATTTGCGGGGAAAAGATGTACAAATTAGATGAATGGATTCTTGGAGAAGAAACACCAGAGAATAGATGGACTATTCTATAGATAGCCGATTTTGCTTTGTAAAATTTTCGTTAGCCAATTTGCTATAGTCTTTTTTCAATGAAAAACTTTGTTAAGTGATCCTGATATACGATAAAAACATAATCACATAATCGTAATGACAATCAGGAACGGATTGTCGATTAATCAAGACTTTTGACATCGCTCATTCTGTGTGACAATTGGCTTGATGACAATTCCCCTTCTTTGAGATCCCTCACACAGTTTAATAAAGAAACAAACAAACAAAAGTCTTGTCCCACTTACTTACATTTAACAATGATTTACAGTTGAATAGCTTTCCCTTTCTGTAAACTTGATCGAATTGCTTATAAGTGAGCTTATCGAAAGAAACTTACCGTAAATAATGTAATAGTACCCCACCCCCATAATGACGGTGCGGAGCGTTGTAGTCTAGCTTTGGACGCATTTTTCTCGACACTTGTTTATGCTACAATGCTCGTTTAGATATCAAAAATAGCTGGAATTCAGGGCTATTTTTTGATATCAAAGACGCATTTTTTGAAAGTACGGGTGCTTTGCGAAAAATGAAATACTAAAAAACTTTTGCGACTACGCGACTGTACGAAGGGGGTGGGGTACTATTACAGTATTTACGGTAATCGTAATGACAATCAGGAACGGATTGTCGATTAATCAAGACTTTTGACATCGCTCATTCTGTGGCTGACAATTGGCTTGATGACAATTCCCTTCTTTGAGATCCCTCACACAGTTTAACAAAGAAATTGGAAGTAGATTCTAAGAATTGAAACAAACTTCGAGAAAATCTAATTAGCAAATTGGCAAGTCGAGATGTTTCAAGCAAATCGGCTACGACAGTTATAAGTTTATTCACAATCACTTCATTTCTCTCCATCGACTTTGTGATTTCTCGAGATTTTCAATAAAACTTTCGTCCGGAAACTCGTCACACTAAAGCTTTTTCTTTTCGATCTCTTCTTTTCCACCTCTTCTTCATCTCCCCACCTCATTTTCCTCCCTTTTCCATTCCCCCACACTTCGTCGTTCATTTGAAAATAGAGATTTGTCGCATCGGCTTCTCGCGCCAAAAGATTTGATGTTTTTGAAATTGTAACCATTTCAGCTCTTTTAACGATTGAAAATAACAACCAGGGAGCCAAGACTGAGAAGTAGATTGGAGCCTGTAATGAGATTTTTGAAGATAAAACTTGATTTGTCTGCTAGTCAGCTAATCACTCACATAAAGTATCAATGAAAACGAATAATAAACATCATCAGGGAATGATCCATAAAATAATCGATAGAAAACAGAGAATAAAAGCCAGCAAAGGAAAAATGAGCTGTGAGTGATACTGGAATATTTCGATTGATTAAGATCATGATTAACTAGTAAAAGGTGTTGGAAAGCTGTTTTTAAAAGTTCAAAACAAAGAATTTTGTTCATTATGATCTCTACTTCTAGTCATTGCCTGTAAATTTTGAGTAACTTTCCCTGAATCCTGAAATGTGTAGAAAATGAAATTTGTACCTGAATGGGAGAAAAATCTGGAATGTGTGAGCGATTTGTCGGAGAGAAAGACCCGTGTTCACATCGTAACTCTTTCGTTGTCTGAAGGTTTAGTTTTTGATCGCTAAGGCTGTAAAAGTTGAAGTTTTTGTAAAAGGAAATTGAAAGATTCAGTCAGATTCATTGATTTCATTGATTACCCGCATCATCTCTTCACTCACTTCATCTCTTTTTGATATAAATTCCTCAAAATCAATCCACCACTAACCACCGAGATTTCGATACAGAAAAGAACATATGCAAAGATATTCAATTTACTGAATATTCCTGATTGATTGGCTGAGCAATAGGTGACCGTTCCACTGAAATCGAAAGCATTGTATTTGTAGAAAGCTTCAGCGAAAGAAGAAGAGATCTGAATTCGATTTTGATTCGCGAAGGATTTCTGTAAATTTACGTAAAAATTATTTATCTTTCTAATGAAATAAACCGTACATTGAATAGTAAACACTTTTTATTTAGAGTAAACCAGATGGCCGACCGGTTAGGAGTCATATCTGAGGTAAAATACTCTTAAGTCATATCTCCTACTACCCCAATTACCCCTATTACCCCTATTACCCCTATTACCCCTACTGCCCCTATTACCCCTATTATAGGGGTAATAGGGGTAATAAAGAAAAGGAATAGAGTAATAGGGGAACAGGGCAATAGGGTAATAGGGGTAATAGGGGAATAGGGGTAATAGGGGTAATAGGGGTAATAGGGAATAGGGTAATAGGGGTAATAGGGTAATAGGGGTAATAGGGTAATAGGGGTAATAGGGGTAATAGGGGTAATAGGGGTAATAGGGGTAATAGGGGTAATAGGGGTAATAGGGGTAATAGGGGTAATAGGGGTAATAGGGGTAATAGGGGTAATAGGGGTAATAGGGGTAATAGGGGTAATAGGGGGACGACGGGCGCAGTGCCATAAAATTGTTTGTTTAGACCTTTATGTCTTATTATGTATCTTTTGTTTGTATCACATTATTGGTTTTCAATAAAATGTATTTTTTTTAAATCAATTGGTAAATTTCTAATTTTTCAACGAAAGCACGAAAAGAAAGACTTTCTGAACCACCAAACTCACCGCTAGCATTCCCAGAATACCGATCAACATTTCCTGTCTTCTAGACGCGATTCCAGGATTGAGAAAAACGATTAGACGAAACAAAGTGATCGCAACATTCATATAAATGAGACATGAAAGTGAAAGAGCGCCCGTGAAACGAATCCCATAACAAAACCATCTGGGTAATTGAACCTCACAGAAAGGCCAAAAGGTGTATTGGAGCAGTAAAGTTGTCTGGAAAAGTGCAATTTAATATTTGATTAAAGATTCATTAAGTATTTCATGAAGTATTTCCGTACACACTTTGTCCAGACTTTTCCCAATCATTTCCTCTTCTCGAATTATGGGAAAATACAAAAAAGTAAAGATTTTCTGTGATTTTTTTAAAAAAGTTTTTCTAAAGTTTGTGAACTTTGGACAACTTTTTGCTTGACTGAATGAGTCAAGCTCCATCTAATAAGCTCCATCTAACAAGCTTCAACCAAAGCTCCATCTAACAAGCTTCAACCAAAGCTTCGTCTAACAAGCTTCAACCAAAGCTCCATCTAACAAGCTTCAACCAAAGCTCCATCTAACAAGCTTCAACCAAAGCAACTACCAAACATTTGTATGGTTAAAATTAAAGCTTGCATAACTTTTTATTAGAAAAAAAAGTCATAAAGTTGTCCTTGTTGAATGAACTTACATGTAAAACGATGAAGCAACAATTCTGTGAACTGAGCACTCCATAACAGAAAAACAGGTACACCTGAAAAGGCACACCTGTTTTTATAAAAACAACCATTTGCTGGTATTAATGAAGTGAACTGACTAGAGACTATGGCAAAAAAACAAAGAAAACAAAACACGTATCTCTTAGAATGCTAAAACAGCGTTTTTAAAATAAAACTTATAATAAATCGTTGCCGAATAGTTCCCCCAGTGAATTGGAGACTCATGCAACAGTGCAAAACTACCTTAAACGGCCGATCGATATGCACTGTCATCCGCAACTTTCTCGATGTCAAAATGAGTGAAATCATCGACAAAATAGGTAGAAAAGTTGTATACCCAAGAGCGAATCTCAACCAAGGACTATTAATGAAAGTCATAGCCACGGAGCAGTTTGTACTCGGCATGATCTCTAAAACTCTAGTATTTTGAACAGAAAGGGAACAGAGCAGGGTTTCTTCTAGAGTTGGAATGGATTTTAGTTCCACAAGAAGTTTTGCAAAACTTTTAAATGTCTGAGAAAGTTGATATTGAAGAAGTACAAGACCTGTACTTGATTTGAGACTTAAAAAAAATTATAGGGTATTTTTAAATGAATAAAAATGAAAGCATCTCATGAAGGGTTTTAAAACTCAAAATCTTCAAATATTTATCAAAATTTTGAATGAAACTATAGTAACCCAGTAATCTTTATATGAGTGTCACCGATAAACAGAGATTTGCTTCAAAAGTTTCCCACAAAATTTTCCCTCTAGATCTCGTTTTTGTAGTGAAAGCCTTATGTCGTTTTCTGGGAAAGCAAAAAAGACAAATCAACAATCATTCCCTCAGTAGAATTTTGAGAAAGAGAAAGAGAGAAGAGAAAGAGAAAGGAGAAAGAGAGGAGAGAGAGAGAAGAAAGAGAGAAAGAAAGAGAATGGGAAGTAAACTTTTGCCTTTGCTGGAAACGATCGACTGAGATTCTTTTGAAGTACTTAAAAAAGAGTTATCTAGAAGTACACGTAGTGATCCTTATCAAATTTCGGTCGGTTCTCATCCCCATCATCTTTCTCTTTATCATTCTTTTGCGAACAGTATTAGTAGGGTTTGGAATAAGCTTCCGTCTGGTATCTTCTCGTCTGTAGGAAAATTGAAAGTATCTGTAAACGAATTAGATCTTATTTTCATGTCAAATCTGCTCTATATTTAATCTTTTGTACCTGTGTTTCCAAATTGTAGTCTTACTGTACCATTTTTATTAGGTTGAGGAAAAAGTAATGTCGGTTTTGGTTGTGGGGATTGACCTTTGGTCGTCCAGACGGTTCCTCGTCTTGGAGACTTTCATTTCCATCTTTGAACCGCTGAAACCATTGTCATTGTCTTTGGCATTGTCTTTCGCTAATTGCTTTCTTCCCATAAGCAAAGAACTGGAAAATTGCCAACAACGGGAATTCAAAACCGACATTATTTTTTCCTCAACCTAATAGTTTTCTTTCTTTTTTTTTGCGAAAGTATTGTAGCAATTGTGAGATTTGTGTTGTTGCTTGCAATTGTGAACATTTTGAAAGGATTGTAGCAATATGTTATAAAGGGTTATGATTATCTGATTCGCTTCTATTCGCCCCTGAATAAAGCATATATATTATAATGAGTAATTTTTACTCAATTAATCGACGTTTTTTATTGATTAACTACAAGAAATCCTCTTTAAATTGAGTAAATTGAATATCTTTACATTTGAAGGGATTTGCCACCATTGGTATCTACAAAAAAGTCGTATATAAGTCGGCGCTCGTGATTTTTCGCGTCAATTTTTAAATTTTTTTTAAACATTAGAGTTTTGTGATGGCTTTGAATGTTCTCTACTTGTTCTCTTCTTCTTTTACACTGCAATTCTTGGTCCACAAATACTTTTCTGATACTCTTTATTATCCATTGATTGATGGATTTGATTGCGTTTCCTCTTTCGAAATAATCCTTGTCGATTGAGCCGAAAACACTTTGTTCTTCTTCTTTCTAGAATGATTGAATGAAATCTTTATAGCCATTAAATATAAATTATAGCCATTTATAGCCCTAAAAAAAAAAAAAAATTAATTTTATTTATTTTTTTTTCCCCCCCCCCCGCGCAAAGAATTTTTGTGAGAAAAAAAAGTCGGCCTTCCCCATTTTTAATTTTATTATTTAATATTTTAAAAAAGTATAAACATCAATTGTTATTTTTACCCTTACCATTAAAATTAGAGCTACTTGTATACTAAATTTGGGTAATTGAACCCGGTTACGAGGATTTAATTAACCAAGCAATGTACCAGGTTGTGCTTTTTGTGCAGTAATTACTAAAAACTCACTTTTTTCTTGGCGAAACGGTATATTTGGGCATTTCCCATTGTTTTGCGACCATATCGAAATAGACATTTTGAGCGTTTTTCTCTTCGGAAATCAAGTTGTGTGTGTTTGTCGCTCTCTTCGACTCAGCTCTCAACACAATAAATAAAGTATCCATGGAGAAAACACGGAAAAATATAAGGGAATCTGAAATTGTGAATGCGTGGGAAGATTTTGGCAAATAATCCTTACATAAGTGAATCCAGATCCAGCCGAATAGTCGGGTTCGGGTAAAGCGTAGAAATGATTTCGATAAAAAATCGACACAAGATTGAAGACTCCAAAAGAGATTGTGTGGAGGATACTGTAGGGTAAAAATAGAATATAAGTGTACATAATTTGCCGTCTCATCAATGTCACATTCACATCATAGGAACGCTTGTCTTTATGGCTGAATAGAGCTTTTGTTAGTCATTTTATCTCAACTTTTATTGAATCAAGCTTTCAGAACGCGGAAAAGTTTCCACGTTTCCAATTTTGTTCCAATTTTGTTCCAGTTTTGGACAGAAACATCACTAGCCAATTAGAACAAATCCTAGAGTCTAAAGTCAACCAAATTCTTGACTGAACCTGAACGAAACTGAACTGGTTGTGCTTGTCTCAAAGCTGACTCCGATAACGATAGACCAATTTCCTTTACTATACTTTTAACTGATAACGATTTACTCACGAGAGATCTTGTTTGTGCTTCCTGAATAGCCAAATCCCAATCAAATTTGTCACTACTTCCATTCCCAGCGAAATATAAGATTCGAGATTCAATTTTGCCGCCAATTGCTGCATATTCCCAGTACAATAAGCGACTTTTTCCGGAAATTCGACGCCCCAATATCGATATGACGAATCGAGCACAAAGCATAATATCTGAAATAGAGAATTCTTTGATGGATTTCGACTTAAACATAAAATTGACAGTATCTAGTAATCATAATCATCAAATTTCTTTGTTTTGAACTTTTGAATCGGCTTTCCAACACCTTTTACTAGTTAATCATTATCTTAATCAATCAAAATATTGGCAAAATCATTGACAACAGCCCTCATTCATTGTCTTCATTGACATTGACATCATTGACAACAGCTCTCATTCACAGCTCGCATTCACAACGCCAAAAATCATTGTTTTCTTTGGAATAAAATATTTATCCCCCAGGGAGATTTTGCAAAAATCTTATCTGCATTCACAAGAAAAGTACACAAGAATAGATAGTACTGCATTCAGATAGTACACAAGAAAACTTCTAGTTTATATTTACATTTTAGTTTTTAATGATATTGAGTTTATAGTTAATGGGTGCGGATGAATTGCAATTGTAAATCTTACCGTCAATAGTTCACAGATCCTCAACAATTGCATTTGCTTTCGTTTACAATCAGTACGAAGTAAAAAGATTAATAAACGAAAAATGGTCAACGCTGCATTGACAAATGGAAGACCGTTCATTGGGATGTTCGAGATGAATCTAAAGAAAAGAGCTAAATATTTCGAGTTGTCAAAAGATATGGTAAACTACGGTATTCTAGCTGAATCTATTTAGCTTTAACTAACGAAGTTGAAAGGTATTCAGTCAGTGAATTCAGTGAAAGGTACAAATTTCTCTCTGTTATGTACACTTGAAATGATCTAGGTTTTCCCTCGAAACCCAATCTGCTCATTCACTCACCTCAATGAATAACATATGTCCCTGATATCGGCACATCACAAGTGTTCAAGAAAAAGAAACGAATGAGCAAAAGATCTAAAGTATTCAGTGAATTTTTAGAGTAAGCTGTAAGAAGCTTTCAAGCTGTAAGAAGCTTTCAAGCTGTGAAGCTTTCAAGCTGTAAGAAGCTTTCAAGGTGTTAGGAAGCTTTCAAGCTGTAAGAAGCTTCAAGCTGTAGGAAGCTTTCAAGCTGAGAAGCTTCAAGCTGTAAGAAAGCTTTCAACCTGTAAGAAACCAAGAGAAGCCGATTGAATAATTTGAATCCCGTAACAAACCAACAAGTATTCCTAAACTTTATGAAATCTCTAAATCATAAAAGATCTTACTTTAAAAGGCAAATCGATAAGCACAGTTCGGTAGACACGACGAGCAGTGAATGCTGTTGAGAAAAGGCATAAAAAATTGAGGAACTTGCCTGTAAAAGATAAGATTTTATTCCGAATTCGAATTCTAGTTTTGTTTTGTTTTGATGTGAAATTTCTCACCTGTACAATCATAAGCGACTTGAGGAAACCGCTCTTCACATACATTTCCACCACAGTGCAATTCGAGAAATCCATTGCCCTTTCTGAGTGAATATCTATCATTCTTGAGAAATCAAAAGCATTCGACATTGTTAAAGAATCGTTGTTAATATCGAGAAAACACTATTTTGAAGTAAATATTTGAAATTGAGTTGAAAAAGCAGAATTTCCACCTTTTCTGATGTAAATTTCATTAAACGGAACAAATACTTGGAAAAGCGGGCCGAGAATTTTATGTGCTGAGGTAAAAATCGTAATTTTTAAGCGCTTTTTCAATGTACCTGAGATTAAATTGTGAAAAAGTGTTGAAAAGAAGGCAGAGAATTGAAATTAGATTCATTTCCGATGGCTTAATGATCACTTCGGAGAGCTTGAAAACAGAAACTGACGCTTGAGGATTGAAGAACTTACAATTTAAGCTCTTAACCATACTATTAAATACAAAAGGGTTAAAAAGTTCGGGTTCAGTTTGAGAATGGAAATCGAACCTGAGCAAATCATCAAAAGGGAACAAATCTGCAGAAAACTTTGCTGGAAAGTAACAATTTGGAAGCAAAACTAATGTGATTCAACCTATCTAGAACTTGATGCAAACTCTCAAGAACTAGCTCAGCTCAGTGAAAAACGCTGAAGAACTAGCTCAGTTCTTGAGCGTTTTTCACATGTTTGCATGAAGTGTTTACCAGAAGTTGTCTACAGAAGTCTACAGTCTACAGTCTACAGTTTACAGAAGTCGAAATCCTTTACTCAATTCTACGTCAGGACTTCCAATTTTATCTTTAAAAATAGAATTTTCTCAAAGTTTTCCCATTGCATGTTTAATTCTTGTACATTCGAAAAGGAAAATGACGAAAATAGATTGAAAAACGCAAAAGATTGCCACAAAAATGGCTATAATTGTTGACCTTCCTTTTCTCATGCATTTCTACAATCATTTCTACAATCATTTCTTTTGATGAACGTCAATTTCTAGAAGGGAAATGAAAAGGCTAAAAGATAACTTTAAAAAATGAAGATTAACATATTAAAAATAACAGAAAAAGATAAAAGTTTATGGAAATGAATAGTTCAAGGAAAGAAAAATGCGATCAGACAGGAAATGAAAAGGCTAAAAGATGATCTAATTTTAAAGCAACTTCAAATTTCAAATTTTTCTAAATTAATCTCGCAATTAAAAGCTATGTCGTTTTACGTTTTTACTCACAAAGTCACACAAAAGATAGCTATGAATTTTGGTTTTTCCCAACTTTCCCCTTCCCATGACCATATGAGTTCTTGTCTGGATTTCGAGGGAAAAGTTCTCAATTTTTGTCTCTTGGTGATAAATTTTCAAAAACCTTTAAATAAAACAAGTATAAAAGTCGATTTTTTAGCAAAACAAATATTTCAGTTTTTATTCGAAAACCCGGTATTTCCATTCCTTTGTCATTTCTTGTAATTGCCACCTCTGCACCAGATAACAATTTTCGAGAGAAATTATAAAACACGCCGTTTTTTTTCTAATTTTCGCACAATTTTAGCTTACAGGAATTAGAAAAACGAAGAATTGCTCAATGTTTCAAAGGCAAACACTCCATTTTCTATTCGTTTATCAAAAAAGCTTTGACTGACATGAAAAGTTGTAATGTCGAGTAAAATACGATAACTGGTTAGTAAAACAGTTTACACTTACGCATTTGTTACAAAGGAGATCTTATCAAAAAGCAAGAGTCTCCGCCTCATTGAGTACAGAAAAGTTGCTGGCTGATTCAGCTGAACAAAGTATTCGTGCATTGCAAAAGGAAGTGCTTGGTTGGAAAAAAGATTAATCTGTAGTGTTTGAGATTTAGAAAAATTTGAATACAAAGTTGAAGGATCAAGAAGGAAGTGAAGGCTTTCACAAAATAAAGGAGATTATTTTTAGGAACATCACGTCAAGGAGTCAAAATTGGTTGAATAGCTGGATCGAATTAATGAAATGTTAGGGAGAATGAAGAATGGAAAAGAGTTTGGATTGGATAAATGCAAGTGGGGGAATCAGGTTGACACTTTAGTTCCTAAAAACTTTGAACTTTGAAGTTCCTAAAAACCAAGCCAACTATCTAAATACCCAGCTATGTTTTTGTTATTCAAATAAAAGTTGAATCATTGAAAGTCAGCCCTTTCAGCTCTCCCACACCCACGAGGGCCAATTTCCTGTTTGTAGTCTAAACTGTTTTCCGATAAGTTTGATACAAGTTTTGAAATGAATGAGCTGTTTATTGAATAAGTTGTTTATTGAATAAGCTGTTTATTGAATAATCTATTTACGGAATGATCTATTTATTGAATAATCGTTCCATTTGGAGGACTCAATGATGTCTCCAAGGAGTGCTTGGTGTCTCGACTTGCTTGTTGATTGCGCTAGAGACTCCTGAAATCGGTATTATCTTAAAGCTTTTAGTAAATTCTCTCACCGTACAATATCCCGTGAATCAATCTCATCTCATCTGGCTGTAAATGATGAAGACTGATCAAATTCTCGTGATAGATCTCGAATCCCTGGAACTTTTTGAGTGAACTCCGGATATTTTTGGCGTACTTTACTTTCAAAAAGGGTAAACACATGTCTTTTGGCAAGTCCTATCCATTTTATAAACTTAGAACTAACAAAGAAACAGAATTTAAGTTCTTACAAGAACCAAGTGTACCGGAAAAGGGTGTTTCTCTTTTGGTTAAGTACCTTGTGTTCAACTTTATCATAGATGAAACTCCTTGTGAGATCTCCATTGAAATGCTCTTCAGGACGCCATGCAAGGAATCGCTGTCTTCCTTTTGAGTCCCGGGTATCTGTTGGACGAATTCCTTTTGAACCAAGGCATCTAAAATGATTGATGGTTGATGGGCAGTCTAAATTTAAAGTACTGTACTCTTTGCTTACCTAGCAATCGCTAAATCTTCCCATTCATGATATGGACAAAGATCTTTTGACGGATAGAGCTCATCGGCAAAGATTTTCATCGCCGCTCGACTCATCGCATAGCCTGAACCGCCCGCATTGTAGCCGTGCTCAGGCTAAACGATTTCAATGAAAGCTTTAATGATTACTGCATAACTTTAACCTCACCATTCTCCTCTTCAACCGATATCCAATATAGAATGGTTTATTGTGATCGAATTGTTTCAAATATTCCCTTAAAGTATCCACAACGACATAAGTATCATCATCACCTTTAAAATACCTAAAATAACTGGATTCCTATTATTTTAAGATAATAAACTTACCAATCAAATTCTTTTGATACATGTTTATATGAATAAAGAAGAGCCAAACGTGTTTTCCAAAATAATTTAAAGTAACTATCGGGTAAAGCATTGAATATTGTATGAAAAGGAATCTAGAAATTTCTTGGGGAAACAAAGAAGTTATTGAGAACTTTTTGCGAGAGATGATGCCCATTGTAGTGTAAAAATGACCAGCATCACATTTGGGTAACCAGGTTGAATTGACGGCTTTCACCTTGAAATGAAACTTTGACTTTAGAGTTTAATTATTAAGCAATATCTTCATAAACCTAAGCCTAAGCCTAAGCCTAAGCCTGAGCCTGAGCCTAAGCCTAAGCCTAAGCCTCAGCAATATCTTCACAAACCCACTCTTGATGTGTGATGAATCGGAGCGGTCATCACCCAACAGAAAAGAAATCCTTTCTTTTGCTGGCTCAACGCCGACTCTGAGACATCGATATCGACCAAAAGATTCTCATTGTATTGACTAAAATTTGAAAGCTAGAATTTGAATCGTTTTCCCTCACTCAAATCCACTGACATCAATTGGCAGAAAGGGAATGATCTCGATACCTGTTTTGTATTGGATCTGGAAATGAATGACAATCAAATCAATCTAAATACAAATACCTTGTAAAGTGTCACAAAGAAAAAGATGAAAAGAAGCAATAAAGCGGTTTGCATTGAGGTCTTGTATTTACGAAGAAATTGGCATAAATCGTTGAGGAAGGACTTGATCGAGGTCTGAATGAGGCAAGCATTACTTCTTCAGCTTTACAGCAATTCTAACAAGGGAAAGACATTAAGTCAAGCTGTCCATTTGACTAGACCAACTCCAGGCCTTATAAAGGCGGTCATAGAGAACTCGAATATATCCCTGAAATTCAGAGGCTTAGTCAGGATTTCGTGACTTTGAGCCAAACGGCCCGACCTCCTCGAGGCTACCCCCAATCAATTTCCGATCAAGAAATTATATTTTTTAAAGATTTCAGTCTACAAAACTGTCTAAGCAGTTTTTTGAAAAAATTCAAAGGGATTTTAGTGCAAAAATTTCGATAAAACGAGTTTTTGGGCATGAATCATTGATTTTACAAAACTAACGTTATGATTTTCAGAAAATAGAGGAAATTTGACTAGAGGGGCCAACCAACATAAAAAACGGTTGACCATCTAGTTTTCGAGATTTTCGCATTTGAAGTTGGGCATTTTCACTTTTTTTGAGTTTTTTCAATTTTCAATTCAATTCCTTGGTCGGAAATTGATTGGGAGTAGGAAGTCGGGCCGTTTGACTCGAGGAAGTCGGGCCGTTTGACTCAAAGTCACGAAATCCTGGCTACGCCTCTGAATTTCAGGGAATATTTCTCAACCTCTCCTGAAATTAACCCCCATATCTTTCTGGCAAGGGAAAGACAGGGACTCCTTAAGAAGCCGCCACATGTCCCCTGAAAAGCTGCATCGGTGATCGAGTGGATAGTCTGTTGGACTGCCGAACGTGTTGCCTTTCTTTCCCCAGGTTCGAGTCCAACTCTCACAGATCTTTTGGCGTTCTGTAGAAACTAATTCGAAATCTTTATAGGATGGACCTGGTCTAGTCAAAGCCCAGCTTGACTCAGTGCCTTTGCCTTGTAAGCTGTACAATTCTTCATGTCCAAATATCTTCTCAGCACTCACCCATCCTCCAGCAATTCCCTCTTTGCATTTCAGACAAAACTTTGTCAAACAGATACCCTAAACTCATATTTTCTACCATCCGACATCATAAATTTTTACTTCAACGACAATAAAGGTTTCACTAAAGTTCTAACAGTTGAAAAGATTTCTCTAACGAATTCAAATCGGGAAAAGATTGAAAAGGATAAGATTGAAAATTCAATCTTAACTACTCATTCTCAAATTCTGATTGTTCACATAGACTGGTTTCAGAATGTTATGAAATGGGACCTCAAATTGATCATATCAAAATATAAATAATAATGTAGTAAGCTGACATATACTGCTTCTCTTGAGAGACTTTTTGAAACGGTAAAGAAGTTGGCCTGGAATTGGAAAATTCATGGAGAAATATTGCTGTTTGGAAACAATTTAACCTGCCTCTAATCCATAATCTTTTACCTTTTTCTCGGAGAGCATTCGATTCAATTATTGGCATTTGAAATGCCGAAAGAAATAGAAATGGAAACGAAGATTAGACAGAATAAACAAAGAAAACAAAGAAAAGTTGGCTTTGTTGTTGGAAAAAGAATTATAGAGCCAATTGATCGTTTTGGGATCCGCAGAATTTCAAGAATCGAATACTTGGTGATGAGGATTGGAATTTGAGAAGGCTTTTCTTTGAAAAGCTTGGAAAAGTCAAGGCTGAAGAGATTTCACTGTTTGGAGGAAGATCCTTTATCTCACACTATTTCCCCATCATGTGCTCGCATTTCTTTGATTAATTCGACCATTTGGAAAGGGAATGATGAAAGCGAAAGATAAAAGTTAAATA